TTTTGGGTAATGTCAACTAACTTCGGCCGAAAAGTATGCTTTACTATTATTATTGTAAAAAAAAAAGTAAGCCAAAAAGTATACTTCATTTTATTCATTGTAAACTGAAACACCCCAAAAGTATACTTCATTTTTATTCATTGTAAACTAACGTTAGCCAAAGGGCATGCTACATTTTATTTACTGAAACTAGCTTCAGCCGAAAAGTATACTTTAGTATTTTCATTGTAAACTAACTGAAGCCAAAAGTATACTTTACTTAATTCATTGTAAAAATTATTTAAGCGTAAAGCATTCTTTGTTCTTTGTTATTACGGACTACGTAAACCCACAACGTATACTTTTTTAGTAACAGTTACAGTATTTTATGAAGTGCTTTCAACAGTTCCCAAAAGGACTCTGCATCTTTCTTCAGGACACAAAAAATCATAAAATATACTTAATACTGCTTAACCGTCACCTTTTTTTTAAAACTTGGAATCGATATCGTTCATATTTTCAATAATGACTCCATTAAAAACACCACCTCTTCCTGCCGTATAACAATGGCCTAAAACAATGCCTAAGGATCGCCTATATCTTGCCTAACAATAGTCCAGCATTGCCTAAACATCGCTTCACAATCGCCTGAAGATCGGCTAATAATCGCTTAACAATTGCTTAAAATGTCGCTTATCAATTGGCCAAACATCGCCTGACAATCGGTTAAAACATCGCTTAAACATTGCCTAACAATCGGCTAAGACATTGCATTAACCTTGCGGAAGTATCTCTAGGATGTATTGGGATCGACGCCTAATGTATGGTAAACGGCTGCTAACAATCGCCTAAACATTGCCCTGGCATAGTGTACTAATTGCCTGAACGACGCCTGACAACTGCCTGAAAACCGTATAACAATGGCCTAAAACAATGCCTAAGGATCGCCTATACCTTGCCTAACAATAGTCCAGCATTGCCTAAACATCGCTTCACAATCGCCTGAAGATCGGCTAATAATCGCTTAACAATTGCTTAAAATGTCGCTTATCAATTGGCCAAACATCGCCTGACAATCGGTTAAAACATCGCTTAAACATTGCCTAACAATCGGCTAAGACATTGCATTAACCTTGCGGAAGTATCTCTAGGATGTATTGGGATCGACGCCTAATGTATGGTAAACGGCTGCTAACAATCGCCTAAACATTGCCCTGGCATAGTGTACTAATTGCCTGAACGACGCCTGACAACTGCCTGAAAACCGTATAACAATGGCCTAAAACAATGCCTAAGGATCGCCTATACCTTGCCTAACAATAGTCCAGCATTGCCTAAACATCGCTTCACAATCGCCTGAAGATCGGCTAATAATCGCTTAACAATTGCTTAAAATGTCGCTTATCAATTGGCCAAACATCGCCTGACAATCGGTTAAAACATCGCTTAAACATTGCCTAACAATCGGCTAAGACATTGCATTAACCTTGCGGAAGTATCTCTAGGGATGTATTGGGATCGACGCCTAATGTATGGTAAACGGCTGCTAACAATCGCCTAAACATTGCCCTGGCATAGTGTACTAATTGCCTGAACGACGCCTGACAACTGCCTGAAAACCGTATAACAATGGCCTAAAACAATGCCTAAGGATCGCCTATACCTTGCCTAACAATAGTCCAGCATTGCCTAAACATCGCTTCACAATCGCCTGAAGATCGGCTAATAACTGCTTAAACGAATTGGAAATGATGTAAAAAACATGTAAAAATTATGTAAAAAACATGTAAAAAGTATGTAAAAAACATGTTAAATTAATGTAATGTGGCTACTCAGTTCCAAAAGCATCCAGCTTTCGATTAAAGTTCTGCTGCTCAAAGCAATCCTTAAGCCAAGCTAGACGTATGCAATCGAAATATGGGGCACCGCATCCAAGCACTAGCCAAACTGGCTGAGGAAAGTGCAGGCACGTGCTGCTCAAGGGGCATCCGAATTTTCCTGGTAGGTGACAAACCAGGCCATCCAAAACGACCTACGCCTTGTTCCTCTGGGCAACCTCCTAAATCAAAACAGCCAACGTTACTCGGAAAGGCTAACGAGTCACCCAAATCCACTGGCTAGCAGGCTGGCCGACCCCCAAATGTTTAGACGTCTAAAGAGATTTCACCCCAGCGATCTGTCTTCCCGTGTTGTAAATTAACATTGTAAACATATGTAAATAATTGTATATAGTCCCGGCCCATATTCCACATGTACCATATTCACCCCATCCTCTAAATGTCCGGTTATGTTCAAATGGTCCTGAACGACTCCGGCGACTATATTAAAATTTAATTAAAAAGTAAATACTGCTTAACATTTACTAAAAATATACATAAATTTGTGTAATAGTTCTTCTCGATTACCTAAACTTTTTACCATAAATTTTACACTTTTCTACACTGACATATAGATAAGCAATAACAGGATAATATACCTCAACCGCAATGTGTTATTAAAAACCGTTAACATATAATACCATTTTCTGTATGTTTGCATTGTTTGGCTTTAATTAGATTACATAAAGATTTTGTATAATTCATATCCAGTTATGTAAAATTAACGCAACATCTTAACAAAATGTATGTATTTAATATATAAAATGCATATTCATTTAATATAAAATTAAGACGTAATGTACCCATAATTGACGCGTAAGTTTGTTTAAATTTATATAATATTCCTTGATTAAATATAAGTGTTGTAAAAATATATGCAAAAGGTTTGTTTACTATTTAAAATTTTTGGTAATATTTTATGCACAACGTATGTATAAATGAAGTATACTTTATACATACCTGAAGTAATTACCTGTAGGGTACGATTGAAGTCTATGTGTGCGGGTGATAAAGCTATAGATTATGCCTGTTTAGTCTACGCCTGTTTGTCCGTTATTCATACACTTGCCGGCATCTTTACAGCTTGGCTTAAACCTACAGTTACTGGCTACATTTAAAGCAAACATTGAGCACTGCTGCACAATCGTTGCAACACTTTGAAGCCGAATATTCCATTTTTATTCAAAACCCTGAGTATGCGGTGTTGCTTTAAAAGTGGTTTTCAACCAATACTACGGTTCTGCTACCAGGATGAGAAGTTGCTTGTCAATCTTTTAGTTATAATTTTCCTCACAAAATGACCGTGCCTTGTTTATATCAAAGCCAAAATTGGTTCAAATATGCAAAAAAAAAAAAAGATTTCGTTGTGTTTGTTATCTAATTCCTAGTCGATCTGCATTCAAACCTAAAATGGGGAATTTTTTGTGATTTCATGTAAATTTTTAAGATGTTACCTCTTACTAAAAATGTAAAAATCGGTCCGTCCCAATTTTCCGCCCAAAATGTCAGCATTAAACTTATATCAAAGCAAAAAGTGGTCATATCATACTGTTATATCTCGTTGTGTTCTTTATTAAATTAACCGTCAAACTGTTTACCAGGCTCAAAATGTATATTTTTTGAGATTTTTCCTAAATTTTTATGATTTTACCCCTTGTTGAGCAACTAAGAGTTTTTAATTGCTGTACAAAAAACAAAAACCAGTGCTGGTCAATTTTCAAATTTTTTTCTGAGTTCAAATTAAAACCAAATCAATTTTGCAAAAAAAAAAACCCTGCCAAATGCAAGAAGTACAAGCTTAACAACAAAAGCTTCGAGCTACAGCAGTTTTACAAAAGCTTATGCGTTACAATATAACAGTAAAGCGTATGCGAAACTGTAGCAACCAAAACAAAATAGGAACAGCTGATAAGCCCGCCGCTGTTATCTGTCCTTGTCTGCTTGGCCCAACACCCTTTTTCAAAAATTTAAAAATTGGTCTGGCTCGATTTTCCAACAAAAATATCAGTATTTTCTTTATTACAAAGGCGCGTTCATTTTCCCATTTTTTTTTAAATTTAAATCAAAACCAAATCAACTCCTCAAAAAACACCACGCAGAATGCAAGAAGTACAAGCTTAAGAAAAAAAGTTGCGAGCTACAGCAGTTTTACAAAAACTTCTAAAATCTTATGCGTTACAACATAACAGTAAAGCATATGCGAAACTGGAAGAATCAAAACAAATTAGAAACAGCTGATAAGCCCGCCGCTGGTATCTGTCTTTGTCTTTGTATGCTTGGCCCAACCACCCCATTCAAAAATTTGAAATTCGGTCTGTCTCAATTTTCCGCCCAAAATATAAGAATTTTTTTTATCACAAAACCAAGAATTATCACATCATAGATATTATAACTCAAAAAGTACATTTTTAAAGATATTTTGTAAAATTTTATAAAATTTTTTAGAAAAAAACGAAATTAGTCTCTCATGATTTTCACCTCAAAATATCAGTATTTTCTATATTACAAAGGAAATAGGTCTAAATATGGGAATGCATGCCTCGTTGTGTTTGTTGTCTAATTCTTAGTCGTTCTGCATTCATACCTACAATAGTATTTTTTTTGCACTTATTTTACAAATAGGCACTCTTACCTCTTATCAAAATGCATAATTTGGTTAATCCAAAATTTCCCCAAAAAAAATTACCGTGTTTAACTTACAGCAAAGCCAAGAATGGTCCAAATATGGAAAGACATACCTCATTGGATTTGTTGTCTATTTGCTAGCCGATCTGCATTCAAACCTAAAAACAAACAAATTTTTACATTTATTTTATAATAGTAAATTTTTAAAATATTTCCTAACGATAGACAATGTTACCTCTTCTCAAATATGCAAACTTTGGTTATTGCCGATTTTTCATTCAAAATATAATTATTTTAATTATGACTACACCATTCCTTTTCAGCAATTCAGTTATTCTAGGATTTATACTCCCTGGTTGCCTCCACTAGCAACTGTTGTCAATCCTAGTAATCTATCTTGCATATTAAATTGTAAGTAAAAGATTGGTTTTCAATTTTTTGAAATCTGTTATCTTGTTCCGTACTTTTGACACGGTTAACCACACTTTCAAATGCCATATTACTAAAATCATGTGATTTATTTGTAGCTTTTATGTCTAGATTATCAATGTAGTACACGCACATATGATCAGCTAAGCCTACATTATCAAAAAAAAAATTCAGTAAAAAGGTTGCATACCATTTTTACATCGCTTTTTGTTCCTGTTCCTCAGTTTTTCTTTTTTAATTTTCTCTTTCGTTTTATCTACATTTATAATTACGTAGTAATGCTAAAAAGTACACCTATCAAAAAAAAATAATAGTGACAAAAATGGGGATTTAAGGAATAGATTACAATGTACAAAGCAGTCGAAGCCCAAATTTTCATTAAAATATGAGCGAAAAAACAAGTTATCCCTTGGAGGATTGGATAATTATGATGTAGGCAAGTGAATAGAGAAGAGTGAAAGGGTACATTGGGCGTAACATCAACATAATTTTGGCATAACAAGTCTTTTTTGTGTTGTAGGTTGTTTCTGGAGACATATTCGTTTTTACATGTTGCGATTTCGCTGATTGCCGCCTCGCTGATTGCGATTGTTTCCATTGCCGTTGCCACCTGATCCTCCGCCTGAAAAGTGTCCACCTCTTCCACCCCCATTGTTGTTATTGTTTCCATTGTTGAAGTTTGTAAAGGGTACGCCCATATTACCCATATTGCTCATACCGCCAACACCACCTGCATTGTTGACTGCTCCGCCTGCAAAAGGGTTAAAAGGATTGCCATTTGGCACTGGTCCTCCTCCATGATTTAGTCCTCCTAGGTTTCCTATTCCTTGGTTCCCTCCACTAACTCCTGGTGGCATTCCCAGTAGTCCAGCTCGCGGTGGTTGCTGATTAAAATGCGGTCCAAGATTGCCCATTTGCATCATCATTCCGGACATACGTAGCATCCGAATATTTGGTGGTGGTAGTCTTAACATTTGGGCCAAATTCGGTGGTGGTTGCGACAAATTGGGCAGAACAACTCCTCCTGCCGCTTGCCAAACCCCACTACCACCGCTATTCTCCTCTGGCACCTACACTACCTGACCATTGTCATCCACATAGATAGAACGCTTAGCAAAAATTTGTTGCAATCCTAGTAATCTATCTTGCATATTAAATTGTAAGTAAAAGATTGGTTTTCAATTTTTTGAAATCTGTTATCTTGTTCCGTACTTTTGACAAGGTTAACCACACTTTCAAATGCCATATTACTAAAATCATGTGATTTATTTGTAGTTTTTATGTCTAGATTATCAATGTAGTACACGCACATATGATCAGCTAAGCCTACATTATCAAAAAAAAAATTCAGTAAAAAGGTTGCATACCATTTTTACATCGCTTTTTGTTCCTGTTCCTCAGTTTTTCTTTTTTAATTTTCTCTTTCGTTTTATCTACATTTATAATTACGTAGTAATGCTAAAAAGTACACCTATCAAAAAAAAATAATAGTGACAAAAATGGGGATTTAAGGAATAGATTACAATGTACAAAGCAGTCGAAGCCCAAATTTTCATTAAAATATGAGCGAAAAAACAAGTTATCCCTTGGAGGATTGGATAATTATGATGTAGGCAAGTGAATAGAGAAGAGTGAAAGGGTACATTGGGCGTAACATCAACATAATTTTGGCATAACAAGTCTTTTTTGTGTTGTAGGTTGTTTCTGGAGACATATTCGTTTTTACATGTTGCGATTTCGCTGATTGCCGCCTCGCTGATTGCGATTGTTTCCATTGCCGTTGCCACCTGATCCTCCGCCTGAAAAGTGTCCACCTCTTCCACCCCCATTGTTGTTATTGTTTCCATTATTGAAGTTTGTAAAGGGTACGCCCATATTACCCATATTGCTCATACCGCCAGCACCACCTGCATTGTTGACTGCTCCGCCTGCAAAAGGGTTAAAAGGATTGCCATTTGGCACTGGTCCTCCTCCATGATTTAGTCCTCCTAGGTTTCCTATTCCTTGGTTCCCTCCACTAACTCCTGGTGGCATTCCCAGTAGTCCAGCTCGCGGTGGTGGCTGATTAAAAGGCGGTCCAAGATTGCCCATTTGCATCATCATTCCGGACATACGTAGCATCCGAATATTTGGTGGTGGTAGTCTTAACATTTGGGCCAAATTCGGTGGTGGTTGCGACAAATTGGGCAGAACAACTCCTCCTGCCGCTTGCCCAACCCCACTACCACCGCTATTCTCCTCTGGCACCTGCACTACCTGACCATTGTCATCCACATAGATAGAGAGCTTAGCAAAAATTTGTTGCAATGTTGGATTGTTCACAATAAAGCTGACATCAAAAATTTTTGGGGCATCCTCGGGCAGCTGATGAAATTTCTTAAGTTCAGTAAACACCAGAGCTAACTGTTGATTTACCATGATCTTATTGTTGCTGCCAAGATTTTTGTACCATGTGGAACTCTGCATCAGGTTTCGGATTTCGGAGATTTGCTTACTGCCTCCAGCGACATTGATGGTAGTAGAAGATGTGATGCTCGTCGAATTTGCAGGTTGATTTTGAGTCTGCAGATGGGCCCTCCTGGGATCTCGACGTGGGTCTGTTCGTGGTCCATGTTTTTCTACTTGTAAATTCGGAGGCGGTACGCTCATCGATGGCGGTGGGACACTCATGGAAGGTAAAATGGCCAACGACGGGGGCGGTGAACTGGGCGTAGCATCACGTATATTTGTTTCCGACTCCGGTGAAGCTATGGTAGCCCCGGACAAGGAGCTGCCTCCCGAAAAAGTCGTTGAATCCATGGGTCCACTATTGTCAGGAAGATCAGGCAGACCCAGTAAACGACGCATACGAGGGTCCCGTAGATCCCTTTGCTCTTTGTGCAGAGCGCTGGCCCTGATCTGAGTATAACTGGTCTCATCCACGGACACCTCATGCAACACCCAATGTAGCGGAGTGTGCGAGAAGATAGCCGCATCAATCTCGGTGGCAGGCATATAGTGCTTTATGGGCTCGAACGGCAGACGCATATCTGTATCACGCTGGTGCTGTTCGTCTTCCTCCAAGACAGACTCTTTCCCCTGCTGCAGTTCTTCTACCTTCGAAGGATCAAAATCATACATGGAAGGTCGCAGGTAAAGGGAGGGAGCTGTTGCCGGCAACGCAGCTACAATGCCATGCAAATCCAGCATCTCATGATCTTGGTCTTTTTGCTTGGGCGACTGAGACCCCGGCTCCGGGGTTGGCGTCGGCGTCAGGGACCGTGAATTCGAATTGGAGTTGTCATTACTGGAGCCCGCATCGCCATCGCCACTGTGCGCCTTAAAAGGATTGCGAATAATGTCGCGGTAGAAAGCCGCTCTAGCCTCGGGATCTGATTGTTTGTCACCAAATAAAATCCGACTGAACACATTGCTGGAGGTGCTTGCGCTGCTGGATGTGGGTTTGAGTTCCGGTTTCTCTTCTCCACTCACTTGCGAAATCTCCTGATTGGGGGAGGTTGCACTTGCTGGCAATATTGGGCTTGCTGCGGATGCCTTGCCTAGCATGTTGTTCATGAAGCTGGGCAAATCAAAAACAGATGGCAAGGGTGCCTCCTCTGTGGCGGAATTCTGACAAGCGACAGACAACTTATTCAACGGCTCCTTTGCTGGCTCCTTTACAGGCTCCTTTGCCGGCTTTGGCTGCTGTTCCTCCTCGGCGACAGACTCATTGCCATCATCTATGACCAGTTGTTCTTCGTCGTCCCGGTCGTCGTCAACTTTAATTAGATATAAGACATTTTAATCAAAACAAATATTTTAGCTACGATCAATGGATTAAAGTTAAAGCTAATCGAGCAACAGAACTATTAGGAAATAATCACTTTATTTTGGAATATTTTTTTAATAACATTACAGAATTACATATTTACTTTCTATTGTTCACAGAGAACAGTGTCACTATCATTGACTTTAAATACTTATTTTTAATATTAAATGAAGAAAAAGTACATTTTAAATGCATTTACTATCAACCGGATCAATACTTGTAATGATAAATGTAGATTTTGCAAGTTGTGCACATAGGTTCTTAGCCTGAAGCTTGCCGATAAATTACGATTTTCTCGATTTAATTTCTACTTCCTTTAATCTGATTGACACACTAACGCAAAATGATATTCTCCGTCTTTTGCACATACTAAATATGACCATACCGTAAATTTCATTAAAATGATTAAGTCTCTAATAAGCTTTTGTTTGATTAAGAACAATCTCTAACAAAAGAAATTAATTAAAATATAAAACCAGGATAATGCATTTAAATGCATTTTGAGATAAATCAGCGCAATAACAATGCTTTTATAGAAAAATTTAATTATATTATACTTACGCGGATCGTTACCCGAAAAAGTGACATGTGCATCCTTGAGATACTGCGTATAGTCCACCATAATGAAACCATTGCTGTTAGAGTTGCTATTGTTGGCCTCTGTTTCTGGCTTGGCAATGGGAGTACTACAGGAAAAACAAATTTATATAATATATATGTTCCGGTTTTAAGTAATAAGCTTACCTTGTTGCCGTTTCGGCCTGGGTTTGTGGCTTAGCGTCCTCGGCCTTGCGCTGAATTTCACCGATTTCGACCAGCGTTAAACCCGCTTCGGTTAACTGACCAAAGGGCACCTGCATCATTTGCTCTAAATTCGAAATTCCCAACTTATTTAGCTTAGCCATGTTTTCAGTACTTAAAACGTGACTAAGATTGGATAAGTCTAAATGTGGGGGTAATGGTTTGGTAGCTGGCAATTTGTTTTCCACATCTGAAGAAACTGCTCCTCCAACAACTGACTTTGTCGCCGCCCAGCGGGATTTACGTTTCTTTTTTGAGTGCGGTGGATTAATAACCATGTCCAAAAGTGAGGGAATGCAGCCGCCGCCCTCTGCAGTGGCCTGTTGCTGCAACTGCAACTGTTGTTGTTGGTCTTGTTGCTGTTGCTGTGGTTGCATCTGCATGTGTTGTTGTTGATCCTGCCGCCTACACATTCCGCCACTCCCAATCATAGTCCAGGTGTTCTCCCGTTTGTATTTATCACACAATTGTTCGTGCCGTCGCGTCATCTGTCCGAGAGCAATATCTCTCGATATTCTTTTGAAATCACCAAGTATCTCTTTTGGTGCTGTCTCCATGTGTTTGAGTAGAATGTTGCGCAGTTGTTCGGTTAACGGTTCGCCGTGATGAAACAGACAATCGTCACCGGCATAGCAATCCATGCCCAGGTAATAGTACTTGCAAGGAAACTCCTTATGCATATAGGAGCATTTGTCCCGTTTAGCACAGCAGTCCATGAGATAAAACTTGCACAGTTCCAATTTTCGGGGTTCAATGCGACCACTGCCACCCATTTTCTCCTGTCCTCCGCAAACACCTTCCCCAGAATCGCGGCGATTTCGCTTGACTCCTCCAGCCCCCCCGCCCTCATGGCGATCGCGATCTCTTCGCTTGCGAGTATTGCCCCCACGTTGTTGCTCCTTTTCTCTATCTCTTCGCATTCGACGCCGCTGATTTATCGAACCCGGTACAGGTGACTCCTCTTCGGAATAGGAATCATAGCTGCTGTAGGGATCCTGCTGCGAGTCATAACCTCCTCCTCCTCCTGCTCCAAGGCCTGCTTCTGCGCCCAAGGCTGACCCATCGCCAGAGTCCCAATCGGGACCGCAAAAACGTTGACCACCACTACCACCAGATGAAGACGGAGCTACTCCTCCGGGAGGCGGACTGCCACCCCGTACGTTCATCATCTCATATTCATCCATGTCATCACTACAAGCACTGCCCGCCACACAAGAGACTTTCTCACCTTCCCGGCAGAATCGTTTCTAAGAAAGTTTAATATAAAAAGTAAAGTAAAATAGAATTAAGCATAATAAGTCATAACTAAATAATATAATGGTTATCATATGGAAATATTCTAGAGAAAATAAGGATAAATATTTTGAACAATCATCTCAAAAAAATTGGATAAAATCCAATTGATCATGAAATTTGGCTACGCTAGTTAAGCACTTTTATTAAAATTCCCAAATACAATTGTTCTTCATTGGAGTCGGTTATAAATACAAGAAATTTGATTTTTCTTAAAACATAAAAAGATTTTCGGTTTTATCATTAACAGAAGTCACAAATTTTTAATATATTATTAATATATTATATAATCCAGAAGTATAGTATATTTTTCGTTTAGAAAGTTACAAATTTGTATTACAAACCCTTCAACTGTAAAAAAAGAAGGAGAAAAACAGAACTAGTACCTACTAAATGAACGAAAGGGATTTACAAACATTCAAAGAAAAAAATTTCTATTACATGGTTGGATGAACAATGCAACGCATATATCACGTATATCGCATATAAACTATACAACTGCAAGTCGTTAAACATGATATGAAAACCTTACCTGGTGTTCTTTGTCCTTTTGTTCGCGTTCGCGTTCTTTTTTTCGTTTTCTTCGCCTGCTGCTACGACTTGGCTGCTGGAGATGATTTCCGCCGACAGGAAATCCCTCCCCAGATCCCTCCAGAGAACCATCACCCATATCCTGGTTCGACGAACGCATTCTGGGCATTGGCGGTTCAATGCCCTTCTTTTTCAGGGCATTAGCAATAGCATTTTCTATGCTGCTAGCATGATCATCTAAGGAATACAAATCAAATTAATTAAATAAACATAAAGGAAAATAAAAAGCAATTATCTTTTACCTTCCAATGGCCTCGGTTTTTTTGATTTACTGCTCTTATTATTTTGCGGGCCCCCAGAATCTGATAATAATCCGATATACCCACCATCCTCGCCGCCTGTTTGGTTTTTTACATCCACGCCAACAAACTGCCCGTCATTAGCCGCCGGGGAAATCTTTCTGTATTCCAGGATCTTACGTGGCGATTGCTCTTTCTCGTCCTCTTCGTCATCGTCAATCTCACCATCTTCTAAATCCTCCTCCAAATCGTTAATGGGCGCATCAGCCATAATGGATGACATTTATAGATTACACTGGCGGTAGAACTTGTAAAAAATCTGCGAAATGATTCCTTTTTGAAGACTGCTGAAAACAAAAAAAAAAACTTGGATAACTTTTGGTTCAAGAGGGTCATGGATATTTTATACGTTTTCTATTTCGCCTATGTTTATATATTGTAAAATTAAAACAGTGACTTTCCAACTCTCAAAAGAATCAAATAACACTAAAAGCAAACGTTCCTGATTTGGATTGTCAAACATATACAAAAGTCAATAATCTCATACGCAACACTCAGAGAATTTATAAAATGAAATAAAATAAAGAAATAAAATTAAGTGTTATAAGTTGTAACATTTTTAAAGTTCTAAACTTGTTTATACTTGGATAGCACTATTCTGTTTCTTAATATTATTGAATATTATCCTTGTCTTTTTATGTTATGGTTTTTTTTTAATTTATGAAAAGGATGTGAAGAAATTACATGAAAAGATAACGCAAACACAGGATAAAATAAGGAAAAACTTTTTGAAGTTCTAAATAATAATTTGAAGTATAAACAATTATACTTGGTCAGCACTATTCTGCTTTTAATATTCAATAGATTGATTTTTTGTATGTTATGAAAAGGATGCTTAGCAGTGTAGCTGCGTTTAAAGGACCATTATAACTGCAAAACGAATGACTAGATTACATGAAAAGATAACATGAACACACGATAAGGTCAGGAAAAACTTTGACAAGTTGATTCTTCTCATTGCATTTAAGAGGCCTTTGCTAAGTAAAAGCTTAGATATAACTTGGTATAGATGACTATATAGACGTTAGTAATACTTGATTTCTTTTACATAGGTACATATATATATGATCCGTTTCTTGTCATTAATTTTTCATAGATAAAGGTCCATTGAAACGCAAAAAAAGGTTCCGAAACGAGTTCTGCGTTTTCTCTACCCAAAGTCAGCATACTTTTGTCTTTCGCTTTTTTAGGTTAAGAAAATGATATGTATTTAAAAATAAAAAGGACTTATTTAAAATCAAAGAGGACACTATTAGATATAGTCTACGTTTCTAAGAAATAAAAACTCTATATTACATGTAAACATTTTTACAAACATTTTCGTTGGCCAACGTGTAAACCATTATTGGAAAGCATACCATAAAATATTAATATTAAATATAAATTCTATGAGTTTTTGATAAAGAAACCAATTTTTGGAAACCGAAAAGCAAAGCTTCCTTGAAGACAACTATGTATACATATATGTATGTATATATGTATTTATATTCATGAAATCTCGTTGTTTGTCCTTTGCGGAGGAAACATGAACCATATATACATAAGTCGCGCGCGCATGTGTACATACATATGTACATATGTATGTATATACGTTTATTTTTATGTAAGCATATTACCCGCTTTTATATATCTATTTGTATATTAAACTTGAATTTTGCATACAAATGAGTGATACACATATAATTAATGCATTTATCATTTGATTAATGAAAATAACAAATTCAAATGTATTAAATGATATTCACACACGCATAAAACAAGCGCGTGCTTAATTCTGACTCGCTGTTGTTGGTCATGTTGTCTCGCTTGCACGCCCATAATTATAGAGGGCATCAAGCAGACAATGTTTCCATTGAGTATGTCGTGTGTGTGTGCGAGAAAGGAAATGTTTTTGTTAGTTCATATCTTTTTTATACATATTTTTACGATTTATGCTTAAGAAAAATAATTTTTAATTGTTACACTTGAAAGTTTATTCCTTTTCTTGCTTACTCCATTTTCTCTCATTATTTGAGCTATTTCTTTATATGCGACTGTAAATAGCAGTGAGTATATGCACGCTAAACACAGCTACGCAGTTATACATTTATATGCATATGTATGCGCATACAAATATGCAGTGAACGAAAAGCTCGCATTTATTTTTTTGTGGTCGTTCCAAAAAATGTACATATGTATTTTCGCAATAATATAACTTCCGTCCCTTTCTCACACCTACACACGTAGCCCCAGCGAGATACATATACATACAGACATACAGTACATATACCGTGGAGTACATACGGAACTATGCCAAACAAATATTTAGTTTTTTACGATCATAATTTTTTAGCGTGATTTTACGTGCGATTTTTTTAGGTGGAACATTTACAACTTTTCGGTATATGTTTATAACATTTCTGTTCGGTTTTTGATTTATAGGTGGAATAGTTTTGGTTCGTTGTTTTGCTTTTCGCTTTTCGGATTTCCTGTTTGGATGTCTTTCTTCGTCGCTGCTTACATAATGTGGAAGTGGTACAGTAGGTGAATAAATATATATATATAAGCATATGCATAAGGCAAAAGCCGCAATACATATATATATTGACATACATATGATGTATACGTTTTGATGACGCAGCGGTTGGTGAGTACATATATAGGTACAAAAAATCGTTGAAGTTTCGCAGAATCAAGTAGCGAATTTTCGACTTGCTTTTTTTTTGACTATATATGTATGTACATATCTACAGAGATTTATGTGTGCATGCGGCAAGCGCTCTCTCGCTCGCACCCGCCTTTAGATCGTTCTCGCCCTCTTTGTCTCTTAGCCTGCGGGCCCTGTATCTGAGTATCGTATCTCTCCCTTTTTTGTCTGTCTCTGTTACGCTCATGGACAGAATACAATATACAAAAACATTAAATTAATAAAACTTTTCGTCCAAAACATAGTAATCAGGAGGCTTGTTTGCTAACGTTCAACAATTCTACTTAAATGTAGAGATGGCAAAAATAGTAAATTAGAGAAAGCGGAAAGGCGATTTTTAATCGATACCTGGCAGAAGGTTGCCGATTGGTGTACCGCTCAACTATATCAGGAGTGTGTATCGGATAGTCAGGAGAGTGTGTTCCTATTGGTTACAATGGCTTACTATGTAACTATCGGTGGCATGCCCGTAATTTGGTCGGTTCACATAATGGCCACACTAAAAATATATGAATTGTCAGCTAGTTATTGATGATTTTTATGTGAAATCGTAGAATTTCAGCCATGGCGAGATCGAATCTGCTGACCCAACTGGATAGTATAGATCAGAACGATCTATTATATGTAGAACGTGACCTGAATTTTGCCCAAAAGGTAAAATATCCTCCCTATGATAACATCAAATACATGAAGTACACATTTCCAGCCGGGAAATACGTAGCTTGTTTCTTATTTAAGATTAATATTAAATAATATAGGTGGGCCTTTGCTTCCTGCTTTTTGGCGTTGAACACTCTGATGCAACCTACATTCTGCAGAAGCTTTTGAGCATGACTCGATCAGACTACCCGCAAAGTGATTTGCTTATGCAGTACGCCAAATCCCGACCAGAAGCGTGGAGACGACAACTCGTGGAGGCTCTGTGCATTATTGGTGCCAGACAGGTGCTACGCAGATTGGGTTTCCGTTGGCAGGAGCTTCGAATGCACTATTTGCCGCATATTGGAGGAATAACACTGCATGTTCATCCTCTTTTAAAGACGCTATATAAAATTTGCGAGGAGTTGTCGTTAGCGCAGAGTGGGCGCTTGGTCATAGATGTTGGCGAAAAGGTGGAGCAACACAAGGCAGGAGATCCACTCCGCTTCTATGATCCGACTTACCTTGAGATCTTCCTATTGGACTGGCTAACCAGGAGGTGTATACGGCTAGGTGACATTAACGGCCAGGGCAGTGATGTTCAACTGCTGATTGAGTATTTCAAATTTAATGATTTGCACGAATATGCCAAGTTGCTCATAGATACAATCAACAGCAACGCTCTAGATCAAGACCCAATAGTGGCTAATCTAACGCCCATGAAGCAAGACACGGAATCGAATATTCAGCAGGCGCCTATATGTTCCACAGTTAAACCAGACTCCTTGACTGCTTCTTTCCGACGAAAAAATGCCATCGAGTTAACGCGTGAAAATGCAGGAATCGCTTTGATTATTAACCAACAGAAATTCCACCGGAATGTCGGTAATGATCTTAAGGTGGCTATTTTGTAATAAGTAAATTATTTAAGTTAACACATACCTTTTTCCTCAGAGATTTTTATCACCCAAAACATTACTGAAACGGGATGGCACAGATGTCGACAAAGCGCGACTTAATAAGGTATTCTCTTCAATGGGATACAGCGTGGAGTCGCACGACAATGTGAATCACTTGGACATTGTGCAACTTATGAGAAGTGCCTGCGATAGGTCCCTGCTGCGGGATTCACTTGTAGTCTGCATATTAAGCCATGGTTTTGAGGAGGCCGTATATGGAGCGGATAGCATTGCCCTACGGATCACAGACTTGGAAAATGTGCTTTGCAGCTACGAAACACTCTACAACAAACCCAAGCTGCTGGTCATCCAGGCCTGCCAGGAGGAGGCTCTCAAGAAAGGAGAGCCAAATCAAAAGGGATTGCCTGTAAGAGTTTTTTTTTAAGTATTTTCATGGATATATCATGGACAAATCTAGGTCAAAGCCCACTAAAAATATTTACTAAAGCTTTATGTATTAGTTAGTCGTAAAGTAAATAGGTGAATAGGTGTATTCATAGAAGGAAGCTTTCTGACCTTTTAAAGTGTATATAATCTTGACCTAACCTATAGTCCAGTCGACTTAGCCATATAAATCTGACCGCATGAACTATGAGAGACCGAAAGTTGGCATTGCAGATCGTCGATAAAATGCCGTTCATTATACTAAAGTTCAGGTTTTTGGTTTAACTTTAAATAATATTCTATTGTCAATACCAATCAATTTACCAAACAAATGTGTATATTAGAACTTAAATTTAGGCTTAAAACATACCTTATGCGGTTCGACCCACAGGCGGTTAGCATAATATGTTTAAAATTGGTTGGAGCAACGTCTTTCTGATAAGTTTCTTTTTTCAGTTTAAAATCGATGTGTCCACCCAGTCGCCGGGTCAACACATTAACATGGTACGGGCCATGTCCACGGTAAATGGATTTGCTGCTCTCCGGCACACGCATATGGGCAGCTGGTTTATTCAGAGCCTGTGCGATGCCATCGATCAGTATTCTGCCAGGTAAATAGTTCCAAAAACATAACCATCGGATTAATCTAATAGATATTTTCGACGTCGCGTAGTGAGCATTTTACCGATATACTGACGATAGTCACCAACGATGTGGCGGAAAAGCGGGGTGAGAACGACGAGTCCATGGTGCCCAAGTTTAATAGCACCCTTCGCCAGCACGTCTACTTGCCACCTCGCCTGTGACATTACTTTTTTAATTAATGATTAATAATTAAATCTTTATATTGAATTTTAGTTATCAAGCGAGCTGGATGTAAAGAAGATGAAAAGATTTTTATGCCTCTAATTAATTTTGTGTTTCCATTTAAAGCAGAAAATGCTTTTATGATTATTTCGTACTGGCTTATTTATGGATGTTTTTTATCTTCAATACTAATTATTTAGTACTTAGGATTATTTACTACAAAAAAAAATTTAGTTTTAAGAATAGTTATTTATGAAGATAAGTTATAGATTTTTTTAAGCTTTTTGAGGGTTTGATACTTTTTTTCGGTTTTTCTTGCTCCATGTCCATGGCTTGTAACTCATTTTTCACTTTCATATCATCGTCTGCTGACTTCTTAGATTTCGGTATCTTCTTCGTGTGCGGAGGCATTTTGGACAAAACTTGAACTTTCTCAAGCAGTTTTTTTTGCTTCTTGCCACCTTGGGCTAGAATTTTCTGCAGCAGCTTTAGCTCCTTGGGACTTTTGGCTTCAATCTCCAGTTGCAGTACATATCTGGCTAGTTGCTTTTCGAATTCTTTGGCAGAAGAGTTGTTTTCTTTAAAAGCAGTTTCGAGTCGTCGATATTGCTCACTGAGAAGCTTTAATATCTGTGCTCGTCGGAAACTGCGAGTTTTCTCCACATCCAAATGGGAGGCCAAGACAACGGCCAGCGGAGCAACTCCCTGCCATTGAACAGCCTGGAACAGTGCTTCAAAGCTAGCTAGCGATAGACGACTACGTCGTTTGGCTACCCACAGCTCCAGGAACTCGACGAGCAGGGGCCAAACGACACTATCCTTGGGCTCCCCACCTACGGATCCCTGGCTGACCAGGTAGGCAAAGCACTTATCCCGACAAATGTTGACCTCGCTCTTTGCCTGTCGGTTGGCTCTTGGTTCTTGATCCTCTTCTGACTGCTCCTCGGCAGTAGACATCAGTTGCTCAATGGCCTCTAGAATGGGTGAATTATCCTGCTCAGCACTAAATTCGATATTCTTGGAAAGCAATTTTTTAAGCAATTTTGAACTGGCTTCTCGCAACGATTGCAGTTTAGTGTCGCCGCTGCAATGACGGTAAACTTGAAAAACGCAATGCAGCACGTCCAGGATCACCGATTGTATTGGTTTCTTGTTGACGAACAACTCCAGCAAATCTAAGGCCCGAATGCGAAAGTGCAGCAGACTAGTGTTATCAATGCGTTCTGATTTGGTTAATCGTTCTTTTTCCTGTGCTTTACGCGACTTGGGTCGATACAACTGAAAAGACCGTTCCAAAGCAGCATTTAAGCGTTTGCCCTGTTCTTCGTCTACATCGTTCCAATCTACGCTACTGGCGCCATCCTCACCAACATCACCATCGTTGACTAAAGCCTGACGAACGCTCTCGCGAATCTTGGCCAAATTGGCCTCATCCGCATCCTCGTCTTCTTCATCTTCGTTATCATAATCGTTTTCACTGTCTAAATCGTCACTTGAATCCTGTGGTAATTCTTCCTTTTCGATTTCTTCATCGCTCTCGACTTCGCTCTCTTCTTCGCTCTCGTCTTTTTTACTCAATGGGTTTCTGTTCATGTTGAGTACTTCAAGGACCTGCTCAAGATTACCATGGTCGAGATAGGGAATTATAGCGGTTGCCACTATGTTGACAAATTCACGCCAGAAATGGCCTGTTTGCAAAAGCAACTGTAGTAGGGCATCAGTAAGCACATCCTGCCATTTAAGATCCTTGTTAACCTAAAAATATTATTTACTATAGAGCTAAGTACAACAAAATATATATATATATATATTACAATTTTTTTTGTTTTCTCCAGAGCATTTTTCCGACAAATTATCAGATCCTCCAACACTGTAACAGATAGGGGAATCTGTGTACACAAAGCCAAAGAAACAAACAGGATCAGAGCCTCGAATGTTTGGCTTACGACATCAGTTTCCTCACTGGGTTTTGCCAGCAGCTTTTCTACCTGTTTCCAGGCCCTCTGCAAGGCATCATCCCTTGGTTTACGTAATTTGCTCTCCGCATCCGGTTTTCCCAACTCATCGTTGAGATAACTTAAGACATTTTGAAGCAATTCGCAAAGAGATGTCAGACCCGAGCAGTTATGCATCATGGAACCCAAAAAGATCTCCTCACAACGCGCAGAACATTGACGACTAAAAGTACTAGCTTTAGTGACTTCGCATGGTTTTCTTTCGACATTCAAGTGAAAGAGGCCTGCGATTAATAAATCATGCAACTGCTTTTGGCGCCATTCAGATTCCTGGTCCATTTTCGAGTGCTGTAGTATTACCTGCATCTGATTAAGGCAGTGTACCCGACTTACTTTATCTTCATCTTCAAAAGAGTCCACAAGTTTGCTGTAGTAATCATAGAGCTTTTGAAGGCTATTGACGCTCAATTGATTGATCAAATGTTGGCTAAAACGGGGCAAGCTAATCACTGAATCCAAATTTAGTCTTTGTTGTAAAAATTTGATCAGCAGCTGCAGCTTGATCTCATCGTTTTGTAATTGCTTTTCAAAACTCAAAACTAAGCACCCTTCAAACTTTAAGCAAATTCTGCGCAGTTCTTTTTGGGAAGGTTTTTTGACATCACTTGTTTCACCTTTTACAGTTGACAGTTCCTGTAACAGGAATTGCACATATCTGGGTGTAAAAATATCCAAGATTGACTGCTCATCTTTTTGCTTGAACTTAAGGAGTATATAACCAAGTACTTGGATTACACAGGCCTTCGCTGCATTTGTTTTTAGCGGATGCTTGGTATCAGTATACTTCTGCCAGGCGACGAGTGTGTCTTTCCCGCCATTTGTCAAAAACTTGGCCAATCTGGCGTATACATTATCACTGTGAATGGTGGAGTCTGATAAATAAAGCTCAAAAAGTTGATCGTACACTGGCTTCTTGGGCCACAAAATGGCATGAAGCTGCTGCCATCCCAGAATCGAGGAATAGGTCAGGTGCACGGCCAGTAAAAGATCACAGGTATTAATCTTTAAGCTACTTAATGGCTTGTTCAACTGAGGTTGCAGAAGTGGCCACACGTACTTTTCAAAGATGCCAGCGGGTAACTACGGATAAATTTTATGAAAATCTAATAAATATCTTGCGGAGGACCTCAATCACTAACCTGCTTAAAAGATTCAGCAAAAATATCCGCACATATAGATACTAGGTACTCTCTGCCATTTAACTGGTTCGCTAGAATCTGGTAGACCTCCGATATTACATTCGCTTCGTGTTCAGTGAAATGCAGAGTTTGTAGGATGCAAAATGATATAATCAATTGGCCTACGACGGCAAGGGAGTCCTCCTTGCCCCGCTGCTGACTACTAACGGCTAGGTTCCGCTTCAGAATCTCTAAAACTTGTAAAGCATCAACAGCAGGTACTGTTCTTAAGATGCAGTGTATATAACTGGCGGCTTGGGCCACCGCGTTCAGGTCATCTGCTCCTGTCGATCGAATCAATCGCTTTAGGACATAGCAACTGGTTGCAATACGCTAGCGTCATAAAATTAATATATTTATTAACGGGACTATTTAAATATTTTATAGAGGCCTAACCTGTTCAACATTTTTGTCATCGCGCAACAGTACCACAAGGGAATTTATCATCTTCTGGGTCGGTGGAGTGCATTGCATCCTTTTGAAAACCATAAAAACGGCTTTGTTGATTTGGGAAACCGTTAGGTGACCGTTGCATGGGGTATTCTCTTTTTCATCTGGCTGTGAAGTCTTCTCTTTTTTTGACACCTTACGAATTTTTGCTGGCCCCCCTGTATCGACATCCCCGGATTTAAATGATATTAGGCGTTTGCCTTTCTTCTTATCATTTGCCTTGGTTGTTTCAATATTGGTTATGTCGTTATCCATCTTGCTCTTCATTTCAATGTAGTTTTAATAGTTGATTTAAAATAATACCTTTACGTTTTTTATTTATAGCGTGGTATCAAAATAACATGAACACGTGCTCAGTGTGCCCGCAGAAAAGTGGTCAAAAATACCGTATACAATTTCATTTTCAAATATGCCTTTTTTGTGTTTGTATAGAAAAAATATACCGAAAGTTTTAGAACATTTTTCTGACCGCCACCACAGCTACGCCGCTCAAAACGAAAAAATGCCAGGGATCTGGTCGAGGCTTGGTCCCCTGACGCTGATATTCCATTTCCTCCTGCTGATGCACGGCGTAGAGGTCTCCTCTCAAAACGAGATCGCTTGCCAAAGTTGCAGTTCCCGGAGAAGCAGTGGGTTTTGTGCTGTAAGGACTCTTGAAGACATCCTATTAATTCCAGAGACTTGCCCGAACGAGGTGCTTGACCTAAGGGGCACCGTATATATTCTCTACGACGTTAACATTTCCGAGGGTTTCAACTTGCGCCGGGATGTTTACATTCGTTTGGCGGTGTTTGTGCACCACTTGCAGAGGAGCAAGAGATTCCGCAAGGTTCGCCTGGTCCTGCCGCCGTGGCCAAGGCTATATCACTGGCATTCGCAGGGTTTGCAACAGGAAGCATTGCCCTGGAGTCATTTTTTCGACCTGGATAGCCTGCGGCGTTACGCGCCCGTACTGGACTATGAGGAGTTCCTGGACGAGCAGCGAATTTTCGGCAATCCGGGCGCCCCATTGGTCCACGTGACTCACGCCTTTCGACTACAGCACTACGATGTTATGCTGGAACAAGGTATCTTTAAAGACAAGTTCGAGCGCATCGCTGATAAGCCGTGCAGAAGTGATTCCTTAACAGGCGGACCATTACTGCGGCAGCCAGAGCTGCGCATCGACCGTTTTCACTGCGTGCAATTCCAGGGCAGTGCACGTCTGCTGGAGAAGCTTCTCCGCTCGGCGATCGATGAAGACACAGCGGGCTTGGAGGATGCCGATGACATGCGCACATACGCACTGCTTAGCGCGGAGACTGTGCTTCACGACCACTGGGGCGACATACATTTTTGGCGGGCCCGACGCTCAATGCGATTCGCCCGTCGCCTTAGCCAGGTAGCCGCCGACTTCCGGCAAAAGGTTCTGGCCACCGTAGACGCCGGGGTTCAGAGGCCGGCAATGTGGGAGCTGGAACGCCCAAAGCGGAATGCTATAGGCGGAAATTATCTGTGCGCCCATCTTCGGCGAGGCGACTTTTTGCGCTCGCGGGAGGCGACCACGCCCAGCTTGAAGGCAGCTGCTCAACAGGTAAAGCAGCTTCTGCGCACGTTTAACATGACCACCGTGTTCCTTGCCAGCGATGCCACGCCATACGAGCTAATGGAGTTGAAGGAGCTTTTTAAACGCTTCCGCTTCGTGCACTTTACACCTGAGTCAAACGCCCAACGACGGGAGCTAAAGGATGGGGGCCTGGCTGTGGTGGATCAGCTAATTTGCGCATACGCACGCTACTTCGTGGGAACCTACGAAAGCACTTTCACGTACCGCATATATGAGGAGCGTGAAATTCTGGGTTTTAGTCAGGCCAGTACCTTCAACACCTTCTGCAAGGTGGTCGGCGGAAGGTGCCCGCGTAACGCAGTCTGGCCCATCATGTGGGGAGATAGCGATATCGGCAGCTATAACGAGGAAGACAATGAATCTGATCAGTACTAAAAAACATACATATGTATGTAAATATATGCTGCCGCTGGGCACTCGCAGTTACCGATTATATTATTATTATAAGAATACTGAAATCCAAGTTTTTGCTCAAAACCGTATTTACGCGAGTAACGGAGATTCCAAACAACTGGCGATTAAGTACAAAAAGAAGTCAATAGCCACTATTATCTACGGCTATAACTATGAGTTTTAAACTTATCCTAGTGCAAGTAAAAAAAATACCTGCTTGGACGATTAAATTTACCCGCCGTTTTGCGTTGCCACATATCGATATCATCCCCAGGAATATTCCCCTACTCTACAACATATCGATGACGGATGCGATTCAACCACAAGACCACTAGAAATGAAACCACTGTTGCATTGCACGTGTTTTTGTTGTCAATAAAATATTAATCATTTTTATTGGGTAAATTTGCGAATCTAGTAGCTGCGCCATGGGCAAGAAGAACAAAGGTGCCACGCCTAACCTGGGGCGCCAGTTAATCAAGGATCGCTTCGGCCACACTCCACGCCGCAAGGTGGACGACACAATGGTAAGAGTAGTTAAGAGGATGTTAAATCGCAAGATAACCTATTTAATCCGAATCTAATTCTCTCTAGCTGCACACCACCGAACTGCAGGATGGCTATGACTGGGGCCGCCTGAACCTATCTTCCGTTACCGAGGAGTCGTCGTTCCAGGCTTTCCTGCGAACGGCCGAACTGGCCGGAACCGAGTTTCAGGCCGAGAAGCTGAACATCACGTTCGTTAACCCCAAGCAACGAGTGGGATTACTTAGCAAAACGCAGGAGCAGCGTATGCATCAGAAGCACGACGAGCACCGCGACCACTTAAAGATTCCTCGGCGCCCCAAATGGAGCAAAGAAACGAGCGCCGAGGAGCTGGAACGCGCGGAGAACGAGGCATTTCTCGATTGGCGCCGTGACCTGGCATTGCTGCAGGAGGACGAGGAGATCCTGATGACACCCTACGAAAAGAACCTCGAATTCTGGCGCCAGCTGTGGCGCGTGGTAGAGCGCTCCGACGTGGTTGTTCAAATAGTAGACGCCCGGAATCCGCTGCTGTTCCGCAGCCTCGACCTGGAGCGCTACGTGAAGGAGGTGGATTCAAACAAAATGAACATGATTTTAGTGAACAAGTCAGACCTACTCACTACCGAGCAGCGTCGACATTGGGCGGAGTACTTTGACAGTGAAGGCATTCGCACGGCCTTCTACTCAGCCACTTTGGTGGAGGAGGAGCAAAAGCAAGAAACTGGGGCGTCTTCTGAGGAATCTTTACCCGGAGTGGGGAAGATACGCCAGGCAGCCGAGCAGATTCACCAATCGCTGGACATGGTGGAAGAGACACTTAGCGCCATTGAACAGAAGCTCAAGCTGGATAACGAGAACGATCAGCTACCGCGACTCCCTGGAGAGAAGAACAGTTCCCGACTTCTGTCCCGGGTTGAGCTCATAGAGTTTTTGCGTCACATTTACACTGGTCCAAGGCACACTGACCAGCATGTGACCATCGGAATGGTCGGCTATCCAAACGTGGGCAAAAGTAGTACAATTAATTCGCTGATGACAGTCAAAAAGGTGTCTGTCTCAGCAACGCCCGGCAAAACTAAACGCTTTCAGACGCTTTTTTTGGACAAGGATATCTTGCTCTGCGACTGTCCTGGTCTAGTAATGCCGAGCTTTGTTTTGACCAAGGCTGACATGTTGTTGAACGGCATCCTCCCCATAGACCAGATGCGCGACCACGTGCCTGCCGTTAACCTGCTGTGCGAACGCATTCCGCGCCATGTCCTTGAAGATAAGTATGGTATCGTGATAGCAAAGCCGCTAGAAGGCGAGGACATGGATCGCCCACCGCATTCTGAGGAACTGCTGTTAGCTTATGGATGTAAGTAAATGTGTTTCACTTATTTACATTTTTTACAAGACGCTCAATTCCATTATTTTTTATATGCTTCAGACAATCGCGGTTTTATGACCTCCAATGGTCAACCAGATCAGGCACGCTCAGCCAGATATGTCCTTAAAGATTACGTTCATGGCAGGCTGCTTTACGCCACGGGTCCGCCTTCGGTGTCCCAGACTGATTACCACACTTTTTCCGATCGTCAGCGCAAGGTCATCGAAGAATCACAGTTGCCTAGGCAGCAGCAGAGAGCTATGCGGGTAAGATTTAGACTTTGGACTCGACTTTACCCTTCTGTAAACATATCATTCCTTCTGCAGATTAACAAGAGCACGTCAAAAGAGCTGGACCACAACTTCTTCTCCGAAAAACCCACCCACGCCCATGTTAAGGGGCGCACAAACTTCCCGAACGTACGCCTGTCTAACAACGGCACCCTAGTGACTGGCACTGATCCGGCGGGAAAGCCTTGGCGTCACGTGAAGAAGGAGAGGCGCGAGAAGCTGCGCAAGAAGTTTTCACATCTGGACGAGCATTAATTGTTTGGGGGCTTAAGAATTTCTGTTATATGATTAGCATTAACCTTACCTAGTTATTAAATTTCGCTGAACCTGAAGAGTTTTTAAATCTCTCTTTGGAGAAAAAACTTGAAGCAGTGTAGTTCTATCTGAAAGGATACAAAATCCCAAAGCTATCAATGCTTATTTGCTTATCCCAGCTGTAAAGTCGCCAGTTAGCCTAGGAGATTTGAAACAAAATGGGTTAAGCTCAGTCGTGCCGATTCGGTGTGGTCCTATTTAATTTTATCAGGTTGTGGCCAAAATGGTAAAGGGAACCACGGCCCTATACACCGTGTTCTGATCGAAATGAAAATGTTCCGCACGGAGAGTGGCCGTACGTTAAAGTTCCGAAACACGTAATGTCCTTAATCAGCGTGCGTTGCTAGTACGACGACACCTACTAGTTCCTTTCCGCCTGCGTGAAGCATCGCATCGACATAGAGAAAAGCCATTAATACATACAATATGTATATTTCATAGATATGTCTATGTATGTAAATATGTATAACATTTATTTACATTTCTTTCTTTAAAGAGTGTGTAAAGTAAATAATCCTTGTGTTTTATTTAAATTCAACCAAGGTGTGTAAATTTCAGACACGTTGAAAAAGAAAATACATGTATGCACATAAATACATAAATATGCAGGTATTTTTATTGAATAATTTGTAAAGCTTGCTGATGGGCAGCATTGTTTCCGATAGCTTCCAACTGAAACGCACAATCGATTGCTGGCGCGTTGGACTTCTTTTTTTGTTGGGACACTTTAAAATTTTTCTTGAAAATCTCGCGGAAAATTGATCAAAGTAAACCGAAATGCAGCGTGCGCGGCTGTTGCAAAGTATGTGGAGGCGTCTGGTACAGTTGCCAGTAGGCAGGCCATCCGCCGCTAGCCTGGAATTGCGTTATGCAATGATTTCTCCAACACATCTGCGGTTCCTTGGCACGGGCGGCGTACAATGTGATGTGAGTAAGAGGAGCCGGCGACTCGCCCCTACCGAAAAGGTGGAAGACCGCATTGAAGATGTATGGACTCAGTTGGAGGCGTACTACCAACAGCACAGTCTTCTCAACTATGAGCACTGCCAGCGCTTATTGGGGCAGCTAAAGCGCTCACCGGCGTCTCAAGAAGTCAGCATGGAGCAATTGCACTTTCTCTTGGGATCGTGCGTTCCCGAGTTTCTTCCTGCTCAGACCGGTCAGGAGCGGCAGCAGCTTTTTCAGGCGCTTTGGGTAGAACTTCTGAGACTTGGCCAGCCAACGCTGGCTCACTACCATACAAGGTTACAGGTGCTGTGTCAGAATCGCCTGCCTTTGCTCGACCATCGTTCTTTATTGGCCGAAATTGCCATTTACCACGGTGCTGCTGATGCTGCTTTGTACAGTTCTCTTTTGGACGTTGCCGGTTCGGTAGGAAACGTGCGCATGGCTACTGAGTTGCTCGCCGAGATGCGCGAGCGCAGTTTTGCCCTTACTGAGCGCAACTTTCACGCCCTACTTCTGGGTCACGCCCGCAATGGTGATCTTTCTGGTGCAGAGTCAGTTTTAGCCAGCATGCGGGCCGCTGGAATACAACCTGGCAGCAGTACCCAAGCTCACTGGTTTGAGGCCCTTGTGGCGAATGGCCAGGTGTCCCAGGCCCTGGAACTAGTAAGGGCGGAAGCGGGGTTTACTGCCCCTCAGCTGCTTCAGATGTTGCGGGGTTTGCTCACCAGTAAGAATGTGGACACGGATCTTGCCCAGCAGTTGGTCAAGGAACTGCCACGGGAATTTTTTACCGGACTTGACATGCCGCACGCTATCAGGAGTCTATGTATCCAGCTGGTACACCAGGAACGCAGCCAAGTCGTTATTAAACTTGTTGGTGCATTGCCTGCTCCAAAATTTGAGGTCCAGAATCAAAACACTGATGAGTACGGCACACTACTGCTGCATGAGTTTTTCCGCGCACGTGTCCCATTGACGCAAACACTCCAGTTCGCCAGTGAACTGGTTAAGCGGAACCTGAATACCCGTGCCCTGCATTTGGTGGTTGAGTTAGCACTGCGCAGGCTGCCTTCATCTGCGCTCCACTGCTTGGAGGAACTATTTGCAGCTGGCGAAGAACTTCGCCCACATTACTTCTGGCCTCTGATTCTACACCACAACCGGCGAGACGGTGAAAGCGGAATGCTGCGAATGGTGGCTGAAATGAAGCGCCTTCGTGTGGAGTGTGACGATGAAACCTTGCGCCAGTATCTGCTTCCCCATCTGAACAAAACTTTAACGCAACCATTCGAGGCCGTAAAGGCACTAGAATCGGCGGGTGTGAAGCCCTCGCAGGTTCTAGGACCAGTCGTAAGCCACCTGTTGCAGCAACACGAAATGACCAAGGTGCTGGACTTACTCAAGCGGTATCCTACGCGAATGGATATTTTCACGCTGCTTCAACCATTGTCATCGCTTGCGGTGAATGCCCGTGCCACTAAGCGCTTTGAGCTTTTCGCGCAGGTGATTCAGGCTCTGCATCAAAAGGCGTTCCAACAGGGTCAGGATTACGTGGGTTGCTTGTTGCTGCAAATGACTGGGCCGCATACGCGTCTGCGTCAGGATCCCTCTTCTCTTCTGCGATTTTTGCACGAGTTAAGACGACTAGAGATGCAGGTGTCACCTGCTGCCTCTGAAGCTTTAGTCTCATTGGCCCAGCATGCCACCAAGGACACCGAGGTGATTCAGGATATAGGAAAAACGCTGCAGAGGATGCGCAACTCTCAGCTGTCTTTGCCACCGGATGCGTCCTCTCTCCACGGGGGATTTATCAAGCACCCGCGTGACATGAGCTTAGACGAACTAGAGTGTCATCTGGTAGAGCTGGAGTCCAAGCAGCTAAATCCACGCGGCGTGTTGCGCCGATTGCTGCAGCTCTCGGTGCGCAGTGGCCGCTTAGAGCGTGCCCAGCAGCTGTTGGCCAAGTGCCAGTCTTTGAATGTACACGCGAGTGCAGGAATGATGGCCTCTATCTTGGATCTATACATTAAGCTACGTGACTTGCCGCGCGCTCAAGAAAGCTTGGAGCGACTGAGCAGCAATTATCCAGGTACCGGTGGACCCAACTCTTATTATTTCATATCTGACTGTATTTTAATTCGTATTTCTTTTTAGCCTTTCAGATTGACGAGCACAAAGTGATTGACTACGCCGCCCTCTTGGTACATGCTAATCAGCTTGCGGCTGCTAAGCAGCTGCTCCAACGGCGCGCAGAACAGCACAAGGTCGTCGGTGGTGATTATGTTATTAAAAACGTGTGGCAACTGTTGACCAATGTAGCTCACTTGGCGACCTCAGAGAAAATAAGTGCAGAGATCTCGAAGTCAAATAATGTGACCCGAGAAATGTTAGACTTTCTTAAGAACCTGGGATATTGCCAGTCCCAAAATGCCTTATTGGGGCCAGTAGTTCGCGAGTGGTTGCTGAAAGGCAATTTGGATGCAGCCGTGGCAGAGTTTCAGTGGCTTGCAAACAAATACAAACACACTCCCCTGCAGTTTGAGCTCCTTTCCCTGCTGGTTTGCCTTGGCAATGGCGACGAACAGGAACTTGCTCGATTCCCTGGAACCACGGCCGAATCTGCGCAGCACCACTTGGCTTCGGTTACGGCAACAGTGAGTCGTGTTCACGGGACATCCAACATGAATAGCGCCTTGCTGGTCGCGTTAGCGGAGTCAGGAAAGGAAACGCAGTTGCGTCGCCTTATTATCAACCCGGAGTTCCGTATTAACCACGAGCTGCTGGTAAAGAACTGCGAGCATTTGGGAAAGGAGGGCGCGGTGCGGACGCTATTGCGGCTGGCGCGTGGAGTAAGGGGCGTTCAGCGTACTGTAGACGAGCAAAAGATATATGACTTGCTTTTGGCTCAGTTCTGCAGGAGCAATGACATAGAGGCGGCGTTAGACCTCTTCGAGCGTCTGGATACTGATGACGAGCTAAAAGTATCGCAGGAGTTTCTGCGCAACCTTGTGCTGCTGCTGCAAGTGAACCGGGCTGAGATTCCCAGTAGCATCGCCCTGCGAGCCCAGGTTAGATAGTCGGACCAGTAATTGGCGCTTTTATGCTTAGTCAGTTACTTTTTCACGTCAATAAATTGATTGAATCTTGACGATGAAGACATTGCCTCCGACGGCAATATTTATGGAAACTTTTAAATTTCCACTTGAATAGCCAAATATTTATATAGTCCGTAGTCATAGACTTTTTGAATTAAAAATATTCTCACTTAAATGTATTAATATTGGTATGTAATTTTTAACATATGTACATATGTATGTATAAAAGTATTGTAAGCTTACGTCAGTGAAAAGCAATGCATCCTCCATGGAGACCATGTCAAGGTACCACCTATATAATGGTGGGTACCATGGGACCACTTGGAGGCACTTTACTAACAGAAACACGCTCAGGGGAAAATGACGACTGATTTTTCACCGGCCAAGACAAATTCGCGGATGTTGGATAACCATAAGAAGCATAAAAGTGCAAAGGGTTCAAAGCCGGGCGTTGGGCTTGATTGCAAATGCGCCTTGGTTTGGTTTGTCAGAAACGAAGGCCCAGCAAGTAACCTCCACATTCCCTCTGGCAGGGAAAATATAAACAGACACTCGAGTCAGTAGAACGATTGTCCTCCAGCTCACACCAACCATCTAGCCTCTTCCCTGGCCAACCCAACAATTAGAAGACGTCTAAAGCAAGGGCATCCTTCCGATCCTGGACAAGCGGACTCCAAGTTTCTCGAGTCCTAAAGCAGTAACTTAGATTTAGTATTGATCTCTAGTTATCTAGTTATAAACATTTGTTAATTTCTTTCTGTTATGTATTTATGTTATTTATTTAATATTATACTCAACATATTATTTATAGCGCCATTAAGTTGACTAAGTGTCGTTTAATAAATGCATTTTTTTCTTATACCAAATAAAAAAAATTGTAGTTTTCTGAAAGTGCGTCACTGTAGTCAAGAGGTTTAATTAACCATACCAATTAACATTTAAAAGAAATTTAAAGATAGCGATCATTACGATAACGTTGATTATTAATTCAGATATAGAACCATATAAATCGCAAACGCTTAGAAATATTTATTTTCAGTCACTTACCTTAAAATCACAGCCTTTTCCCTGGCCAACCAAACAATTAGAAGACGTCTAAAGCAAGGGCATCCTTCCAATCCTGGACAAGCGGGCGCCAGGTTTATCGAGTCCTAAAGCAATAACTCAGATTTAGTATTGATCTCTAGTTATCTAGTTATAAACATTTGTAAATTTCTTTCTGTTACGTTTTTATCTTATTTGTTCAATATTATGCTCAACATAATATAGCCATTAAGTTGACTAATAGACATTTAATAAATGAATTTTTTTTTGTTATACCAAAAAAAAAAAAAAAAATGGTTTTCTGAAAGTTTGTCACTATAGTCAAGAGGTTTCATGTTTTTTTTAGCTCCATGAGAATTAACAATTAACAGAAATTTAAAGATAGCGATCATTATGATAACGTTGATCATTAGTTTAGATATAGAACCATTTAAATCGCAAACGTTTAGAAATATTTATTTTCAGTCACTTACCTTAAAATCACAGCATTCCTTATGTGATAAAAGTTGTCTTTACTCCATGCTATATGCTGTACCTCATAAAATACAACACATCACTTCCAATATTCTTTGGTGGACGCATTGTGCATCTTCACCTTTGATTCCTTCAAACACCAGGTGTTCTCGATGGGAAATGATACACAAAACAGACGGATTATATGGAGGTTTTCCTGAACGACAGTTCAACGCTGTCTTTATCTCATCCTCTTAAGCTTGCAGACCTTCCAATCCCCTTCAGTCTTAACCATGACATATTTGCAGGTCGGATTTTCTAAAGGGTATATTTTTGCGGGCAAAAACTATAATCAATGAGAGATTCAAGGTCACGAGAGAGATGAGAGATTCAAAGGTCGCGTTGAAGTAGGCTTAGGACTTCGGAAGGTATTCCGGCCTGATGTCAGAAGTCGCTTGTCATCTGGGATCAGAGAATCAACACAAAGTTTTAAAGCACGTAGCACACACGAGTCTGTCTAGCAGCTGCTCCGAAAGCCACTCTTGATCTAAATTTTAGTACTTATTTTAAACGCATTCTATCTGCGCATGTTGCGTGCATTTCTTCGTCCAACCATGAAGCGGTTTTCCCGACGGCCCGTCTCTGATGAACAGAAGGCCCAGGCGCAGGCTCAGATGCGCACCCAAAATCAAGACCAAGGCCCGATAGAGATCTTTCTGTCAGTGGCCACTGTATCGTCGCTGCCTCAAACCAATTCGCAACCACAAATACAGCCAGAACCTCTTCCGCAAGATCAAAAAGAGAAAGACAAAGAGCTTGTCAAGGAGAATGAGTCTGAAGCCCTCGAAAGCGGTGCCCAGGGTGATACCGAACAGTCAGATAATGAGGCCGGTCCAGCTTCCTCGACGGTTGTCCATGCCACCGAAGAGCAAACAAACGAGGGCGATCCTGCACAGCTGAAGGAGTTAGCTGGACGCAAGCAGATTGCAAGGCTACTATCCCGTCTTGGCGATGGGGCCGAGGGTGATGGCGAGACCAACCAGATCGTGATGGAGTTGCTTGGCAGCCGGGACAATCCCTCACCGCTTTTACCGCCCTCGGCCATTGAACGTGTCTCCGAAGAGCAACTGCGCGTGCTGCGGGAGCAGACGCTGATCGAGGCAGGTATATCCACCGGCAACGAGCGCTATCGCTGCTTCAAATGTGTCCTCCAGAACTACGCTAAGATCTACGCAGCGCGCCACTTCATGGAGAAACTGCCACAGCTAGATCAACTTAGGCAGGATGTGGATGTAGATCAAAGAGTGTTCGCCCGCGTTGTGGCGGAAGAGGTGTTGCAAATTCCGGAGCTGCTTCGTCAGCTGTGGTCGTCGTTAGATAAGATGGAATTCTTTAATGAGGACACCGCGTTCAAGGCATATCTAGAGGCCCGGCGCCATCCGCAGTCGCGCATTCTTTGCGAACTCATGCTCACCCGCATCTCTCGCGTCTTTCTGTGCATTGTCAGTTCCACGTTTTTCCTAGATTTTACTGAGCATGAACTCACGCACATTCTGCGAAACTGTTACATCAGCGTCAACTCGGAGATTGAGGTGAGCTCGTCAAATTTAGCCACTAAACTAAACTTCCGATAACCTCTGTAGATATTTCTTTCTGTGGTGCTTTGGTTGGAACACAACTGGTTTGAGCGGGGTGACTGCGCCGAACGCATCATGGCGGAGGTGCGCTTTTCCCTGATGCCGACTTGGTATCTTTGCACGCTAGAGAGAGCTAATTGCTGCCGCCACTTTGCTCGGGTGATTCATATTCCTGGGGTGCAGCGTATGATTGCCCAAGGCCTGGAGTAGGTTCAATCTTAGGGAATTGTTTATCATTTACCGAAATTAAATCTTCCATTTTTCACAGAGACGCTGTGACACTTAAGAGTAAGTTCCGCTTAAGTGGTGCCACTGGTGGACCGTCCACTGGTCGCCCACAACACCAGGCGCAAACTCAAGAAGACCCACAGATGGCCCGCGACTGGATCGCAGATACCGAGTGCCGTCACCACCATAAGCGCCACTGCGACCGTTTCGTTTATCCTACGTACGACGCATTCAAGGAATACCTTGCCAGGATTATCTGCTGCGCGCCCAACTATTGGCGTACATTCCGACCCGCTAAAGAGGTTTATCGCAGCGATTTTCGCTGCTGCTCACCGCCCCATTTTAACTAGTGCCTGCCTTTATTTTATTACTTTCCTGCTCATCCGTGCATGTCCGGCTTTCGGCTTTGCGGCTTAAATTTATTGTTCGAGGATTTTTATTCGGGACCAACGAGAATCTGTATGTCCCCGAGCACGGTATCTTTCTATAACCACTGTCCTTTTAGCAATACCAACCCCAATTTCGTTTCCCCGGCATGGCAACAGGCATTGGATACAGGGACACCAGCGGGGAAGATCTATAGTTTTCACTTCAGTGTCTATAAGCTGTTTATTAATATTTATGTAAATTAGTTTCTCGGAGCAAGCAGCACTTGCTACGTATATTGATTGCCTGGAAAGCCATAAATTTAGCAATTTAAACAAAATAAATATTTCGTAGCGATCAATAAGCAAAGTGTGACTCGCGATTTCTTGATTAAAATTAATAAGCGAACATAACACCTTAGAATGTGTAATATATACGTGTTATTATCCATTTCCGGCTCGGCCTAATAAAAAAACGGTGACGGTCCTGCTTTTTAGTGACTACCCTCCGTTTGATTCGCTAAGCAAGGTTGATTCGCTCATGTGAAACTGGATTAAGATGATTAGGTAAGTGGTTGTGGCACCCACGATCTGGAATGCACCATAACATCGCGTTATCCATATTCAATAAGCTCAACTCACCGTGTAGAGTAGCGTGCAGTCGACATTGAAGAAACCAGCTGCACTGAAGTGAAGCCGCTGGTGGAGCAGCTGCAACGAGAACTGGGTTATCTGCGGAGAAAGGGGAAATAATATTGGTCCACGTTCTAATGAAGAAGAATTACCTACCAGTGCGTTCTGGCTCTCATTCCTCAGATCCACCGACACCTGATGCAGGCAAAGTGCCAAGCGAGTGGCCTGGAAAGCATACAAAGAAGAATTTTGTTTAAATAGCATTGTTTTCACACATCATTCACATACTTACACACTGGGCTGTTCGATCACAAAGCAGTGAGAGGACAAGCACATTGCTCAAGTGTGGGGCAGACCACATAGCGCTGGCTACGATCTGCAGGATATCATAGGGCGAAGTCGTCAACAGGCGGAAGTTGAGGAATATCAAGTAGCAATTGGAGGTGATGGTGAGGAAATCGTTGCCCACTTGTATCAGCATGGAAAGCCCGTAGCAGCGGTTTAGTAGCGCCACTAGGGCCCACACCCGTTGATAGACGATTCTGACGGCACTCAGTTGTTCCATGGCCGCCTGCCTCAGATCTGCGAGCTCCTCTGGGACAGTTACCACCGTAGGATTTTCCTTTTGTAGATGGAGCTGCTGTAGAATGACGAGAACCACGTCCAGACGTTGGCGCACGATCTCAGTTGCGATTGAAATTTGAAAGTAGCGCAAACCGCAGACAAGTTGTGGCAATAGATAGCATATCCAGTACATCAGGAAGCTGTGTCCTGGGGCTAGAAGCTTGGCGCCCAGGATAACAATCTGACTGATTATGTAGCCCCACAGTATCCACACAGCTCGGCGCATCATCTGTCGACGCACCTGAAGGCGTAAGACCTGCACATTAACCCTTAGGGCTTTGAATAAATAGCTATCGATCTCGCCCAGCTCTGTGAAGAACTGCCGCTGCTCCTGCTTCTGCCACAGCGCCTCAAGCAGAGCAGTCAGGTGAGCTATTCGCAATCCCATCAGCTGGATAAAGTCCACCGTGTGACCAATGCTCGATATAGTGGACTCTGAGCCGTAATTTTTCCTGAAGTGGCTTTCCTGGAAGAGGCCGTAAACGGCGATGCCGCTAGCCGCCGTTAGCACGGTCCAGCTGTAGAGTTCTAGCCAGCGCGATCGACGGAGCAATGTGCCCTCCGTGTCTGGCAATGGCGTGAGGCGCCAGGACCATAGGTTGCCAATTTGGCAGACGCGGTGCAGCGGCTCCAGGGCTCGCAGTGTTTCCATCGATTTGGCTAATCAACCGGACGAAATTTTTTTTTTTGGGAATCGTATTCTTTATAGACCCCGAATGTAAAAAATTTTAACCTTGGTAGTCTGGGACCAAATAAAGCTCAGAAAACAATCCTTTAACAAAAGTCACGGACTGCAAAAGACGGCAGCTCGTTAACGGTTAACTGGCGGGATTTGTGGGACTCGACTGCCTGGCTTTGCCAAGCGGCCATTTATCAAGAACAATTAAATCACAATCTAAATGTCAGGTGATCCATCATCAAGCATTTCAAGGTAAGTCTCATTTCCATTAGGCGAATACAAACTGGAAGCCTAATTGTTTGACATGAGCCAGAAAAGACGACTAAAAACACATTCGCGGTTCACATAAATACGTTTATTATATTTTCAGATTTTGTTTCGGAAATAGTTTTTGAGATAAGCTTGACGTTTCATAAAATGTAATACATATATATTTCTTCGCAATAAGCTCTGCCCAATATCGGATCCATGTGCTGGCTCTTTCCCTGCCTTCCCGAATTCGAACACTTCTAATTTCCTCATTCCTAGGTATAGCTATAGCTATGTAGCTACTTCATCTGCCAGCTATCGATACTTCGGTCTGGCTTTTGTTTGTAACAATTTTGCTTTCTGCATGTACTTGCTGTATTAATGATTATATAGAGCAAACAGGAGCCCACACACATCACACACGCACATGCATACAAACGTGGAGCGTGTGTGTGCGGAGGTGTCTGCATTTAATATGTATATTTGATTTAATTTGAAGCTGCTAAAAAGTAAAAGCAAATTCAACAAACAAACTTTCATAGGTCATACATATCGTATTTGATTCTTACACTTATATAAGGTATGATGCAGATATCTATTTGTTCTCTGGATATAAGGCAATGGATGCATGTGCGTGTGGTGTAGTGCGGTGTGTGTATAGTGTATAGTGTATGGTCTGATCCCATTTATCTGAATTCAAACAAACTTAAGCCGCAAAACAACAGGGGCAATGTTAACAAGTTTTCATATTTTCATATATGTATATCTTAGGGGAAATTCGTTTCGTGAAAGGCAAAAAATGTCTACTCGCTGGTAGAAGTTTTTCTTCGGGGTTTTTTGTTTTAAGCAACATCAATATATAGTTGTGTGAGTATTATTAATATTTACCGTCTTCGGTATAGTTTATGTTGTTTCGCTTAGCGCACAAATTTGGAAATAAATGTAATATTTAATAAAATTCATCTTTTGTATTTTTTGATTACAAATTTAAAATCCTTAAAGCGGAGACTGCAATGCTACTCAATAATTGAAAGACGCTCGATCGGTACGTATCGGACGGGGAACGCAGATCGTGATCCGTTCCAGAAAGGACCGTAAATGCCCATTCTCGTATCTCGTATTCCCGCCCCTCTTAGCTCTACGTGTATAATTTTGTTTTAATTTCACTTGTTGTTTATCAAACGGTTGTAGACTGGACGGTTGCCAGTTAACTGTTGCTGCCTGCCTGTTGCATGTTGCAATTTTCACGTTGTCGGCTGCAGCCCCTCTTAGTTGTTGCTGTTGTATATAAAAGCAACTAAAAAATATACGCGTTGCCTAAAAAGTCGGCCCCGAGCAGTGAATTGACCACTCGAGACTATAATTTATAAATATAACTGGCTCTTTTGGACTGTTTTTGCTGTTGCCTCAAATTGCTTGTACCGTTTATTGTGTGGTTACTGTTTACGTGGAATAAAATTGCATGAGTACCTGGACAAGTCTTGTTCTGTTCTTGCTGCATTTTTATCTCGTTTGTTAGTTGCAAATTTGTTATTCTATGACTATGAAAAAGTAAAAAAAATATAGAAAAATAACCTTCATTCACTTTGTGTAATGCATATAAATTGTATTTACTTATGACTTTCTGCTCATTCTCACTTTCGTCTCACAAATGCTGTTCTACTGCATCATCATTCTATCTTTACCCCAACCCATTCAATCCTATTCTGCCGCCCCATCACAATCCCAGCCCAACTTAACCAACTTCCACCCTTGTACTTTTTATATAGTAACATCAGCATTAACTTGTCATCGTCGTCGATATTCGTGTTTTGTCGTTCCGTCCAACATCTCGTATATCCATCAGTGATCGTCGTGCTACGGCGACGAATCCGTCGTTCCCTTTTCTAATCGTTTACTCAATGCCCTTGAATTCTTTTAGTTCTTGGGTTTAGTTTCCTTCTCTTTTCATTTCAGTTGTTAACGCTGATAAGGTATTAACCTTTCTGCGGTTCACATATAAAACAACAGAAGCTACCGCAAAGAAACAATACGAAGCTAAATCACTGGAGTTTAAATTATTCAATAAATAAATTTCGGATCTTGAATCTTGGATTCGATCGGTTAATAATAAATAGTAATTGTAATCGCGTCCAACGTTTGCCTAGGTTAAGTCCGAAGGGCGGGTAATGAATCCGCTTCCGATTAGTGTTATGTACTATGATCGCTTATTATTCTACGGCTACATAGCGCCCTGAATTTGCGGTTATACACTTGCAGTTAGCTATGTTCGCTTTAAAATTCAAATCTTTTGGTATGAAGAGACCAATCGGTGCTCGTAAAAGTTTTTACTAATACATTAAACATGAATATTATTTTTATATTCTGTCCTTACATTCTTTTTTTTGTGTTCTCTTAAACTTTTTCAATTTTTTCTTTGTATTTTTTCCCGAATTTGAACATTATTTTGTTCTTTGGATTACTTGACTAAGTAGCTTGACGGTGTTTAATGAAAGTGGCAAATAAGTATTTTCTTCGACTAACTCACTGTGGATCTGGGTCTACTGGTTGATTTGCATTGTTTGGTAATTAATATTTTTAAACTAAATATCAATTAATTACTTAGCTTTTGGTTGGAAAGAAATTAATCAACGAAGCTTGATAGACGGTGTTAGTAAACAAAATGGCCTCATTCGCGTGACCCGTATTCCGCCATATCAACCTGCGTCTGTCTCGTTTTCATTTCCACACTCGAAACAAGCATTGTCATTTTCCCCATCGTCGTACTGCTACCCTAGTTGTTGTAGTGCTGGTCATTGATCTGGTTTCTGTTATGCCAAAGTTCAAGTCCATTCACTTTGTAAGTCATACATGAACTCTATTCTCTGGCATGCTCTCTTTTTTGGTTTCTTTGATTGGTTGCGTTGTGGGTTAGCTTAGTCATCGTCGAACGCAATAAACAAGCCCGTGGCCTAGAACTCCAGGCGGTAAGCAGAGCACGAGGTTTCGTGGTCCTGCAGATTGATGGTGCACCGGGAAGCAGATGGCGAGAGGTCGATGCGGTGCTTTGCTAGCAGCTCCTCATTTTCAGCCACCCAGTAACCCAACACGTCGGTATCGTACGTGGGTATGATGGTGACCTCTGCAATCAGAAAATTTTAAGAGTACTTTACTTTACTTTAATGAACGCATGTCTACTTACCCAGCTCCTTGTCCTCCCATGTTTGTTTGGCCTCTAGAAGCGCATCGTACACCTGTCGACTAGGTTCCGTGCCGGAGAAAACGTAATAGCGGGCTCGCACCCGTTTGAAGAAATCCACGTGCGCGTAGTAGGAGTTGCCGTTGTGCGGCACATAAGTAAGGTCCACGTAGACGGGTGCTAACTTCTTGCCAGCCTTGTTCGGCGATTCGCTGCGTTTCCGAAGATTTTTCTCGTTGTTCAGTCGCGTTTTGGTGGCAACAAGGCGCCGTTCCTTCTTGGGTGTCGTGCGAATGTCAGCCCCGCCTTCCACAGGAAGTGGTGCTGGCGATGGCAAGCCGAGGGGCTTGCCCCATTCTTCCAAGCGGTCCTTGGGCAGGGCTCCTGTAGAACTCGCAGTGGTTGTGGGTCTGGTTGATGATGGTGTGGTTGTGCTGTCTGCTTTTTCTTGCTCCTGCTGGGAAACGACGCTTCCCACTGTGGCAAATCCGCTTTCCGCCACTCGGGACCGCTGCACATCGCTCAACGGGAAACGTTGTCGTTCTGCAGTGCTGCTTACGATTTGTTCCACCTCCTCGGCTTTTGAGGGTGAGTACGAGTACTTGGAGGTGACTGAAGACATGACTTCGGCACCGCGCGCCTGTACGTGCTCCTCGAGCGCCCGTTGGAAATCCTTGTCCGCCTGGTCAAGAAACTTGTGACCCGCCCAGGTCTGGCTACTGCTTTCTACGCTCTCCGATGATTGGCTATCCCCTGAAGGAGCGCCCTGAATGGAGATTGGTTCAGTGCTGGGCTTCATCGTAGCGTCAAAACTGTCGGGCAGGGCACCGTAGAAGGAAGTGGCCATTGGGTCGGCTGTGCGAAGAAGATGAATCGAGCGTGCCGTCGAGTGCTCCTCGCTACCATATTGCGGAGGAATATCATCTTGACTTTCGTCTCCGTCGGCGTCCAGGTCGGAGCGCTTACTCACGCCAGAACTGGAGTGTTGCAGCTCATAGCTGGTGGCGCTGCGCGGCGATCCTAGCAGTAAATCATCGTCATCCTCGCTGCCCGGGGTGCTGGCGCGGTAAAGACCGCGTAGGAGCGCTACCTCCTTGGGTAGAATCTGGTCGCGTTCGCTTTCGCTGGTGGTGCGCGTGGTGGTCACCACTACCTTTTCGCTGTCGGGCTCTGAGCTGTCCGTGGTGGTCACCGTTTTTTGCTCAGTTACAATTTCTTTGCCATCTGCCGATATCACCTTTGTTACTGTGGTGATCGTGGTGGTGATTATCTTTTCAGTGCTCCCGCTGAGGGCTGTAGTGCACTCTAGTCCACGCAGCTCATGAAGCTCGGGAAGATCAGGCTCGCATTCAGCTCCTGCTAAAATCTGTTCTTGGTCCTAGTGCGTCATAGAATAAGAGAATTGGCAATTTATATAAATCAGTACAAGTAAATAAATAAAAGAATAAATAAAAACAAAATAAGTATTTGTAACCTGAATTATTTTGACTCACTTGAATTTCCATGGATTTCAGCTCGTCTTTGGTGACGCGTGGGAAAGGCGAAGTTGGCTTGGGCGATGATTCCGGGGTCTCCGTATGTGACTCTCGACCTAGCGGTGTGGGAATGGACTGACTCTCCGAGGTGAGAGCTCCAGGGCTGGACTTGCCGCTGATGTCCTTGGGCGACAGTGGACCCGAGGAGGATACGAGGCTCGCGGCGCTGGAATCGCACTTTCTGCCCACAGATCCAACTCCAACTCCAATCACAGAGCTAGCGGATTCCGTCGAGCTTAATGGCTTAACGCAGGGACTAACAGGTGCTGTTGGCGGTGTCTTGCGATCAACCGACTCAACCGGGCACTGTGCCTGATGCCGGTCAGACTGCAGATCAATTTGGGAGAGCGTAATGGACTCCAGCTTGGATGAAGAGTTTTTGGAAGTGCTGCTGGTGGAAGTGCTACTGATCTGTTTACTTGACTCCTGAAAAGTTGTGGTCTTACTGGAGGTCGTGGAAGTGAAATTGTCAACAAGTTCCTTCACATGCTCCTCCTCGGCAAGCGTGGTAATTGACTCAATGTCATCGGAAGGTTTGTAGATGCTGGTCATCATTATAGTAGCAATAGACTTGGAGCGGCTCTCCTTCACACTGGCGCGCTCGTCATCGTCGTCATTGGGCTCCTTATCGCCATCGCTTGGCTGGCTCAGCACAGACTCCTGCCGAGACTCGCTCGAACCCGAAAACATTGGTTGTTGTGTTGTGGTGGTGCTAGAGACGGTGTTGGCGGTGGCATTTTTCAGGCATTCATCGGCCGTTTTGGTGGCTTCAGCGCTGAAGGCTTCTTTGGTAGAGACGATCTTCTCGGTGGCTAAAAATTCAGCCACAGTCTCCTTTAGGCTTTCGTCTTTAGTGGAACTGTTGGAGCTAAAATTACTGGTTTCCTTCGTATCTTTGGTTTCCTTGACTGACTTCTGAGCGGTGTTGGTCTGAATCTCGCTAATGATTGATTCCGATGAGCACTCTTCAGACTGCACTAGCAGTTCTTCCATCTGAGACGCCGAGATGCTGGCGTCCTCCTTTAGACTGGTGCTGATAATGATTCCCCCCTTTTCGGCAAGCAGGCTGGATAGCGACTCGCGACGAGAGTTGTCTTCTACTTTAAGGCTACTGCTTAACGAGTCAGAGGTGGACTCTTCGCGTAGTTGGATTGACTGACTGGAGAGGACCGTGGACTTAGTGACTGTAGTAGACAATAACTCCACACTCGACCCTTCTACCTGTTTGCTCTCGATGGTTTCTGTCGTACTTGAAGAATGGAGCACAGTTTCTGTTGTTTCCTTGCTGGTAGATAATTCTTCCGCCTCCGTGTGAGTAACATCAGAAACTCCCAGTCGTAACTGCGCCTTTTCCGACTGCTCGATCTTATCTTTCTCCTCGATTGAGATGGGGCCTGATTTCTGGTCGGGCGATGATTTCTCGGACTCATTTTCTACTCTGACGTTGATCTCCAAGAATTTCTCGTCCTTGATACTCTTGTCGGACTCCTCCTCTGTGTCGGCGGTGGATTTAAGCTTCTCCTCCAGCTGGCGCTCGTCAAAGTCCGGTATGATGTCAATAATGTCCTTGTCAGACTTGAGAACTTTGGCCACATCTGCAACGATTCTAGCTACTTCTTCCTCGCGCGGTGATAGTGGTCGTATCGGCTGTGGTGGCAAAATTCCCGTCTTGTCACCTTCGCTAGGAGGAGAGAAGCGATGCTCCTCGTCCTCCTCCTTGATATCATGCAGCACAGGATCCTCTCTCTCGCAGATCGTAACTGTAAACTCGGGCGAGTCCACGGTGGTAATGTGCGTTTCTCGCAACTCTGAGAAAGAACCGAGATTCAGGTTGCTCTTATCCTGGCCACTCTCCGTTAAAATTTGATTTACTTCAGTAGTTTGCTCGGAAACCTGTTTGCACTCAGTAACATTCTCTGTTATTTCCTGTACTTTCTTTTCGACCGCCTCAACTGCAGTGCTACAAACTCCGGTGACCGTGTCAATTTGGACGTCCAGCTTAGATTGAATCGCTATCAGCTGTTCGCCGTTTTGAATTTTCTCCTGCTCGGCCACCGAGCTTTCAACCAGCTTTGCTTCTCCTGATTCAGGTGTGCTATGCTCTTGAACTACTTCGATGGTGTCAGGATAAGGAGAAGCTTCGTCCACGGGGCTGGAGGCTGTTTGAGCCGTATTCGACTGAGTGAGTTCCGCTGGCCTGGAAAGTGTAGTTAGAAGAGAGGAGGTCTCAAGTTGTAATTCTGAGAACTCTCCTTCTGCCACATCAACAGGGCTAGAGAGAGTTGGAAGTTGTCCTCTCGCTTCGGTTGTCATCTGGGTGAGGGGCTGTGCCAGGCCAGCAATGTATTGTGGACCTTCTTCAATTGGCGATGAAGCGGTTTCGCCTACCAACGTATGGAGTGAGGTTTCCTTTAAAGCAGTTGGCATCTCAGAACTGGAAGAAATCGGTGACTTTTCCTTTTCGGAAGTAGCAGTCACCGAATCGCGTCGCGATACTTCCTGGAATTTTTCGATGGCAGTGCGTTCTGCGACTGATGAACTACGTGAAGGTTCTACAGTTGAGGTGGAGATCGATTCACTCTTTTTACTTGGCGCTTCTATAATCGCAACCTTGCTGCTTTCGGCGATTGAAACACGACGACTTTCCGGTTTTTCAGATTCGTCTTTCACACTTTCAATAACTGATCCGGGTCGTGAGACTTCCTTTGACTCAAACGGCGACTTTGATTCCTTGCGATCTTCAGTTTTGGACTCCTGTCCTAATGAAGCCTTAGACCTTTCACCATCGTCACTAACACTTTCTGCAACTGATTCTGGTCTTGAAGTTTCTTTGGAGGCTTCAGCGGATTTATCATTCTTTGAGCTCTCCGCACGAGAGCTTTCTGCCACAGATGCAGGCCGGTATGGTACAGCAGATATTTCATCATTACATTCCAACACGGATGCAGGGCGAGAAACTTCCTTTGACGCAAGAGGAGAATTCAAGTCCTTAACACTGTCTGACTGTATACTGACAGCGACTGAATCACAACGATTTGCTATGTCGTCATCTTCAACAACGGATGCTGATCGAGCAGATTCCTTGACAGAAATTGTGGTTGTGTTGTCCACTGCACTTTCTAGCATTACGCCACTTGCAGTTTCACATTTATTGCTTTCAGCACTGGATCCAGGTCGAGAGGCATCTTTTGACGCCATTGGAGACTTCTCACCATATGTGCTGTCCGCCTTAATGCTTTCTGCAATAGAATCATTCCGAGAAGTTTTTTTGAGTTGTTCCTCATTTTCAACAACTACAGACGTTGATTGTACGTCTTCTTTGCAAGATTTAATATTTCCTTCCTTTATACTCTCGGCAACTGACTCTGTCCGACTTTCGGTGCCATCAACTTCGCTTTTGATGCTTTCAGCCACTGATTCTGGCCGGGAAGCTTCTATGGGTTTTTCATTTTCATCCTTAAAGCTTTCTAAAATTGATTCTGGCCTTGATGCTTCTTTAGAAGCCAGCGGAGACTTATCATCCATGGTACTACTTGTTTTAGGAATATTTTCCGATTTTTCAATATAACCTTGGTCTACTACGACAGACCCAGGTCCAGAGACATCCATCAAAGACTTTTCATCCTTCAGACTTTCCGGTAAGGGGCTTTCGGTTTTAGATTCTTGAAGGAAGGGCTCCGAGGGCTTTTCCTCCTCAACCTGCGAACTTTCTGCGAATGATTCACGACGAGATCCTTCCTTTGTGGTTGAGGAATCAGATTTCTGAACTTCATCCTTTACAGAAGATTCAAATAGGCATTTAGGAGCCTCGTCTACCGGACTTGACGCTGTGTTTTCAATGCCAACTACGGAAAATTCTGCTGGTCGGGCTGAGACTGAAATTGGAGAGCTTGTGGGTGTTGACGTCTGTAGGAAGTCATCATGAGCTACATCCACAGGGCTCGACAAAGTTGGCAAACTACCTTTTTGGCCCATACTTAACGGCAGCGTTTTTTTCTCGGCCTCGAATTGTGCAAGGTATTCAGATGCTCCATCGATTGGGGATGAAGCTGTATCTGCTACTGACGCCGGGCGTGAAGTTTCCTTTGAGCTGACAGTAGATGGTAAATTCTTTACATCCGTTGATATCTTATCCATTAAAATTTCATCATCCTTGTTGCTTTCTGCAACAGATTCTGCCCTCGAGGTTTCCTTTGAAGAGAGTGGCGATTTCTCATGCTTGGTACTTTCTGGACTTGTGACTTCTGCAGAATCGGGCCGCGGTATCCGCTCCAAAGCAGAAGAAATTATTGGAGCCTCGTCTACGGGAGACGATACCGTTACAGCAACACCAACCTTCGAAAGCTCTGCTGGTTTAGTAATTGTGGCTGTAACAGAAGATACTGAAGCGATGACATGTGAAAAGTCGCCATCGGCCACATCAACGGGACTCGAGTCCGTTGGCAATTTTCCTTCAAAACTTTCTTGTAGCCCAAGAACCAGGCCAGCTCTTTTCAAGATTTCGATCTCCGAAAACTCAATGGGCGCTTCCTCGATTGGAGATGAGGCGGATTCAGCAATGGACTCCGACTTTTTGTCTTTAATGTTTTCAAGCTCATTATTCACACCTTTAGTTACAGATACATCCTTCAAAACCGCTCCAAACTTCTCGTTTTCAGTGGAGTCTAATATGCTTCCCGCAACCGCTTCCCGGCGACTTTCTCCACCGGATGCTGAGAGCGATTTCGCTTCCTATGTGAGTTAAAAAGTAAACAAAGTAAAATTAAATCATTGTGTCTTCAAAATAAAAGCTAAATTAAATCAATAATTTTTTGTGATCAATTATTTTAGTTGCTCTGGAGTTTAATTTCTTACCAGTTTAATATTCTCTTTCAGACTTTCAATGGATGATTCACTGGTCACAAATTCTGGCAGGGGCGCTTCCTTAGAAAGTGTAGACTTATCATCCAAGGCAACTGTTTTCTCTTCAGCTTCCAATACAGACTCTGGACGAGAAACTTCCTTTGAGGCTACTGGAGCCTTTTCATCCCTAGGTGTTTCTGGTTGCTTGGATTTTTCATCATCGTCAACACCCGCCACAGAAACTGGCCGAGATACTTCCTTCGAGGCTACTGAGGGCTTTTCATCCGGGCCCTCCTCTGCTTCACCGGTCTCAGTAACAGACTCGCGGCGGCTTTGCAGCTTTTCAGCGTTGTCTTTAACGCTATCTATAACGGATTCAGGTCTTGATTCTTCTTTGGAGGCAAGAAGAGATTTGCCATCCTTAATGCTTTCTGTTTCTACGCTTTCACCAACAGATTCTCGACCAGATGGTTCCTTATCTTTTTCAGCCTCGTCTTTGGCACTCTCTGCCACAGACTCTGGTCGGGATACTTCTTGCGGACCTGACTTTTCGTTCTTAGCTTTTTCAAGGGCATCGCTCGATACCTCAGATGCGCGACGACTTTCTGCTCTTTCAGCGTCTTCCTTATCGCTTCCTACCGCGGATTCTGGCCTTGAAGTTTCCTTAGAAGCCAGAGGAGATTTCTCATCTTTAATGCTTTCTGATATTACGCTTTCAGCTACAGATTGTCGACCTGATGGCTCCCTAGATTTTTCCGCATCGTCCTTAGCACTCTCTGACACAGACTCTGGTCGGGATACTTCTTTCGAACCTGACTTTTCGTCCTTAGCTTTTTCCGGGGTATCGCTCGGTACCTCAGATGCGCGACGACTTTTTGCCCTTTCAGCATCGTCCTTAACGCTTCCTACCGCGGATTCTGGCCTTGAAGTTTCCTTAGACGCAAGAGGAGATTTCTGATCTTCCATGCTTTCTGATTTTACGCTTTCAGCTACAGATTGTCGACCTGATGGTTCCTTAGATTTTTCCGCATCGTCCTTAGCATTCTCTGACACAGACTCTGGTCGCGATACTTCTTTCGAACCTGACTTTTCGTCCTTAGTTTTTTCTGGGGTATCGCTCGCTATCTCAGATGCGCGACGACTTTCTGCTCTTTCTGCTTCATCTTTTACGCTTCCTACCGTGGATTCTGGCCTTGACGTTTCCTTCGACGCCAGAGGAGATTTCTCATCCTTAACGCTTTCCGATTTTACGCTTTCTGCAACAGATTCTCGCCCAGATAACTCCCTTACTTTCTCTGCCTCATCTTTGGCACTCCCTGCCTCAGACTCTGGTCGGGATACTTCTTTCGAACCTGATTTTTCGTTCTTAGCTTTTCCCGGGGTATCGCTCGGTACCTCAGATGCGCGACGACTTTCTGCTCTTTCAGCTTCGTCCTTAACGCTTCCTAGCGCGGATTCTGGCCTTGAAGTTTCCTTGGACGCCAGAGGAGATTTCTCATCCTTAATACTTTCCGATTTCACGCTTTCTGCAACAGATTCTCGACCAGATAACTCCTTTAATTTCTCGGCCTCATCTTTGGCACTCTCTGCCACAGACTCTGGTCGGGATACTTCTTTCGAACGTGACTTTTCGTCCTTAGTTTTTTCCGAGGTATCGCTCGCTACCTCAGATGCGCGACGACTTTCTGCTCTTTCAGCTTCGTCCTTAACGCTTCCTACCGCGGATTCTGGCCTTGAAGTTCCCTTGGACGCCAGAGGAGATTTCTCATCCTTAATACTTTCCGATTTCACGCTTTCTGCAACAGATTCTCGACCAGATAACTCCTTTAATTTCTCGGCCTCATCTTTGCCACCCTCTACCACAGACTCTGGTCGGGATACTTCTTTCGAACCTGACTTTTCGTCCTTAGTTTTTTCCGGGGTATCGCTCGCCACCTCAGATGCGCGACGACTTTCTGCCCTTTCAGCTTCATCCTTATCGCTTCCTACTGTGGATTCTGGTCTTGAAGTTTCCTTCGACGCCAGAGGAGATTTCTGATCTATCATGCCTTCCGATTTTACGCTTTCGGCTAAAGATTCTCGACCTGATGGCTCCTTAGATTGTTCCGCATCGTCAATAGCACTCTCTACCACAGACTCTGGTCGCGATACTTCTTTCGAACCTGACTTTTCGTCCTTAGCTTTTCCCGGGGTATCGCTCGGTACCTCAGATGCGCGACGACTTTCTGCTCTTTCAGCTTCGTCCTTAACGCTTCCTAGCGCGGATTCTGGCCTTGAAGTTTCCTTGGACGCCAGAGGAGATTTCTCATCCTTAATACTTTCCGATTTCACGCTTTCTGCAACAGATTCTCGACCAGATAGCTCCTTTAATTTCTCGGCCTCACCTTTGACACTCTCTGCCACAGACTCTGGTCGGGATACTTCTTTCGAACCTGACTTTTCGTCCTCAGTTTTTTCCGGGGTATTGCTCGATAGCTCAGATGCGCGACGACTTTCTGCTCTTTCAGCTTCATCCTTAACGCTTCCTAGCGCGGATTCTGGCCTTGAAGTTTCCCTGGAGGCCAGAGGAGATTTCTCATCCTTAATACTTTCCGATTTCACGCTTTCTGCAACAGATTCTCGACCAGATAACTCCTTTAATTTCTCGGCCTCACCTTTGGCACTCTCTGCCACAGACTGTGGTCGGGATACTTCTTTCGAACCTGACTTTTCGTCCTTAGTTTTTTCCGGGGTATCGCTCGGTAACTGAGATGCGCGACGACTTTCGGCTCTTTCAGCTTCGTCCTTAACGCTTCCTAGCGCGGATTCTGGCCTTGAAGTTTCCTTGGACGCCAGAGGAGATTTCTCATCCTTAATACTATCCGATTTTACGTTTTCTGCAACAGATTCTCGACCAGATAACTCCTTTAATTTCTCGGCCTCATCTTTGGCACTCCCTGCCTCAGACTCTGGTCGGGATACTTCTTTCGAACCTGATTTTTCGTTCTTAGCTTTTGCTGGGGTATCGCTCTCCACCTCAGATGCGCGACGACTTTCTGCCCTTTTAGCTTCGTCCTTAACGCTTCCTACCGTGGATTCTGGCCTTGAAGTTTCCTTCGACGCCAGAGGAGATTTCTGATCTATCATGCTTTCCGATTTTACGCTTTCTGCTACAGATTCTCGACCTGATGGCTCCTTAGATTGTTCCGCATCGTCAATAGCACTCTCTGCCACAGACTCTGGTCGGGATTCTTCTTTCGAACCGGACTTTTCGTCCTTAGCTTTTTCCGGGGTATCGCTCGCCACCTCAGATGCGCGACGACTTTCTGCCCTATTAGCTTCGTCCTTAACGCTTCCTACCGTGGATTCTGGCCTTGAAGTTTCCTTCGACGCCAGAGGAGATTTCTCATCCTCAACACTTTCCGATTTTATGCTTTCTGCAACAGATTCTCGACCAGATAGCTCCTTTAATTTTTCGGCCTCACCTTTGGCACTCTCTGCCACAGACTCTGGTCGGGATACTTCTTTCGAACCTGACTTTTCGTCCTTAGTTTTTTCTGGGGTATCGCTCGCTATCTCAGATGCGCGACGACTTTCTGCTCTTTCTGCTTCATCTTTTACGCTTCCTACCGTGGATTCTGGCCTTGACGTTTCCTTCGACGCCAGAGGAGATTTCTCATCCTTAACGCTTTCCGATTTTACGCTTTCTGCAACAGATTCTCGCCCAGATAACTCCCTTACTTTCTCTGCCTCATCCTTGGCACTCTCTGCCACAGACTCTGGTCGGGATACTTCTTTCGAACCTGACTTTTCGTCCTTAGCTTTTTCCGGGGTATCGCCCGCCACCTCAGATGCGCGTCGACTTTCTGCCTTTTCGGCTTCGTCCTTAACGCTTCCTACCGTGGATTCTGGCCTTGAAGTTTCCGTCGACGCCAGAGGAGATTTCTGATCTATCATGCTTTCTGATTTTACGCTTTCTGCTACAGATTCTCGACCTGATGGCTCCTTAGATTGTTCCGCATCGTCCTTAGCACTCTCTGCCACAGACTCTGGTCGGGATACTTCTTTCGAACCTGATTTTTCGTCCTTAGCTTTTTCCGGGGTATCGCTCGCTATCTCAGATGCGCGACGACTTTCTGCTCTTTCAGCTTCGTCCTTAACGCTTCCTAGCGCGGATTCTGGCCTTGAAGTTTCCTTGGACGCCAGAGGAGGTTGCTGATCTTTCATGCTTTCTGATTTTACGCTTTCGGCTACAGATTTTCGACCTGATGGCTCGTTAGATTTTTCCGCATCGTCAATAGCACTCTCTGCCACAGACTCTGGTCGGGATACTTCTTTAGAACCTGACTTTTCGTCCTTAGTTTTTTCCGGGGTATCGCTCGGTACCTGAGATGCGCGACGACTTTCTGCTCTTTCCGCTTCGTCTTTTACGCTTCCTACCGTGGATTCTGGCCTTGACGTTTCCTTCGACGCCAGAGGAGATTTCTCATCCCTAACACTTTCCGATTTTAAGCTTTCTGCAACAGATTCTTGCCCAGATAACTCCTTTAATTTCTCGGCCTCATCTTTGGCACTCTCTGCCATAGACTCTGGTCGGGATACTTCTTTAGAACCTGACTTCTCGTCCTTAGCTTTTTCAAGAGCATCGTTCGTTATCTCAGATGCGCGACGACTTTCTGCTCTTTCAGCTTCGTCCTTAACGCTTCCTAGCGCGGATTCTGGCCGTGAAGTTTCCTTTGACGCCAGAGGGGATTTCTGATCTATCATGCTTTCTGATTTTACGCTTTCGGCTACAGATTCTCGACCTGATGGCTCCTTAGATTTTTCCGCATCATCAATAGCACTCTCTGCCACAGATTCTGGTCGGGATACTTCTTTCGAACATGACTTCTCGTCCTTAGCTTTTTCAAGAGCATCGTTCGTTATCTCAGATGCGCGACGACTTTCTGCTCTTTCCGCTTCGTCTTTTACGCTTCCTACCGTGGATTCTGGCCTTGAAGTTTCCTTTGACGGCAGAGGGGATTTCTGATCTATCATGCTTTCTGATTTTACGCTTTCGGCTACAGATTCTCGACCTGATGGCTCCTTAGATTTTTCCGCATCATCAATAGCACTCTCTGCCACAGATTCTGGTCGGGATACTTCTTTAGAACCTGACTTTTCGTCCTTAGTTTTTTCCGGGGTATCGCTCGGTACCTGAGATGCGCGACGACTTTCTGCTCTTTCAGCTTCGTCCTTAACGCTTCCTAGCGAAGATTCTGGCCTTGACGTTTCCTTCGACGCCAGAGGAGATTTCTCATCCTTAACACTTTCCGATTTTAAGCTTTCTGCAACAGATTCTCGCCCAGATAACTCCTTTAATTTCTCGGCCTCATCTTTGGCACTCTCTGCCACAGACTCTGGTCGGGATACTTTTTTAGAATCTGACTTCTCGTCCTTAGCTTTTTCAAGAGCATCGTTTGTTACCTCAGATGCGCGACGACTATCTGCTCTTTCCGCTTCGTCTTTTGCGCTTCCTACCGTGGATTCTGGCCTTGAAGTTTCTTTTGACGCCAGAGGGGATTTCTGATCTATCATGCTTTCTGATTTTACGCTTTCGGCTACAGATTCTCGACCTGATGGCTCCTTAGATTTTTCCGCATCGTCAATAGCACTCTCTGCCACAGACTCTGGTCGGGATACTTCTTTCGAACCTGACTTTTCGTCCTTAGCTTTTTCCGGGGTATCGCTCGCTATCTCAGATGCGCGACGACTTTCTGCTCTTTCAGCTTCTTCCTTATCGCTCCCTACCGCGGATTCTGGCCTTGAAGTTTCCTTAGACGCCAAAGGAGATTGCTGAGCTTTAATACTTTCTGATTTTACGCTTTCGGCTACAGATTCTCGACCTGATGGCTCCTTATATTTTTTAGCCTCGTCTTTATCAGGCCCCACCATAGACCGTGGTAGGGAGCCTTCTTTCGATTTGGTTAAAGACGTTTCGTCCTCAGGTTTTTCTGGTGTTTCTGTAGACACACGAGTTTCTTGGGCTTCAGCTTCGTCCTCACCGCTTTCTAAAGCGGTTTCTTGTTTAGATACATTTTCGTACGATGAGGATTTGAGATCTTTAATTGTTTCGGCTATTACGTTTTCGGCGGCCGACACCGGACGGGATGATTCTTTGCATAATTCATCTTTATCTTTTACATTATCTTCAACAGATGCTGGCTTATCATCTTTTAAACCGTCACCTTCTACACTTTTTTCAAAAGATTCTCGTCGGAATGCATTGTCCGGCTTGTCCGGCTTGTCAGATTCAGCTTCTACGTGTTCTAAGGATGATTCTGGTCGGGATGGATCCGCGGTATCCATGTTACTTAATGGATTAATGTTTTCAGCGATCGATACTCGTCGGCTTTCCGGCTTCTCCGTTTCGTCTTTCACACTCTCAATAACGGATCCGGGCCTGGAGACATCCTTTGACGTAAGCGGCGACTTTGATTCCTTCTCATTTTTAACTATGGACTCTCGTCGGGATGGTTCCTTTGACATCTCACCTTCGTCTTTAATACTTTCTACAACAGATCCTGGCCGTGAAGCTTCTTTGGATGCGAATATTTCATCCTTCAAGACTTCCTTCGAGATAGATAGATCTTTATCGCCATCAAAAGCGGATTCGGGCCTCGAGGATTCTTTGTAAGCCAGAGCCTGGTTTTCATCCTTGTGGCTTTTCGCTGCATCTTCAGATTCTCTTTGATTTTCTTGATTCTCAGCCTCATCAGCGAGGCTCTCTGCAACAGATTGCGACCGAGAAACGTCTTTGGAAGGAAACGGAGACTCATCGTTCTTTGTACTGTCAGGTCTGGAAACATCTGCCACAGATTCAGGGCGGGAGGACTGCTTGGATTTGACGGGTTGCTCAGCATCGTCGTTGTCACTTTCCGTCGCAGACTCGGGTCGAGGGGTTTTCCTTAGGTCAAGAGAGGATTTCCTGGCCTTGGCAGTCTCCGCTGGAAGCGTCTCTGCTTTTTGATCCTGTTTTTGGTCTTCCTGATTGGCCTGCACATCGACCTCTATTGCTTCCTCTATGGTGGCTGGACTTTCTACGGAAACTGTGTCCTCACGTTCTTTGGCCTCTTTCGAGGGAGCGATGGTACGTTCCGCCAGCTGGGCAGGTAACTCATCCTCAGAGGTAATGTCGCTGGTCTCCTTTTCTTCGGGAGTGCTCGCAGACTTTTTCAATTCCTTTTCCGTAATGATTCCTGATTGGGTATATTGTTCGAATTCTTGATCTTTCTTTTTTTCTAACTCCGGTTGTTGTTCCTTGGTTTCTTGGCCAGGGAGTAAACATGTCTGTACAACCTTTTCGGTCACTACTTCCTGCGCTGACTCTTTAAGTCCTACTTTAAAGGGTTCTTCTTTTGACGCTTCCTCTTCGACCTCTCTTTCCTTTTTCTCCTTTTCGTCGTCGGTCTCCTTTTCTTCCTTGACAGACTCCTCTTTATGTGAGATGCTTTTGGCGCCCGTGTCCTGGCTGTCCTTTTCGTATAGCCCGAGATCGGCTTCTTCATGGACGGGTAAATCTGCAACTTCGTCGGGCGTCTTGATAACATCTCGTAAAAGGTTCTGCTGTGCTTCAAAGGTCATCTTCATGGGCAGCACCCGTTCCCCTGAGTCGTGAACCTCGCCCGAAATCTCGGTCCTAGCGTCTTTAGGAGTATTATTGGTGGTAGCAGCTAGGATAGCCTTAATTGCTGATGGAGCCGCTTCAGGAAGAGCTTGTACGGTGGCGACTACGATGGCGTCCACTTCCTTAGTCTCTTCCTTGACGTACTTTTCCTCGATCACCAAGTCTTCCTTAATATGATCTAACGGTATACGCTCGTCCTCGGGAAGTGTAGGCGCAGTAGTGGCACCCGATTCAATGGTGGCTGAGAACTTCTCTTCGGGGAGGCTTTCCTGAAGATTAACGGGCAGGACGTCGATTGGTGCACCGATTAACTCGTCTTTTGTATCCGACGTCTTCTTGCTCAGCTTTTCCTCGGGCGTTGGCGAGGAAAACTCCTCCTCGATGGGTTTGGCCAACTGCTCCTCAGTTCGGGACTTTACTATGTCCTTGGCAATGGAAATTATGTCCTGAACCTCGGCTTTTATCTCGCTTTGATTCAGATCCGTTTTTACTTCCGATTCGTCCTGCGGGGCAGATGCAGAGGAGCTCTCCAATCGTGCTTTTCGCTCTGCGGCTTCTACCTTAGCGATAGCCGCTTCGATTTCCTCTTCAGCGCTCTTCTTGCGCTTCTTCTCCGACTCCTGTGAGTCGCGCTGATGCTTCTGGATCTCCTCCTCCTTGGTCATGCTGCTTTCCTGCTCGATAATCGAGTCTTCAGTATACTGCTCCACTTCCTCCTTTTCGATAATCAGGTACTCTTCCTCCTCCTCGGGCTCATCCTCACCATCGCCAGTTCCCTCAGCAGGCATTTCACGCAGTTCGGCCTTGATCTGTTGGTGCTGCTGGCGCTTCATTTCGTCACGGCTAAACACAGCTTCGATCTCGCGTACCACCTCCTGTTCTTCCTTGAGGTCATCCAGTTCACGCTGCTTCTCTGCGTCAAGTTCTTGAGAAGCGGTTAGGTCCTGAAGTTTTCTGGCTGCTGTGGCTTCGTCTGCGGATGGTGTCGAAACCAGACTGGAGTCGGTGGTGCCTCCCTTGTCCAGGCGCGTCTTTTTTAAGTCGGCCGCCTTTGGTTTTGCTTGTTTTACCGGACTTCCGGGGGCTGGTGCTCGCTTCGATGGTGAAACACCTCGAAGCCTCCTTGAAATTGGCTTCCTCTGGGCCGCCTGCATAGTCCCAGTTGCTGCTGATTTTGCTTCCGTCTGCTGTTGAACTCGTCTTTCGCCGACAGTGCCAGTAATCCTTCTGGAGGCTGTACTGGATACCTGGACTCTAGAGGACTGCTGTTTGGACTCCAGTACTTTTCGGTTGTTTGCATCCTTGGCGCTCTTTGCGGGGGTGCTACTGGGACTGGATTTGGTGGTAGGGCGGCTTAGCACCTTTGACTTGGCATCACGCGATGCGTTCGGCCGGGCGGCTGGCGTGGCCGTGGGCGAACTTTTCCTCTCGTCCCGTTTGGCTATCTTGCGGTCCATGGACTTGGGCGGTTTGGTATCAATGCGGGAGCGCACCACCGGCTTTACTTCTGCACGTGGTTTTTCCGCCTTGCTTTTAGCCGAAACCTTTCCTGGCTTGCCAGTGGTCGCAGCATCAACAGGGGTTGCATCCAATGCATCTTTATTAGATGTTGGGACCGGTGCAGGTTCTCCCGCCTGCTGGGGCTTTATGATTATGACCTCCATATTCTCTTCACCGACATCCTTGTTGTCATGCTCGGCCTCGGGTTCTTGTTCGGGTTCGGTCTCCGCTTCGGGCTCATGATCCACGTGAGCTGTCTCATCCCCAGTGTCAGCGGGTTCAGGTTCACCTTCCTGATCCGGTTCTGCATCTGTGTCCATGGAATCGGCTTTGGTGCGAGCAATGGCTGCTGCAGCTGCGGCCTGAGCTGCGGCCTGAGCTGCTTCCTTTGCCTTGTTGTCTTGCTGTTGTGGATGTGGATACTGGACGGATATAGGGGCACTGGCCGCGGGACCGAACTTTGTCTTGTAACTTGCGCTGGGCGGAGCTGGAGTGCCTTCAATAGCCGACTTCAAACTTTTGCGAGTGCCGGCCACGGTTTGGATAGTGAGGGCAATAGACTTGGCTGTGCAGGTAGAGTGCTTCATGAACTCTAGGTGCTTGAGTTTCTCGAGGCCCTCTTGAATTTTAAAGTCGGGAGTGCTTCCCGGAAAGAGGATACGGGTAATAGTGTCGTCTGGGTTTGCCGGTTGCCAAACGAGAAGGGCGCAAATAGATACTAAGTTTTGCAAAGGAAAATTAAAGTCACGCGACTCCCGAGTGCCAAAGAGGCGCTGGTCGCCGGCGTGCCATTTCTGGAGGAACTCCTTCACCTCCTTAGAGTCGCGCGCTGGGCTTATCACATACATGTCCAGGGTGCCGTGGCCCACCTTGTGGTAGAGATTAACCGGCTCCTGGTTGCGGTAACAGCATTGTGGCTTTAAATCAAGGGCCCTCAGGTCACTGACGATACCGTGTCCGCGATCGAAAAGGTCAATCAAAAGTGGGTCACGGTCTTTGTCGCCATCCGGGCTTGGCAGGCCTTTGCGGTCAGGTAAGTTACCAAAAAAGTGCCCTATTTGGGGGTAAACGTGGGCGTCACGCTTGCGCGATACCACCGCGCCCAAGCCCTGAACGTTGCTGTTGTTTAGGCGCGTCATCAGCACCGCGTCCAGTCGGTCTAGGTGCCGGGCAAAGTCCCAGAAGCATGCCTTCCGATTAAACCCGCCATCGACTGCGGGAAAGAAAGAAAGTGTTTGGGTAAATAATGGCACATCTTACTTTTTAATATATTTATTCAATGTAATTTTTTTAATGATATACGAACCAAGCATATTGAAGCCGTTGATACCGAAGAGCGCTGCATCGCCCTGGCCACCGGGGAAGACGTAGAGCGTGGGATGGGTGAAGCGAATGTTTCCAACCACGTCCGAAGTCTCCAGAAGCTCCCTCAGCGAGGTTGGCATCACCATGGGTGCCAGATAGTCTATGGGATTAACAATTAAATAACTAAACCTATATTCAGGTGCGTGAAATCTTACCTATAAATCCGTTAATGCCTTCGCTGCTCGTGTCGAGGACGTCTACGGGATTGATGCGAATCCGACACTGGCGTGCAAAGGCCTTCTCTGGCAGAGTGTGCCACAACCCCGCATCCGCACAATGGATGTTCATGGTGATGGTGTCAGCATAGGCTCGGATCACTCTTTGTACGTCGTGCTCCTGGAAGGCTTCAGAAAAGTCAGCAACAGAGAATGTTCCGTCCTGTTAAGACAAAAGTATGAAATTTCCAAAAAAGAGACTAGAGGGCATGAATAACCTGAAGTATCCAAGAACCATTGCCACTAAAGGTGTAGCCAGCATGTATGATGTGCCGGTGGCGTGTAAAGCTGCTGAGCAGGTTCCGCATGCACTGAATAAGCGTGTTATACTGCGGGTGGATTAGCACCTCGGTGACCAGATTTTCGCTGGCATACTGGATGAGTCGCTCGCCTGCAAAGGAAAATGATATATTTTATATTTAGGTAACTTTTTTTAGATCGCTTCATGCCCTAAAAGGGATCTATGGAGACAATTCTTTTCTGACAGGAGGCAGTCACACCCAAATGGATGAGTACTCGGGTGGTCAGAGGTGCTCTTATAGATGTGAGACATGTGCTTGGGATAGAGCACGCACGGCGCATCAAATGGATTTTTATTGTCAATTTTTACCCTTAATGTCTCGACTGTTGTCACAGTATAGACCCCCAAAGCGCGGTTGCCTACATAAGAAATTATTTATTGAATCTTTAATTTAAATGCTTAATTAATTAAGCCCTCAGGTGCGTGCAATGCGTTGGATCATGCGACCTTGCCGATAACCTTGTCCACCACCCATTTCCTCTAACGATGATGATTATGTCCGAGCAGATGACGCTTTTGTATGCGAATGCGTACGTACATACATAATTTCTACATTTTCCGTACTAAATAGCCGTGGACAAGCCGATGTCGGGTAGTCGGGTGTATGGGTGCACAACCATCTCCGTGGCAGTGGTCAAATGTGCTCACGTATGCGCAAAAAATTCAAGACGACCATCGGTTGGGCAGTTGTCAACTTGCACGGCTTCGTGTAACTAACGACTGTGTATCGGGTGTATCCCTTGTGCGATTTAAAAATTATAGTCTTGGCGAAAACCGCCTTAGACGGACCCTTAAAACATTATTCGGCCCTTATATTTGCCATTTACTACGAGGGAAACAACTTATCAGGGAACACTAGCGTTCTGCAGTGAATAACGCACAATATTATGTAAAACGAGAATGGAAACTACCTCAGAAGTCAACCTTTCATCTTCTCAGTGCCAAAATTTGGAACAAATTTAAAATAATCTTTCAAAGGGTATAAAAAACAATTATCTAATGATAAAACTTATGTAGTACCCTTTCAAAGGATTAAATATACTTATGCTTGAATGTGTTATTAATCTAAGCATCAAAATCGAGTTTAGATTTCAATTTGTTGAATTTAGGTCGCTACTACCTTTAACGCTGTATTAACTAATTTTCTGCTTCCTTTCGCTATCACTTGCACAGGGCATGATAGGAGGTGTGGTTAGTTGGTCGCGTCTTGGAGAAGGCGTTTGCAGAGGGAAGCCTTGGTACTTTATAAGAGTTAAACAAGATTTTTTCGAATACTAAATACATGGGAATAAATTACATACAAATATTAATGCTGTGGTAGCTTAGAATTTTCGACAATTCATATTCATCTACATCTTCTTGACAATTGGTCTCCTCAGTGGAAAATCGCCTTGATTGGCTGATATATATATAAAACTGCGTGCACTAATTCTTGTGAGTTACAATGATAACAGCTTAATTAGCGGTTAAAACTGCATTTTAAGATAAACTGAGAGGTTGTAATAAAAACGTCGCCGTCGGTCGTCACTGGCATCATTAATCAGGGCAAATACAAAATGAACTGGAACTGCTTCTGATATGAACATCTAGGTGAACTCCCAGGACACTTAAGCTGGCTAGTATGTAGCTACTGAGAAACGTCAAAACTTGGCTACCAAAGGATTTTTGTTGATTTTTTTTTCAACTGGTAAAGGACGGGGATCTCATTCGCCGCTCTGCGGCGGCACCACTTGAAAATGTTGTTTGAGTAGTTTCGAGGAGGAAACGCAAACAAAATGCGATTGTGAATGCAAATGGAAAATCCGCCATCGTTGCCAACTTTTCCCTTATCGGACAATGGCGAAAGGGAGGCATTGAGCGCAGGTGTTGCACTTAGTATGTCCTTCAAGGCGTCAGCGTCAAACAAGAGGCCTGACAAGAAGAAGAACGCGCCCTATCACTCCAAACCCGTGCCTTCTCGAGCATACTTTGGTTTCGTTGTCCCTTAGAAAGATTGTTCTCCAAAGTGAGAGTTTCTGGATGCTAAGACATTCAAAAGGGACTGAAAAATGTAAGGATCTTGTGCCATTTTTTTGCATCTATAAAATTTTGGGGTATAGCGATAGGACAGTTATAATTGTTATTTCCTATGTATACTGTCAGTATTTATATTTATATATTGTTAATACTAGTATTGTCTATTTGGCACACGTTCTTAATTCAATTTCTAACCCTACCATAATAGAACCTATAAGGAATAAGTTTCTTGCTGTTCTCAATTTTTAAAATTTTACACACATGACAAAAGCATCAGGATTATATTTAGTTTTTATTATATTTGAGTTTGATCTGCGACTTTGCAGACTGCATTTTTACGATATAACTTTGCGGTTTGGGAGAACCAAAAGGCGGATATAGACGGATCCTAATCATTTGAGAACAATGAGGTGGGCAAACAGAACAGCGAATTGAGCGAGTATCAACAGTGTTTATGTCAAATCCAAGTTAACAACGCCGTCAAAATAATGCTCTGATTACTGACGATAATAATGCTGCTGCTGGTATGTAAGCTTGCATGAAAATATTAGGATGTGCTTATCATAAAAGTCTAAATAACAATGTACCGAAAAACAAAGAATGATAGCGGAAAACTTTAAGGTTTGGGAATTAAAATTGTGCTTTGAGCCCATGCATAGAAACTCTTCACTTCCTTCTCTAACTGCAGTAATAGATCTCTAGAAAAGTACAGCGATTGCCTGTTTGGATTTTCAGTTGCCTGGCAAATAACCATTATTTGGCTAAGGTATACGTAGTATAGACTTAGACTTACCGTGACGAGCCTCCTCGCCCTCGGGCGCATGCTGTGTAATTGTATTAAGCTCCTCTTCCAAGTCGACGTGACAATCAGAAACGTCCCAGGAAAGGAAACCTTTGAAGAAACAAAATAAAAGTTCAGTTATAGAGTGTTATTTCGGTTAGTTAGTAACATTAAAGCAGTTTTTATAATTATGCGAATGAAGCGCGGCACATAAAGTTAAATAGTGACAGCCAAGGGTAGTAAGAATTTAATTGAATTTATATTGTGTCAGCATATTCTGAAATCTTGAAGTACCCGCGATCTCACCATTCATATGGACAGATAAGAATATACGACCTTATACCGCAAACGCTTTTTTTCATTTTTAAGGTTAGGTTTCTAGTACGAATAGATTATAAATTTTAGTTTATATCATTATTAATTAGTTTTTACAATAAATGAAATTGGTATCTCCATGTGGGGAGGTCCATAATGTCTCAGTGACAGCAGACCATAAACGGGAGGAGGAGTTTCTGGTCTCTATTGCCGGTGGATTGGGACTGGAACTGGGAGTGATTAAAGTTTGGCAGTATCTCCATGTGGGTTGGTCCATGAGTTCCCATTGACATAGTCCATGTACGAGAAAAACAGAAGCAGGGCAGAACCTAATCTGCAGGGCCGATGGACTGGATCTTGCAGCGATCCCAGCCGGGCAAGCTTAACTTAACTTTTAAATAATCCACATTGCACATGGGCGTCATGCAATCCGTTGCAAATTCTGCGGATCATGGGTCACATATGCCCCTCGAGTTATGCAATAAATATATAGAAAAGTTTGCCATCTACCTTGATTTCCGGCTTGCAGAAGACCAGTAATGGTATATTAGGCATCGTCATCTATATTCAGCATCACACGTCATCAAAAGTCCAGAATATGGATTTCCAAAAAAAAACTCCATGATGCACTGCATCCTCCCTGGAGCCATGTCCATGTACCACCAATATAATGGTGGGTACCATTGGACCACTTGGAGACACTTTACTAATACAAGGTCGCTTGAAAATGGCCGCTCACTTAAAAATGACTTGACTGATTTTTCACTGGCCGACAGCGCCTTAGTCACTACATTTCTGCTAGAACCTGTTGGGAATTACAAGTTCCCCCGAGTGCACAAAATTTCGGTCAACCTAGTGTTAACTAACAAAAACGTTAACAGGGAAATTTGATTGTTAACTGGCCGTTAACTTAACATTTAGTTAACTTGCTCGAAAATTTAAAAATTTATGTTAACATTCGAAATTTCCGTTTATGTTTAACTATTTAACATTTTCAAAAATTGCTGTTTAAAGACAAATTCGCGGATATTGGATAAGCTTAGACTTGGTAACAAAGTGTTACTATTCAAATCAATTGTGGTGCCCTTGATGATTTATTCCCTCCAATTATGGGGAATCACTTCAGACTCTAAAGTCATAAAAGTGCAAAGGGTTTAAGGCCGGGCGTTGCGGGAAGAAACGTGCACTCGAGACGGTGCAACGATCGTCACACAGCTCACACCAACCATCTAGCCTCTTCCCTGGCCAACCCAATTAGAAGACGTCTAAAGCCAGATCATCCTTCCGATTCTGGACAAGCGGACGCCAAGTTTCTCGATTCCTAAAGCAGTAACTTGGATTTAGTATCGATCTCTAGTTATATAGTTATAAACATTTGTTAATTTCTTTCCTGTTATGCATTTATGTTATATGTTCAATATTATTTTCAATGTAATATAGACATTAACTTGGCTGATTGACGTTCAATGAATGTATTGCAGCAATTATTATGACTTCTGGTAAAATCTTAGTTTTTTGTACATGGCCGTAGGACTAAATCTTTCGATTTAGGTTCCAGTTTTCTTACCCATTAGCCATCAGTCGCTGTGATTGAGCACCTGACAGCTAGGTAATCGAATGAAAACGTGTCCTACAGTCAGACACCTGTTCTCTGACTTTGAGGGGTCCCCTTCTCCAATTCATCTGGTCTCGTGCCATATCCTTTTTAGCCCCGATTCGCAAGCACCTCGCTTTTACATCACCGACACCTTTTCTATGTATCTATGTATTCCTGGTTGTGACGCCGGTTCCGCTTGACATGGATGATTACTTATAAGCGCCTTTGTGGCTTTCCCCCTTCCCCTCCCTTGTCCTTTTTGTTAGCAGTAAATAGTTACATAATTCCGTGCGCTGCAGGGAGCAGTGTTGACTTTGAAGACGCTTAAAAGGCACTCAATGTTACTCGCTCATTCGTTCTTGCCAAGCCCTTGAAGCCAGAAAAGCGCGTTGAATAAGTTAACATAGCCAAATGAATGCGCTTCTTCTCCTGCGCCTGAAAGTGCATTCGAGAAGGCAAGTGGGAAAGGCGCCTAAATGTTTGAAAATGCATATACAAACACATACAATTAAAAAGGAATTAAGCACTTGCACCCATTATTTACGTATCGAGTGAAGTGGATGACAAGAAAGAAGCTCTAGATAAAAATGAATGAAGAGGGAGGCTAAAGTGGCCGAGGAGTACGAGAGTTTATTCAGCTCCTACAGCTAAAGGACGTACGAGAAAGTGGATGAATAAAAGGGAACATTGTTGGACTAAAAGTAAAATGCAGAAGGCAGTAACAATTAAAGCGAATCAAAAGTAAATTAAACGAGACGCAGTAAATAACTGGCTCAGCAAAGGGACAAGAACCAGGCCAATTTATGAGGACCAAAAGTAGGCCAGAATGTAGAAAGCGAAAACAATGCTGCGCTTGATTGCCCCGTGCCGATAAGACAAGCTTGATGAGCCAAGAGAACACACGGACACGGACATGAACAAGGACATCATACATCGGACATGGCGTTGATGTTATTGCGCACCCAGCGATATTTATATACCGATAAGAAATGTAATTAACTAGAACAGAGCTGAACGTAGGCTAGGGGAAGAGAGAAAAGACGATTTTAGGCCGGAGCTCCTTAACTGACAAAGTACTAAAATTCGACTTATGTACCATAATGAAGTGATAGCTATTACATATAACTATAATAGTTTTATAAACTTTCAATGTTAATAAAATATTTACTTATTTCCATGATGAGCCTAATCTTCCAGAGTCATCTGTTAGTGCCAGAACACGTTTAAAGTAAAATGATTTGCAATTTACAAGGTTAGATTAGCACGTTGGATTGGATTATGCTGGCATAAAAACTTGCGTCATTTTCTTCTGATATTCGAAAAACATTCGTATTCAATGCTGAGTCATGCCTAAGTTTTGTCACCTCTGCTATCCCCCATTCCTGGTGGTCAGAATGAATGCGCAATATATTTTGAAGTGCTAGTTTTCCTAATGGCTAATCAATGTTGATAGGCTTCCACAAGGCTATAAAAGGAGAACAAAAAACGAAAATTGTGTGTGAGGCCCAAACAAAACGATGAGAAATGGTAAGACAGCGATTTTGGCTAAAAAAGAGACTAAAAGTAAGTAAGGTATTGAAACAAATTTGTTTTCGATATGATGGAGGGAATGTAGTTTATAAGAATTTCAACAACTAAGGTCATCTTCAAATATATGTGCGGGGATGTGCCGATGTTGCACGAGGAGGAGTAAAATGTGCGAGTTAGTTTCGCAAAAATTATATAACATTATCGATTGGCTCAAAATATGAACACAGACTTTGATAGGTTTTGGCCACAGAATATCGTCGGATATGTATTCTTTTTTTTTAACATATAAATTTAATTATTAAGACACAGCTTACTTACCAGGAGTATAAAACTATTCAATCCGAAGAAGGCATTAATTCACTTACCAAATATTATTTAAAAATTTCTTTAACATTTTTTTTAATACCGAAAAGGAGTGCTGCTTATGTGCGATATTTGAGAATCGCATAGAACGGCACTCAGTTTCTGGTATATATTTTTTTTTTTTGCAAAAATTAGTATTTATATACTAGATTTATATTTAACTTAAAACCCTTCACTAAATTTGACTTTTGGAGCCACTAAAGGGCAAACTAAATAGAGCTTATCTCATTTTCTACTCTTTCATCAACACTTGATCCGGGTTAATCAACGTGAGGGTCGTTTATATGACGTTTATTATAGAGAGAGAATTATTGCACACCCACCACAGCACCTTGTAAACCAGACGGAAAGGAACGACTTGCTATTGAAAAGGGAATAAAGTATCCCTTCGTCATACCAGAGTCCCAGCTGCCACTATTTGCCTCTTTTTTGCCCATATATCTGCCGGGGTCACCTCAGTTTGTATACGTTTCTTCAATTTTACAGCCAGGAGTGAGAAAATATAAGCAAACAATATAACAGAAAACATTTCTGACATAGACTTGCGCCTGTCACAATGACTGCTCGTGAGTCTGCGGCAGTTTTTTTTATTTTCCATTCCATTATTTTCCGCGACTGACTATAAATAAATTCTCGCGTCCGCTAGCAGCGCGAATTTAAGAATTCCCTTGGGCTTCAAGTTTATAATAATCCATCTGGTAGATACACTCGATGTCTTATCTTCCATTTAAACTCACACAGATATCGGAGTATTATTAGATTATCCTATCCTAACCCTACATCGGTATCAGTTCAATCCTCAAGCTAACTTTCTCAACGTGCACATTATCTCGACGATTCTGACTTAATAACGTCCAAAGAGCTTTCTTACAATTGTTAGACAAATTGCGTCTTATCGTAAGAAGCATTAGAACCCTCGGTTCCTAGCCGATCTGCATTCAAACTTGAATAAGTAATTTCTAGAACATTTTCCCAAAATTAGACGACCAAACCAAAAATGGCACAAGTATTAAATGGCATATCTCATTAAGCTTGTTTTCTTATACCTTCCTGACCCAGTCATTTTATGTTTTTTCAATAGACATTCAAACTTAATTTCTCCCCCCTATGTAGTTTCGGTTGTTAGTTGCAAATAACATATTTTGACAAAGCTGGAGCTACAAACCACTTTAAAATATGGAATTAAGAGTTTTTACCTAAACCAAAAAAGCCTATTAAAGACTTTTGAGAACCGAATAAAGTCATAGTGTGCTGTGCCTTGTCCCGAACATGTGACTGTGGGATGTGATTGTCAGTTGGCACTTGGCAACCGACCAACAAATCACTTGGTGACTGAGATTTTGTATGTTGGTCCGGAATGCGGGAAAACAAGGACGTTGATGAGCTGGAGAATGGTATGGTATGGTACATTATGATGCAAGAAATTTTTTAATTTTGCAAATGCACCAAAACAAAAAAGGCATCGATTCATAGTATTGCCAACCGAGTTACTACGTAGTTTCGAGGATGAGCTCAAGTCTTGCAAATTTGCGACTGATTCAGATTTTGAGCTGGCTTTTAAAATGAAAGCTTTTCACTCTTACTTGTACCCTTTAGTGCTTACGAGTCGTCAAACCACTTTTCCACTTTAATTACGAAGGAACTGTAATCAAAATGCTTTAAGCTTTAAAGTGCTGGTCCTGCGTGTTCTAGTGACAATTAGCCGAATTTGATTAACTTTGACGTAACGAAATTGAACCCCGTAGATGCAATAAAATAATTTATGGAGTGATAACTAGCCGAGTTTATCTACCTGCATAGGCAAGGTATTTCTTCAGGTACAGAAGAAAACTCTTCATTTTGACCCTTAACTATGTAATGCAATCAAAAACTATTAATAAGAGTTGCATCCTGTTACCAGAATCTTGCACACTTTCCTGCATTCTTTGCCTAGATCGAATTACAAGCGACATTTATGATTGAGTTTGAGTTTGTGGGTATTATAGTCTGCTTGGCAACTAGTATACGGAGTATAGTCCAAAATAAAAACAATTTTTGTTTTCTAATAGAAACCATAAAAATTATTAAAAAAGGCTATTGATAAAGAAAAATCAAAATATGTGTATTTCACAGGGCCGGTAATGCTAAATCAGAAATACGTGTGTTCTATACCCGTTCCGGGTGTCGAATATCTGTTCCATTTCATTTTCTTCTACATCCGCTCACTAGCTCAAGCTCTGTCGCCATGGCAAAAAAGTAAAATATGAACATGAAAACAACAGTCGATCCCCTCGTTTCTCTCGACCTCCGTTACATACATCTGCTGGGCACTGCCGGTCATCTCACAACGCATCCCATCCAGATAATTAGAAGCAGCAGCAGACGAGACGACGGCAGCCAGCAAAGTGTAAGAAAGCTGCAGAAGCTGACGGAGTAGGTGGATTGCACTTGATTGGAACGAAATAGATTGGACGGTACAGGAGGCTGAAAACTACAATCTAAATCGGACTGATTGCGTCCAACTTGGACCGATCCAAGTGGGACCAAACGGGACACGCGACGAGAATCGCTCAAGCTTGACCACGACCGCGGCCACAAGCAGTGAATCAAAGACTCTCAATCCTGATTTGCATTCCCTGACTTTCTACACTTGCATTTAAAATAATGATATCTTCTTGGGCTCAAAATTTTGCTAATTCAATATGGTAAAAATTTCACTGAAAGCATGTGGCATGCGATTTCTAGCTTATTAAAGACCATTGAATTTCGAATTGAATTTACATCAATAGATAATCATAAAATATGAAATATTAGAAATAAATAAATAGTTTGAAAGCTAAACTAAAGTAAGTATATGTTTAATGAGAATTATTGCATAATCAAATTCCATGTCAATACTCCATGAGCGTAAGTTTTATAAATGTAGTATTCCAATGTAGAATTCCAAATATAAAACCGATTCTTATAGTATACTATTAAAGATATTCGACACCCGGAACGGCTATAGAACACAAGTATTTCTGATTTAGCATTACCGGCCCTATGAAGTACACATATTTTGCTTTTTCTCTATCAATATCCAATTTCACTCAATTATCAGTTGATACTAGAGAAGATTGAATAAAACTATCTTATGTGGTGGGTTCTAACATATATAATCATATTTGATAAGAAAAAAACATTAAGGAGCGCACGCTGTAGATGTTTTAATGTTGATAAGTTGTGAAATAATGTTCCGAATTGAACAATTTTTTTGGTTTATTAACTTACCCTTAAGCAGGTGCTGCAAGATGTTGTCCTTGTGCTCGTCGGAATGCGGCTCACCCAGGACGATGAGTAGGTAGCAGCCAGTTAGCGGACTGGGCGGACCCACAATCCCACCGGCCAAGCTGGAGGCCGCGCCGCCATCGGCGTCTGAGCAGGCCGTGTCTAGGGGCGCCCGGCCACCAATCTCTGAGGGTGGCAGGGAGCTGGCCCCGGCATCGGTTGCGGCATCGTCCCCGGTATCCCCAAGCTCCGCTTGGCCTTGCTCCTGATCCGGGACCTGAGGAGGACCACCCCCTGCTCCGTTGGGCAACGAGTCCTGGTTGGCGAACATCATGGGTTCGCCTTCAGAAACGATTGCGGATGTCGTTGCCTTTGGCTGATCTCCCATCACAGTTGGTGCAGTTGTTGATGTTCTTCTTCCTTGCCTCTGGCTTCGATTACGCGGAAAAAAAACTGTTTCGTACACTCGAAAAAAAGAATGGACACTCCGGGATACAATTGGTTCACCTGTGCTAGCTTTTCAGTCGGCACACACAAGATTTCAAGAAGATCAATATGCACTCCCAAATCGGGAAATTTCTAAAACGGAGAGTTAAGCCGCGGGGCGTAGGCGTGGCCAGTGGTAACGCTTCACTTCACAACTGCCGATGCTTATAGTATTTTTGTGTTTAATTGTTGTACTTTTTGTTTGCTGGCCGTGACTTTGGCGCAGTTTTTCTTGCCTTGGTTTTTTCTTCGGTTTGCTTAATGGTTTTTCGATTTTGTTTATTAATAATTTGTCTTGGTTTTGTTTTCGGCTTGAGTGTCTTTATTTTGATTTTTATTGTTAATTTTTTGTTTGCTTTGTTATTGTGCACACTTTAAAGCTGTGTTGGGTTTGAAAATATTGCGGTTTTTAATGCAAATCTTTGAATTTGGGATTTTCGACTTGAAGTAAGATTTGTGGAAATAGGCGTGATTTCTTGAAGTATTATTAGTTAAATATATATAGTTAACATATATATATATATATAGTTATATATATACTATATATATATATATATATATAGTTATATATAGTTAACATATATATGTATACGTATATAAGTATATATAGATATATATATATGTAATTGTATATATAGTGAAGATTTGGACTAGTGTTTACTGATAGCAATTTACTTTACTTTTAGTTTTTGTTCCTTTGGTTTTCCTCTAACTGGTTTGTCGATAGAATAGGATTTGCGATTTAATCTTGAAAATTCGTTTTTTGTCTTATAAGTGTTCTTTGGGTTTTTAGTTTAAACTTTCTGCGCGTTTGCTGGGCGACCCTTTTCATCAATCGTCGGATCTGCAAGGAAAAATAGAAATCGGCTAGTTAACTAGGGGAATGCATGCGGTCAGAGTCTGAAACCGACAACCGCCACCCGTTCGATCATTCCCAATGTAATATCTCCAAATCCCTTAAATCGAAAATAACTGACCTAACTAACCTCTTAGTTTTAGGAGGATGGAGAATAGATGGAAGAATAATGGAAGACAGCAGAAAGTTTATCAAGCCACAATTCAAGGACAATAAATTGGATAATATTTAGTTCATACGTGACACGTACAGCAATTTACAAGTACTAAATTTAGAGCCAAATAGAACTTCAAAGGTATTGATCAGAATGACTACTTTAACACAATATCTAATTTTCCAAAATTTGGCGAATCAATAAGCAATGACTTTTATTTGCATATCGCAGCAAAGATGTCGTCATCGCTCCATGGCAACGTTGGCCACGGAGCCATGTCGTTACAATCAACTTCACCACCCCGTGGACTTTCCGCCATATTCACCCCCTTTCTATTTTTGCTGGACTGCAGGGCCGAAAACTATAAAAAGCAACCAACACAAACTTCTTTATGTACGTATATATGTCGGCGTGTCCCGGCTGCCGTAATCCTTCACGTTCTCCACCTAGAAACTCCCCCTAGAAACTGCAATTTGGTCGCGTGCCTGTGGCCAAAAACCGATGCGTTACTCGATGCCGGAGTTGCACGAAGTGCCGTATCCGCAGGCTGCTGATGATTCATCGGACTCCCTTCGGTTATTTTTCTTGTTTTTTGCTTTAAGTTGCCGGCATTTTCTATATGGAGGGTGAGGCTCGTCCTCTTATTCTCTTCCCTTCATCTGAGTGCGGAAATTATGCATGAGCCGGCTATTTCGGGAGCAATTCCTTTAGATCGCAGCGCAGTGGGGCCATAATTATCGACGTAACTCCAGCTGCTGTGGCAAGAAAGTGTCAGCGGAATCAAGAGGTAATTTCATTCAGCACGTGCTGTGTGTTATATGATATCACCGCAAGAAGCCACAAAAAAAAGGGGGGCACTCGCAAAAAATAAAGGTTTAGAATTAATGAGCACACCACCACACCTCACACACCGAAAAAAAATTAGGCGAAAGAACTAATGGCCAATTTACTTGGCTCTTTTCCCCTTTATCTCTGTTCCTCTCTTTATTAGCTGCTATTTCTCTTTGTGATCCTTCTTAGTTGTGGCTGAAGTTTCTGGCTCGACTGAACTGGACAGGAATCCCTGACGGGTGCTGCTCTAGCGCTCGTTGCAAACGGTTCGAAAGCTCGACGACGACTGATTCTTGAAGCGAGACATCGCGGACCATGAAGCGAAGAGCCCAGTGGGGCAGCGACGCCATTCGGTCGTCGGCTTTTGGTTGTCGGTTGTCGGCAACTCCAGTTGCGCTGCTGCTGCTGTTGGAACTTCCAGTTGGGCGCAGGCTCGCTCGCTCTTTGTCGCTCCCCAAATGACAGTCTTCATTTTTCCACCCAGCTGCGTGTTGACGAAAGTCCTTCCCAAGGCCATGCTGAAATACCCTTTTTTAGATGGTGACGTTGAACTTTAATTAGTGACTACCACATGATTCAATTTTTGCAACGAGGACCAAATGCTGATTCAAACATATAATAAAATGTTTCCTGATAATTTCAAAACAATATAACTAGTTTCATATTCCAGAAACCCCTAATTAAAAAAATATGATTTCCATCATATAAATTTTAGCTCTTTTATAGACCAGTGACTTCAAACTATTGTGGGTCGCAACTATAATGTCGCGATGATTAGCTTTCCAAGGATATTGAAGCCTGGGTGCCGGCTTGTGGATTCGTAGCGTCCAAGGGATGACTCTGTAATAAACCGAGCTCGGGTTCAGATTCGCTGGCTCGCCGCTTCCAGTTAGCGGTTATGGCAGTCTCTTCGTTTCTCCGTACCGGCACTTTATGGAACCGGCATCTTTTCGGCCCTGGCCACCATACCCACTCATGCATACCCTCTCTATGTCGCTATACTTTCCGTAATTCTTTAGTTTTTCGATTTTTCGCAACTTTTAAAATCCACTTCACAGCTGTTGACGCTGGCTCAAGCGATTAACAAAATGCAAAAGGAAAATCGAAAAAGAGCGCCTGATAACGGCAAACACCGGGAGATGGAGTCAGAATTGGAACCAAGACTAAGTGCTTTGCTAATCAGAAGCAGCGGGTAAGCGGCATTAAAGCTAGAATTGCGCAATTTGCAGGCAGCTCCGGAAAAAGTGAGCGAGGATCACCAAATGGAACTCCTAAAGACAGCGAATTTAATTCTATGTTTATTTATATGTATATATGGACAAACAATAGAAGGGCTTCGATACCAGTTACTCTATTAACCAATTTCAAAATAAGCATGCTATTTACAGATGACGTCATGTGTATTGTATTGAAATATTTACTTCCTAAAAAATTATCCTTCGCATGGAAATATGATTTGAAGTGAATAGATCTACTTAAAAATATACAAAAAAACCTGAAGTACTGCAAAAAAAAAATGCCATTTCAGTCTTTGCTGGTCACAGGTTAGCCCTATTGTTGGAGCTTAACAATATACACTCGAACATAGAAGACCGGGTTGCTCCCGTTCACTTCCAGTAAAAGTTTTAAACGCAAATGAATCATTGAAAACTGATTATAAGTGTCATAAGCATCGGTTAGTTACATTTTACTGACCATCTGATTTTCTTCTGGCATAATTGCTAGCTAGCAAACAGCTGCCAATGGCAGAGTTGGATATCGATTTAGCCGTCGACTGGCGGCTTGCCGGCTGTTCTATCCCCAAGAGTTTGGGGACTCGGTTTTGGGGGATAGATGACATGGGTATACAAACAGCTGACTCTTGCTGCGGAGTGCGCTTGTGTGTGCTTGAGTAGCGCTCAGCTGCGCGCAACGCATCCAAGCGTTTGATTTTGAATAGCTTGGTGGCAACTACTGGGCATGGGCTGTCGATGCTATGCGAGATGCCAATGCCGCCGCACATGAAACATGTAGAGCTGAACACGCCCCCAGGCCTGACTCCTGTCTGTAGATATATTTGCCCACACCTGCGAAACACTCATTTACATGTAAACTCGATGCCGGACTCGATACTTACCTTTTGGTTAAACTTGGATGAACTTTGTTAATAGCACTGAATAATTACTTGTCACCAATGGTTTGCAGCGGAGCCGTTCTTCAATTAACGTTATGGCATTGGATGGAACAAGTTTTTTTGCTTAAAGCTTTGACTCTTAAATAGTTAGTTACTTCTTTAAGTCTATGTTCAAGCTTAGCACAAAATGGACACACAATTACTTTGGCAAAAATGTTTGTTGAATTTGTAGATTAAAGCGGACGCGATTAACAAAAAGCTTGGAGTTATTTTTACCTATTTAGGTCTTGAGTCTACTACTTTCTACAGTAATTTCGGCTGTAGCAACTGATACTTTCTGAGTTGTTCGTACCGAAACCGAAATAAACTTTAGACGGATATTGATTTTTAACTGCTGTCACTGTTGCCTCTTTCTCACTGTTCCTGTCTCTGTCACTGTCCCTACTGTCGATGTGTTTTTGGGTGCTCTCTTCAACCGTATTGCTGCTGCTGGGGTTCTGGGGAAAAACTTTGGCGCACCACCCTTTCGAGCCCAATTGATTGATTCTTGATGGTTCGGGCGCTGGCATTTAGTGTTCAAAACTTCAGTTGATTTTCTTTGCCTTTCAGCTTGATTTTTTATCCGTTTCTCTTAACTCTCCTGTCGGAATGCTTATAACTCTGGGTCTTGACTCTGAATCTCCGACAAAACGACCCTAGCTTCTGGTTTCTGTGCTCTTGCGCTTGTCATTCCCGTTACCGTTACCGGTAGTCGCCCGTTACCGTTTGCAGTACCACCCACTGCCCACCGTAAACATCTTCTTCTACGCGAAGCACACTAACACACTGAGGAATCGGCTGGTCTTCGGCAACGTCCTCCTCTTCTCGTTGCCCTTTTTGGCACACTGGAAGACGCAGTGTCCATACTTTAGTTCTTGTTCGAGCATGTTCGAAAAACATGTGACAGAGACGCCGGACTTCCAGCGACGCAGGCGTATGGAGGCCAATGCAGCCGACAGCTGGCGAAGCAGAGCCGAACAGCTGATTGTTGCCAGCCAAAACGACGACAGTGAAAAAACGGTGAAATGGGTAAATCGAAGAGGAGTGGTGTTAAAACTCAGCCGCCGCCGGTTGCTAAAGCCGAGCACTAAGTATCTGATGCAATCGAGAATGCGGGTAATGTACATATGTAATTGTACGTATATATATATACATATACATATATATATACGTATATATAAGTGGTATGTGAAAATGAAGACATAACCTACTATACTCGATTTATTTGTTCTGACAAATATGTATAGTCCAAAAAGTAAAGCTAGCCCCAATAAGTTCGACGTTCACATACATAATGTGATGTATAGCGTTGAAAACACAGTTAAGCATTTCAAAATAACCAAACTTAACTTTTCACAAACTATACAATAGCTTACAAAAAATTCTAAAAATCTAAAAATGGATAAAGCCTTTTTAAATGATCCTAAGTTTAAAATATGAAGGCAATGAAGTAAGAACTCGTTTTATACTATCTTGCAGTGTATAGTTTCTTGGTGTTCTGTGCAATTCAAATACAGCTTAACCAGAAAATTTCTTTACATTAGACTTTTCTTTGCCTGAAGAGGAAAGCTTTAGCCTTTGACAACTGTAAGTGCAACAATGCCAGACACATAGCTACCGTTACAGAAAGAAATTCGGGAGAGCCGAAATTAACACTAGGGAACGGACTGCACCACGCCCAGTTTATTCCAACCAAAGTGGAACATTTCCAGATCCATATGAGGCAAAACTAAATTTTAAATACAGGAAGACCCATTCTAGTCATGTGCCGCAACAATACTATGTTGTCAACATATATTAGATTTGTTGGTGGTCAGCAAAATAAATGTTATGTATAAATGTAAACGAAGAATATGGGCACTCCAGGTTTTCGCGGTCTGTGGGTGTGGCTGATGTTTGAAATAAACATACTCTGCCATCCTTAGCAAGACAAGGCTAGTTGATCGGTATTTATCACTATGGAGTCTGATCAACATTTACCTTACGTAGTTAATATCAAGTTCGTATATGAAACGGGACATATTTAATCGATATTTACCATTTTTTTCTGTGTGTGAGCCTTTACTTTGTCCCAATGTTTTCTGTCTGCCGCCACTTTTAAAAAGTTAGTGACACGACACAAGTCAAGAAAACGGAACGGGAAGTTCGGGCAGGATGGGATAGGCGGGGGAAACACTGAATACGAAAGAAAGACAAAAATATTGAATTGCAATAAACACGAAAGAAAAACTTTGGGGTACTTTGTAGGACAGAAGGGATGGCAGAGCGTGGGGAAAGGACAGCTGCAGTTGCATCGCGCGCGCAGCTCACTTACAACCACAGCACGCCAAATTTATTCTATCCATTACTTCACGGCCGCTATAAAAAATGTTAAAAGGAAAAAAACGTGTCCGCCTATGACGCCATTGACTTTATTGCTTTTACTGTCTGTTTCTATTATGAGAATGATCTTTATAAGTTATAAAATGTTTGGGCTTTCTAATTATAACTGCTTTAAAACTTTCCATGACCCTTGCCCATTTAGAAGAAATGACTTCTAGGGCAACGAAAAGGGTGTAAGCTAAGGATGTAAGAAACGGGTATAATTAGCATACAATTCGGACCTGCTTGCAGCATTATCCCTATAAATATCCACAGTAAACAGCCCCCAAGGACAGGACCCCGACGAGTAGCAAGCGTAACAGCGTTACCATAGTCTACTGTAGTTTCGGATCTTTTTTATATTGATTTTCTTAGCTCCCTTCACTTTAGCGCTTTTGCAAGTGGTACTAATAATGTCGACAGACGGAAACGGAAGTGGCAAGTGGCAAGTCGCTTTTCCATGTTAGTTGTGTTGACGCTTATGGTCCGTACGCGGTGGTGCAGGCGACCTGAGATTTTAAAGACAGCTTTTTTCCTCTTTTTTGATTTAAAAATAATAAGGGGCAGAGTCAGAAGATGAAGCCTTAAATGTCCCTGAACCCACAGTCCGCATGCTATTATAGAATCTTTTAAAGGATTTATTTAAATTGTGAAAGAGTCAGTGGAGCCCATTAATTAGTCCACGAAATCCACCATTAAAGAATTGTTCCCGTCTTTACAAGTCAGGCAAGTGTATACATATATACCATATCCTCAAATATGTCTAGTCACTGATTCTCCATAGTTCGTTTTATGCCGATGACTATTTGAAGGGTCGCTTACGACCGCAGTCCAAGGTCCTCAAGGTCGAAGCCAAGTGTACTTCTCCCCACTTCCTTATGTCGATATCCTCTTTCAGTTATTTTTATGACACGTCTTAAGGCTAAAAGAATGAGGGCTGCGCCTTAAATCAAAATTTCCTCTGCTTTAGTTGTCTTCATTGTTATTAATATTTCATTTTCTTTTGGGCGGCTTCCACAACAAACCACTCACTTCACCACCCTTCACGCGCTCCAAGCGATTGCGTTTTATTATACCTTGCTCTCCCCACAAGCCCTCGTTTTTGGCCGAAATTGCGTCGTAGCCTAAGTAAAGGACAACAAATACATAGCATACTTTTTCGGGTATTCTCGTAATACCTAGTAACGAATTTCAATGTCAAAGATACAATTGTTGGCCGCTTTTTTTTTTTTTTTTTTTAAGTGCGCGCGGTCATAAAAAGGAGGAGTGACTTAATCGACGTAGCTAGGAAAATCAAATATCAATATTAAAATTTGTGAAGTGATCAAGACAACATAAAATATCCTATATCTGGACCTGGTCGGACGGGAAAACACCAAAAGGTGTTTTTTAACTGCTGGGGCCAGATGCTGGGCGTTGATTGCGTTTTTGACCCGTTTCCATATTTTTCTTGTTGTAAAGAGCACTGCAGCGGGTCAATACGACGTAAGTTTTTGGCGTAAATCAATGCGACAGTCACCGCAACCACAAAATAGAATTACAATCCTTCAATGATAGATTTAAACCTCCTTCTGTATTCCGAAGCCCCAAGACTAATGAACCACCAGATCACCTGCTTTTGAGTGTCACTGTGGATTGCGAGCTTCTGTGACACGTGGATAGTCCAATTAAATTGCCGTCGACATTGATGTACACATCAAATAGAGGAAAATAAGGAGATGTCGACCAAAAGGAGAGGGGTTTGACAAAGAGAAGGGAAGAGTTCAATCTCAAAGGTAACTGGTAACTGTTTTAAGTTTTTTGAATTGCACAATTTTCTCATATAGTAAGGTTGGAGGATAGAAAAGTAGTAGAGAAAGCGTTGTTTCTAGCAAAGAGGCACAGAAGTCCAGATATAATGCATGTTCCCAACGTTTGGAAATAGAGGATAAGAGGTTAAGCAGTGACATCTGCTTGGCTCCTAACAGGAACAGGATAACCACAAGAGCCGCGTTGCATTTGCCGTTGTGTTTAAACCGGAATAGCAAACGCTGTTTCAGCAAAAAAATTTTAAAAATGCAGCCGATGTCGTCTGGCCAAGAGAACAAATTCAATAAAGTCTCCCAATGGCGGCGTTTTGGTGCGGCATTTGTCAGTTGCCAAATGGCTATGATGTCCTTCATGTCCTGCTCCAAAAACAAGGGGATGGCCAAAAGGATTTATACAGTGCGGCACACAAACACACAGACACCTCGAGAGTGGGTCATCAGTTGGCTAACAACCAGCGAAAGGGCGTTTAAGTGCGTGTCTGGATGTGCCCCTTATTTGTATTGGGCGAACTATAAATGAATATGTCATAACACTCAAAGGAAAAAAAGAAATGGTTTCAAAGAAAATATTTTGAAAATATTTAACCGCGTTATGTTAAGATGGAGTATATGTATTACATAATATAAAACTTCTGTAAAGTGGAACTATCGGATAACGATTGGTTTGTTAACCTATTTTAAGCAGATGACATAATCCAAATTAAAATATAACCTTTTGGTAATAAACGCAAAAAACAGTGACATTGCCGCCGCTTATTTCGACTAAGTATGTATGTTTTGAACGTTAGTTAATCCTTTATTAGTCTTCTGATTGCAACGGTCCATTCGCCGGTATGCAATTCAATTACAAAACTAAAACTGTGCAAAAAGGCAATAATTAAACCGACCTGTGCCCTAAACGCCTTTTCCAGCCTTTGGGAATCACAAAGCGGCTACCCACGCAATTTGCTTAAAAGGTCACCCCAGAAAGGTTGGCTTTAGCGAGCGGACTGTCAGGTAGATTATGGCTCATCGTTGATTGACTGCAGTGATGGAGGAGGTGCCAAATTGAATCACCAAACGATCGATGCAGCTAAATTGATCCGACGACTAGACAACACCAAATCACTTTCAAACCAGGGTAGACATAAACTATAAATATTTCAGAAACCTTATTTTACGTATTAAACGCATTTATAGCTTTAAATCATTTTCAGTGAAATTCGTTTTGGTTGGTAATGACTTAATATATACAATCATCTTATATCGATAAAACATACTGCAGATCTTCGTCCTGGTTATCCGAGGTTTTTAGACGTTTTTCTGGGTGTCAGTAACGCATTTGCAACACCTCTCAGGGTTTCAGCATTGCGTTTCATTGTAAAGTAGAGGAATGGGAAGCCTGCCACCAGCTCCCTTAAAGCCAGCTTTAGTTTGAACTTTATAATTTTTAAGCTGGGAAGGGTACACAACAGGGACAAAAATGGATGCCTGGGCATATTTAACCGCTTGTTGCCCACTTTATGCGGCGTTGTACGATGTGCCCAGCTCGCGGCGGCAGCCAGAAACATGCCAGCTAAGTAAGAACAAAAGAGTTTGAAATAAAAAAGGAAAACATAGTCGCCTGTGATTATATGTGCAAATTTGGGGTGTTCTAGAAAACACAAAAAATAATTACAAACAAGTGAATTACCAATGCGAGTTCTATTCATTTATTCATCGATATCCTTAGATATTAATGTCATAGAACCACATGACTAACGTTTACTTTTCGGGCTACTAAATTAATTTGGATTAAATTAAAAATTAAAATATGGGTACGATGTTCTTTAACATAATTATCTGAAAATGATTTTGCTGGCTTTCTAGCATGTACATACATATAGTTCCAAGATGTCCGGACAGATGTCGGAAACACGTTTACGGGTCACCTTATCGCGTGGGTGTGGCAGGCGGAAAATCAAATACCGCATCGGGGGCAGGTGAAATACGAATGTTTTAAATGCCACGCAACTGTGAGCCCATTGAAAGCACAAGTACTATGACCATAGGAATACCAGTTTTATAGTATGTACCAGTACGAGTAGTATGGTATGGTGTAGTACTACAGGAGCACAAACATTCATCCTTATTTGTTTTTATGTGTTTATTTATAGCGGTTCGCAACGCGCCAGCAAGTTGGCAAGTGCTCTAAAGAAACCGCAGCGAAATTGAAAATGAGCGCAGAGAAATAAGTTTGGAATACGTGATGGAGGTACAAAAACTTTATATATTCCCCATCTAGGATCAGTTAAACAACACGGATTAGTAATAAAATTAAGAAATATATTAATCAACGACTCAATTCCTTAACCTTTTCAACTCTACATGCTTTCCCAGAAAGTGGCTCTCAAATGTTTGTCTAGACATCTGTCAGGAAATTATACTTTAATCACTTATCCCGTTGCATGTTGAATGTGGTATTTTCGATCCCCAAGCTCTGCCTGCCATATCTATTTGATGGCGTCATCCGGCGCCGCCTACCAACAGCTGTTTTATTTTGAAAGCTTGCGCAGCCATATGATTTATTTTTCCAGTGATTGGAAACGAGAGCCCTAGTATATGGCCAGAAGAACGACCTCTATGATGTCCCCTTCTATCGGAAAAGCTTACTAGCGGTGCAGGAAAAAAGCTTTCGAATTTGCCGGTTAGAAGGGTACGGCCTTTTCAGTATTTAATGCAGAAATTTCGTTCTTTTACCGCTTTTTCTGCAGTCATGGGACCTTATGTCACAAAAGCGAAATTGATGCCTATAACAATTTAAAAGCTAAAATAATGACTGCTCGACATGTTCTTGTCTCTGTGCCTGCAGGCAACAAACTTGTGAATATTTTCAAATTTAAATATATAACTCGGAAAAATTAATATGACATAAACCTATGTATTTAGTTAGATATTTGCGTGGGGAGGTTTTTGCATTAAATAATGCAAATACTACATCAATAGGTCCAACGGCTACATTTTGGGACTTATGAGCCAATAAATAAAAATTCTCAAAAGAGAACGAAAGCCTGTGCTTCTAATTGAAGATGCGTTGACATTCGCCTTATATTGCCTATTGCGGCTGATGTGTTCGACTACAAAGTTAAATATAGATATGTATATAAACACCACAATCACCACGAAGTCAGTTCAGGTGTTGCCAGCTTAAAACGATATCTGAATTGTTCATAGTCCAACGATTTTAATTCAACAGCGATTACTTATGTCTGTTACACTGCTTTCTTTCACTTCCCCGTTCTTATCCCTGCGGGAGCCTTCAAACATTATTCAGACGTTTCCTTTGATGTCGACTTAGCAGGTGGGAAGAGACTATGGATAATGTGTTCTGCAGAACATTTTTGGCCATTCAATTCGGGCCATACCCCTCCCTCTTTAGCACTTGACGGAATCCGCTTAAATGCCATTTCCGGTACGGCACGGAAAGTGTTGCATATATGTTTCCACCATTTCGTAGGACGAAGCACATCGCCAACTACACTTACTTGGAACTGTACGAAAATCATGACGAGAAGGGATTTCCCCGCAAAGGGCAACAACTGAGAACAGATAACTGAGCTAACTGCCTTACTTTCAGGTTAGGTTCTGTCATGCCCCACTTACACCCCCGTCTCAGTAACTGTCTGCATTGCAGTTGCCATATATCCGTTGCACCACACCCTCCCTTGATCTACATTCTTTGACCAAATTTTATTTCCTTGCAATATACGGGGGATTGGGTGAGGAACAAACCTAGGGACTGGTATTTTCTGGAGCTTAAGACTTAACACTTGACACTCACCGTAGTCCGATATTTGTTCACTGAATTGTCTTTCTTCACCACCATCGAGAATGTATATCCCACTATTGACTTCTTAATAATTGACCAAACAGAAGAAAACTAAGGTCTCGGTCCATACATGCATATCTGTAACGAAAGTTTACTCTAATTTAGTTTAGAGTTTATTGATTTCTAATGTTGCAATATGATTAAAATTATTAAGGTTTGCGGAAAGACTTCTAATACCAAATAGGTTTCCCGGAGGTCATGTCCGACATCTAGTTTGCAGCTTAATTACCTAGCAATTCAAAGTAAATTTTATATACTTACGTATGTATATTCATAACAGTTTGTGATTTAGTTGTTTAATAGTCTAATTGAAGAAAATGTTAACTAGTAAAACCTGGTGATGTTTGAAAAACATGTTTGATTACCCCCGGGAATCGTTATTACTTTTAATTTCAATGATTATCTAAATGTTTAAAATTTTAGCCGTGGCACGAACCGGGCGCGCATACTATCCCGCTATCCCACTCTTATCGGCGAACTTGCTACCTCTGTTTCTCTCCTCGACTCTTGTAGCTATCCCGCTCTATTGCCCACAAAATCGGCTGCAGCACAAGCGGGACAGCAATGGATAGCACCTGCGCACCCACTGTATTTCACGAATTTGGGCCGGTGGCATGCTGACACCTGCTGTTCGCCTGTTACTCCGTCTAGGGCAAGTTCCTAGAATGTTCATTGGCTGCAACATGGGACGCTGCGTTTCAAGCCACTGACTCCAAAACTCGTAGAATTCACCCAAACGAAGCAGGCCAGCAGCGGCGAGAGTACGCCAAACACGTTGCGGCGACATCGCGTCATGCGCGTCGTGTACTAAGCAGGCAAACAGGGGTGGCGATAGGCCGACGACTGTGGAGGATAACTGAAGACGAAGAGGGGAAATCCTGGACGCGACTGATGGCCTTTAGTCACATATGGCCAAATAGAAACTGGCGGACGGTTCAAATACACACGCGCAACAGGACAGCCAGGAGCGGTCCACGGTGGAGCAGAATGGTGAAGCGGACGTTAGCAGGCGTTAACACTTTCATTTTCTTGTTCCAACCTGGCGCTGGCCGCTAAACAGGCGCCCATAAGCCAGAAGGAACCGTTTGCGGCGGAAGCGGGGCAACTATAGTGCGACCACTAAAACCGCTATGTACATCCCTCTCTGATTCATGCGTGGGCGTGCGCTTTCTTTTAATCTTAAAGTGGCCATGAGGTGCCAATGTCCTTGAATAAAAAACAGTTTTCGGGCACAGGCGCTCATCGTAATGAAAAAGCACGAAGCAGCAGTAGCAGCTGCTCAAATGCATTGCTCTCTTGCTGGCTGCATACGAGTCTCGGCAAGGAAAACTTGGTTTAAATAGGTACATGGTACATACATATGTCGCGATAAGCGATTCCAGGTACACCGATTTCTTAATTATTTATATGTGTGCAAGCTATACATTAATATATGTATGTATGTATATTCTCTCCATTATTTTGATTACTATAAGAAAATATATAAGAAAAAATATATACATATATACGCAAATTTGTACATACATATGTACATGTTCAAGTCTGCAAGATACAACATTTATAGCCCTACTGTGTTGAGTGAATCGTGTCACAGTTGCAGCCCTGCTGAAAGCATTGTATTGTCGGGAGTTTCATGTGGTTATCTTACCCCTTAGCATCCGTGGCCTGGTGCTGCGCCTGCTGTGAGCCGGTTCAAAAATCGACTGACGAAGGCCCCTGAAATCGTCGCACGGGGCCTTTGCAGAAACTCATTAAATGTTTCTCATTTCCTTTTAATCGTGCGACGCCTCCTCCGGCTTTTTTTTTCTAGCTAGACCAATTAGTGGAATATAACTCTTCGCACTGACCACAACCCAGGCTTCGTATTCATTAGCTGAGCGACCTACCATTTTCGTAGCGCATATCCTTCTATCCTATTACGCTTACATCTTCTTAATTAAAAGGCTGACAACGCAGTTTATGTATACCATACCCCTGCCCCTATCTCTCTCGCTAGCGGATTTTTAATTGCCTAATTAGAACTGCTAGAAAAGTCTAGAACACCACCTTAAAAAAAAGCTTTCCGCAAAAATCAACATATCGGCCCTTTTCTGTTCATTTAAAAAGGCAGGCAAGGATTCCGTCCACCACCACGCCCTAGATACGCCTCAAGCCCGGCATGCGGAACAGGCGCCCAGTAAGCACCAGGACACCGAACAAGGACTCGAGTCGCGGGACATGAGAAGAGGTGGGAAACGTGACGCAAGATGCAAACGCGGATGCGCAGGATGATGATGCAAGATTTTTAGGTTGCCTAGAACCCCGGAGTATAGTTAAGTCAAAAAGCTCATGGAGAGAAAGCTCCTACAACTTCAGTGGGTCTGAGTCATAGGAGAGTTCCAAAAGATGAGCTGCCAGAAGTTACACAATAAACATTTTATCATACCTACTCAAGGTTTCCAAAGATGATATGGTACTACGATAACACAAATAATACTAACTACAAAATTAGCCATTTCTTTAATACTTTAAAAAAAAGCCCTCACAGAAAAATAAAAGTGTTTACTAACCTTTTGAAATTAAATAGGCCATAATACGTTTTGCTATACAATTCTTGCCCAGATGATCGTTATATGTACACTTCATTAGTTTCGATGAACCGGCTACTATGGTCTTGCACCCCTTCATTGCCATTATTTCACCTGAAACTCCAGGCGTGACTTCCTTTTTTCTTGATTATAGTTTTTGATTTTTTCCCAACATTCCTTGTAAATAATTTCGATTCCAATTGAAAATACTTCAAAATAAAGAATTTGAAAACTGAAAATGAAAAAATAATTATATAAAATTAAATTTCTTATTAACATAATTTTCCATTTGCCATCGAAATAATTCAATCGAAATCTATTTCAATGTTTATTAGATTTATTTTTGATGGTCGCTCACGTGGAGCCGTTCATAATTTGTATGTACCTACAGGGGTTGAGGATACCCGGATGCGGATGTGGTCTTCGCTGTATAATCCGATCCTGTAGTTTGCTCCGGTCACTCCCGTGGATCAAGTGGCACCCTGGTACGGTTTTTATTTTGTATAAGTGTTGCCATCATATTGGTTAGTCATAGTTCCATATAGTACGTTATTACATAGTATATAGTAATTTGTATTATGTATAATGTACGTGTATATGTGTATATAAATTTAGTTAACATTAATTCACCAAATACTTTATGTCCCTCCATTCCATCTTTTGCTTCGTAATTTTCATTCAAAGGATATTGATACTCTTCAATTAAGTCTATCTTTCAAATATATAAAAGTTCAGTTTACATTTGTTGTGTTTAAATCGACAGAAGTGGGTTAGTTTGGAAGTGGGTTTTATGGTGCAATGGATGGGGGAAAGCCAGGTCCAGGGCTTCGTAAAAGGGTTTCAAAATTAGTCTTTGGCACGTTTAAGTCGATGATATCGATAAAGCTGATATGTAATCTGAGCTTCCTCGATTAGTGATTTCTAAAAAAAGAACTGAGTGCGAATGTGGAGTAAAAGTAAAGCGGATATTGACCCTCGTTCAACAAAGTTTGCATAGTTATGAAATTTTTGTTTTTTGCCATATTATCTTAATCTGTATATGTATATAAATAATCCGTGAGAATCAACACGAGTTCAATGTATAACTTACTTTTATATAAACATATAGGATTATAATAAATATATCTGCTTTAGTGTCTAGAGATTCACTGCACTGAGATCTCCTAAAGTGAACTGGGCTAATAAACAAGGATATTGGCATGCGGCTATATTTTATAACATTTCGAGATAGCTGGCCAATGGCGAAGATATTTAGTTTTGGCTTTTTTAAGTTAAGTTCTGTTTTGTTTGATTAGATAAATTGAATTCAACAAACAATGCCCTAAGTTGTAACGTATGCTAATTAATATAAATTATCAGGCATGATCCAATTTTCACTCTACTGTTATGTTCTTAGCAAAGCGTTTCGTTTTTAGGTGTGCCCGAAATGAAATTTTTGTAATAACAGCGTGCTAAGCGAAAGCATATAAATCTTTTGTTATAAATTTTATAGGTATTTTTGAGTTGGGTTCATAAACTAAAAACGAAATCAGTCCTCGATTATTAGTCTGATGCTGTGGACATGAAAATAAAAATACAACTTTGCCGAAAAACTTGCGTTAATAATAACGAGAATTAAAGAAAGTGAAAACTGTATCACGCCGACATAATTTAAACAAATGTTGTCTCTAAAGTTTGCATATTTTTTGATAAATTTGTATCATATGTGTAAGGCCGCTTGCGGCAACTGCTATCAGAATGCTAAAATATCTTTTCTACAGATATCACCATCTATCACTAACCCATATGACTATATATGAGATAGCAACAGGAGGTTACGGGGTTACATATATATATATATATATATATATATTTATATTTATATATATATTTATATATATATATATATATTATATATATATATATATTTATATATATATATATATATTTTATAATTGAAACAAATCTTTATCTTCTTGCGTTCTCCAAGATCTGGGCTCCCAGATTGTCTCTTAAAGTTTTGTTTTCATTACCCCTCAATGTTTGGGCGTTTTTGTCTTTTTTGTTATTTGCTAAATTCTCTAAAACTCACTCGACAAACTTTTCACGCACTTGTTCTTTTTTTTGCAACACTTTTTATGTATGGGCTGTTGAATGTTTGGAATCTTATTTGGTAGACGTTAATCAAGTTAGAATGCATCGAAAGTACAAAGGATACAAAGTGGATTCTTGTGGATTCCAGTACAGATTCGGTTAACGAAAAAAGACTATTACTTAAAAAAAATCGAGTAACAACAAAGAATTACAAGAGCACAGCAATCGAGTATGTAAACTATGTATGTACAGCTCAGGCGGAGCACGTAAATAGCGAGGGACAAGGTCAGATACAGGCTATTGCCTAAACTAAACGTAAACCAAATAATAAATAAATAAAGATGCAAGACGCAGGGGTGCGGGACAGTGCAAACGGAAACGGAAAAACAGAAAACAAATGAAAAGTGAAATGCACGCCAACTCAGATGCTAAAAGGGACGCTTACTTCGTCACTGCGGAGGCAGAAACGGAACCTGGCGTAGCCGACAGCGCCATCTTTGAGAGCGTTGCTAAAGAACGTTTCGGGAATGTGTTGTTGCCGTCCGATGGGTCCGAGAACAGTTTCCGGAAGCTGGAAGGAAAATTTTAAGTGTAAGTAAACAGCTTCTTGGCAAAATGATTATAAGAAGATATGTATTCTTACAACTTGCGAATTCCTGACTCTGAGCTTTTCTTCCAGGGAGCATCGTCCGGCTCGTAGGGCAGCGGCCCCTGCACAGGTGCATCGTGTCCAGGTGGCCTTCAAATAGGATACAATAATGATTCACTCAATGCTGACATTATGTGGAAAACTATAAACAAACTTAAATATATGGGTATTAGATCTGGTTAGTTAAATAAACACTACAAAAATATTTAATGATCGGACAAAGGTGTTTGAATAACTTTTGAATATGCAGCAAAATACAACAAATATACATATAAATAAATAAAAATGTGTTTATGAAATGTTTGCGTGAAGCGTACGGTTAGCGGCTGAAACAGAAGTATATGACTAAGGCAATTAATGCTTTTTGCCTAAAATTCACTTGTTCTAAGCTAAAGGTATTGAAAAGTATTTCATTTACAACAGGATTACAACTAAATTGAAAGTGGATTTAATTACGTTTCACTGGCTACGGGTGGCTCCAGTTCTCCCGCCTCGGTAGCATCCTCATCGTCGTCGTTGCCCGCCACGTGACTATCATCCCCCTCGTCGCTTTCGTCTGAACTGGAGAAGTGGCGCTGCCGCTTGGCCTTTGACTGGCTGGGCGGCTTCAACTCAGCCAGCTGTTCGTTGAGGATGTCGATAGTGGTTAACAAGTCATCGCGCTCGCTGATAAGCTCCTTGAGCTCGCGTGTGGTGTACCGTGGCCGATTTGGATCGTTTTGGCCGTCATCGTACGAGGCTACTAGATCTTCATTTTCCTTTTCAGCCAAACCAAGTCGCTTGCGCAATTGGTTGATTTCCCGACTCTGGTCCTGCAGTTGAGCCAGAAAGTCTGCACGCTCCTCGCAGAGCGTCTTTACCTGGGCCTGCATCAGCTTGTGGCGTCGCCGAGTGTCACGCTCAGAGGCCTTCAATCGCTCCGCCTGAATATTGAGCTGGGGAAAAAAGAATATGATCCGTAAGCAACTGTCCACCGCAGTATATCACAAAAGTAATAGTAACATAAAACCCATAGAAGTCCAAGATCCCTTAAGGATACTCACGTGCTCCAGCTCGCTGTACTTGTCCTGCAGCTCCCGCTCGCGGTGTTTTAGATCATCTCGTTGCTTGTATATCTGCTCCTTTAGCCTTTGCAGCACTTGGGTGTCCGAAAGAGCGCCGTGCAGTTCGTGGTTTGTCATACTAATGATGCTCTCGGTAAGACTGGCGCCCAGGCCGGAGCTCTGGGTGGATGAGGACTGCAGGTCCTGTGTCTGTTTCACCAGCCTCTTGTTCTCATCCTGCAGCGAGGAGACTAGGTCGACGAGTTCGTTGGTCTCAGTGCGCCACTGCTCCTCGATCAACTCTAGCTCCTTGTCGAATCGCCGTCGAAACTCGGCCTTCTCTAGCTTTTCGCTCTCAAGCTGAGCCACCTTGTCCCGCAGCTCCTGGATAGTCGTGTTCTCGCGCTCGTTCTTTGTAGCAAGCGCCTCCAGTAGTTCTAAGGTGTTTATGATTTTTGGCATCAGCCTGTTGACGGCGTCCGTGCCGAATCGATCCATAATCCTCTCATACTCTTTGCCAATGTCCGAAGCCAAATCGTACACATCGACCACGCCGATGTCGTCGATGGCGTCCAGGACCATTTCACCCATCTCATTGAGGTGAAAGCCGGGCATCCAGGTGATCAGTAAGCGTGTTTGGGTGCTAGACTATTGCTGATGCGCGGGGTATCACTTACTCACTTTAAGTATTATAGATTGTAGAACTCTATCGAACTGAAGACCCGCTTCAGTTGTCAAATGTTTTCTGACACCTTGCTCCTGTTGAAGATGGGGCTTACATATGTTTTAGATGGCGATGAAATTGAAAGCGATGTTTCACCACTCGAAGGACAGGGAAATATGCAATCTGGAGTTCCTAAACTCGCACACGGAGAGTTGCAACCCGCATTGGTGTGCTTGATATTAACGTTCACTTCTTTCACTTGACACGGCCGTCGCTTTCCACATAAACAATATGGTTTTTATATTGCAATTTTTGTTGACCTGGAACTGGAAGCGATGAGTAACAATTAACCAGTTCGTGGGCGTGTGAACTAGTTCTCAGAGGAACGGTTCGTTCCGCGGTCTGGCAACATGGTATCCAGGATGGATAGTGTTAGACAACTATAGAAATTTTGAAAAGTGAAGTATTCAAATTTTCAAAAAAAAAACGTTAAGTCCTAGAACCGCAACTCGTCCAGGAGCCATAAACAGGGTCTGTCAAGACCATAAAGTCAATTCATTGTTTTATTATTAAAGAAAAAGTTTACAAAATTGTATAAAGAGTTTTGTTTGGTTTTTTTTTGGATTTCACTCTTTGTTTAGGTTTTGGTGTGTTTCTTGTAAATTTTGGTTACTGGGTAGGCAATTATTTGTACATTACACGTAGAATTAGCAATAACTAAGTGGTTTGTATGCCACTAAAATACACTTATGCAGCGACGACTAGCAATTTTTCTTTGGTTCGCCTGTAAGTATCTTTTTTAATACAGACTACTCTTTTGCGGGTTCTTTAAGTACGTAAATTAGCTACAGTTCTTTGGATGGGTTTTGGAACTCTCTGGGTTAATATATATAAAAATAATACAAAAGTTCGTGGCTAGGCATAACATTTCAACTCTCTGCCTCAATTTCGATTCTTTACTCCTTTGTTTAGGGACTAGATTAGGAACAACATTTGTACACTTTTCGTTCCGTATGTTTTCTTAACTGCTCGCTCTAATTAAGTTAAGTCTAAATTTAAGATAAATTTACAAAGTCAAGATATTTTCCTTCTTCTTTTTGGTAGCAGCTCTCAGAAGACCTTAACATTAAGTGTAGTAAATAAAAAAAATGGAAAAATAACTCGCGCATTATGTTTAAACAAATTTAAAGAAACAGTGCGTTTAAATTAGATTAACAAATAATTATTGGGCTCGGAGTGACCCGTCGTAACCTGTTCACCAGGTCATTTGACAAGCAATCTCGATGGCAAGGGTCCTATCTCTGTTTTTGGCACTCAAACTAGGCGTATATAAATATATTAATTAATAGTTTAAAATGGCTGCGTTAATGCATGCAAACTAGACAAAATACTAACACCCCTCCTGCGGATCCTGATTCTGCTGCAGAGCCAGCTGCTTCAGGAGCTGAGAAGTGGCTTTATGGCGCTTGGAGCGCTTCGCTGGCAACGGAATGGAGTGAGGCGGGGAATTAGGCAACGATAGGTCAACCACCACTCCCACATCCTTTACCAAGGCATCCTGTGAGTCATCTGTATCTTCATCATCCTCGTCGTCTAAGTCGATCAGGGTCATATCCGTTATGACGTGGTCCTCGTCATCCGACTGTTCATCTGCTTCCTCCTCAGACCGCTCATCATCTATGTCAACTATCGAAATAATGTCGCTGTCTCCGCCATCGTCGCCTAGAGGAACCTCTAATGCACACCTCCCTTTCACTGTGGACTAGCTGGTGCTGACCTGCGTTTGAAGTAGGTTAGCAGATGCGGAAGATGCACTAGCATCAACCACTGCGGCAGGTGAAAGAAGACTGGCTCCTGGGAAGTGGCACGGACACGAGGGATTGGGCATGTGACCCGCCTGACTCTTTAGCTTGCGAGTCAGAGTTTGCCAATACTCAATTTGAGCATTGATCAGATCGATCTTTCGCTTGCTCTCCTCGATCCTCAGCGAGTTTATCAACTCCTGGTACTGAGTCTTCGATCCACCGTTGGGACACCCCCCTGCCGCATTAGTACCACTAACGCCAAGACCTGCGCCACTACTGTTTGCACTGCTTCCTCCGCTGCCAGATCCAATTCCTACGCTGCTTAAGGTGGCGCAGGTAGCGCCTGCCACGGGCAGTCCGTTGTAGCCATTAAAACTGCCCGCCGCTCCTATAGCAACGCCACCCGTCTTATCCCGCGCTAGGTGGTGATGTGTCGACTGTGCATGCTGGTTGCCATTGAGCAAAAGCTGTACTCCATTGGCGGTTACCGTAGAGTTGTTCGTGCTGCCGGCAGTGTTGTTTCCGCGCTGAAGACGTGGCAAGTGCAAAGTGGGCGGAGTCCGCCGACTGGTAACGGACACAGACGCGGGAGCGGACACATAGGCGGCATTGATGGCAGTCTGCAGGGACTGGGGCGGATTTACAGCGGATAAGCCCAGCCCGTTCAGAAGTGTGTGCTGCTGTACCTGCTCCGCCGTGAGGGGCAGCACTCCACTAATATTGGAACCCCCATTGGTGCCCGAGAGGACAGCTGCAGCGTTTGAGCTTCCGTTCTGCAGCGTTTTGTTGATATTGGCGAAGCTGCCCACTCGTATATGGCCTACCGTCTGAATGGTAATGTCCGGCTTAGGAGCCGATGCGTAGCTCCCGCTAGAGCTCACCGAGGTTTTGGTGGAACAAACGGGCGAACTGGCGGAGCGCTGAACTGGATCTGTGAGCCCATTGTTAGACACATTTCCGGGCAGCGAGGTGGAGGAGACACCATCACCGCCGGCGGTGGCCGAAATACCCACCTGCTGAAGCTGGCGCAAATCTGTGGGAAAAAGCACGTCATCTTCCTCCTCCAGACATACTTCTGGCGCCTTTGGACTAAGGCAGTCGTCATCTTCATCGTCTTCCAGACAGTCCATCCCGTTGTCCGTCTGTTCATTGTCGCTGATCGTCTCCGACTTAATAAGAATCACATCCGTGTCCATGCCTTCGGGATAGAGGTGCATCTGCAATCATTATACACATAGTTTAAGTAAGCTTCATGGGGTTAATAACATAGAAAAAAGTACAAAAGGTGAAATTAGTCAAGTAAGCTACATCAATCGATGTTAGTATTGGGACATGGATTAATAGTTAGTAACACAATTTTATACCATGAACAAAACGTGTTATTAATATATGGTATACGTTAGGTTAGGTTCGACTAAGTTTATGTATTTTAGAGCATAATTTCTGGAGTAGTAGACTCACCTTGGAGTCTTCGTATTCATCCGCATGATGTCCGTTTCCGTGGCCACGCACGCCGCCCTGCTTAGCGCTACCACCACCTGCGCCTTCCGGCGAAAGCTGTTCGGCGATGTACTGAGCCACTGACTCCTGCTGCGATAGAGTATTGAGCAGGTCCATGAACGAGTGGTTGCTCTTGTCCTCACCACAGAGGTCTTTCTTGAGCAGCAACTTCATGTTCTTGTATAGCTGGCGAAGCTGCTTAGCGCTGCGCTGGTGATAGACCCGCGAATTAAAGTCCTTGGCGATCTGGAGCCAGACCTCGTCCTTTTTTCGGTTTGACTCTGCGTCCGTGCGCTTGTTCTCGATCACGTCCTTGTACTGCGCCGCATAGCTCAAAACCATGTTCCGCTCCCGCTGCGTATACCGGGGAGTCTTTTCCATTTTCAGCCGTTTGCAAGACGTCGTGAAGCTGGAAGAGCAATTATAGATTAAACATTATATTTCATTACATAGTTGGCGATTTAAAAATTTTAAAATACTACAAATTGTATTGTGTGTATATTTATTTTAATACGCGTTTGAACTGTGGTATTTACTTTGAGTGTGATGTTCACCATTTTAAAAATGTTAAACCTTTTCGAAATTCGGGAAAGGCGATTTACAAACATGATCGCACCTAGATCACAACAACCGCCATTCCTTAATTAATAAAATAATGAAAACGAAAACAAACGCAACTGCTCTACACTTTGCCGTACACAAACCCACACTCACATGTGGGCGCATTCTGTCAGAGTGATAAGCTCCCGACGCAGCCGAAAAGAGCGGGAAAGAGAGCGCAGTGCGGCGAGAAAATAAAAGCAAACAGATATTTACAAAATTGTGGATATGTTAATAATACCACTTAAACATCAATATAAGTTTAATATTCATGTTGATAATTACATAAGTGAAAATATAAAAAAATGTGAAATTTTTTTTGGGAACCGTTTTTTGTTCTTTTGATTAAAAAATACTCGTTATTGAATTTATAGGTAAAGTGGTACACGTTAGGCAAAGTGCAACTCTCTTTTAATACAAAATCAATCAATTTACTTTTCAAAGGATACGTAATATTAACTTTAATGTCTAGTGTATTTCTCTTTTCTTGTACACCATATGGTGTAAATAAATGATCCTGGATGAAACTCGATCAACGGAAGATAGCCTTTAAAGCTGCTCTTAAGAAGACAAAAGCAAAAGTGGAAGACGCGGCCTAGCAAGCAGACTGCGACATTAACCGATATCTAATCTGAAAATTGGAGATTAGCGTGAAACCCTCCCACACGAAAAACCAACCACAAACACACTCAGACCAGAATGAGAGGGGTACTCACGTTTTGAGGCCACGCCAAAGCCGGCGAGCGGGCGAAGTAAAGTGGGTGGCCAACAGGAGAGAATATGGTGAAAACGAACGAAGCAGCAACACAACTTCGCGAACAGCGGCGACGACGCGCAAAGCTCGACTGAATTTGAATTCGAATTCGGGCACGCTTAAAAGTACCGTTGGAGTGCAGCGACGTCGGCGTTGGGCAAACAAAAATAGGAATAGCAGAAGAACAGAGCTCTGCTCCTCCCCCTTCGTCCACCCTTTTCCCACATAAGCAAAACTGTCTCCAACACACTACAATTAACTCAACTGTTTGCACACACACACAAAGCCCCAGTCGTGTATGTGTGAGACGTAATTAAAGCTTGAAACCGAGTTTACAATAACAATAATACAAAAAGCAACAAAAACTATAACCCCTTCCCCTGCGAAAAGGCGAAGTCAAGGCAAGAGCAAGAAGAGGCTCAGGAACAACGAGTAAGTATATATGTGAGCGAGAGAGAGCAAAAACATTGAAAGTTGGAGTAAAAAAGAAACCCCCAACAATGAGGGAATATTATAAATAAACTTTGCCGCTTTCAAGCTGCAACAAAGTAAGGGTTGAGCTGACGTGAGCGAGACAGCAGATGAAAACCACACATATACATATATGTATGCGTTTGTTTTCACTTGTTCTAATACATAAATGCTTACCATAACCTAAAATGAATGGGGAAGTCCAGTTGCTTGAGATCGATAGACAAATCTAATTCTTATCGATAAAACAAAGCTATCTTTGGATAATCTGAGTATTAAGTCATACAAAAAATATTTATGTTTGGAGTACTTCCCACATACATACATACCGAAACCAAGGTAAAATAAGCTCGGAAATACCAATAGTCTTTTCCATTAAATGTTAAGATGGACTTTTCATATTAAGGATGGTTTATAGAAGGAAAGCGGAATACTACAACTGATCAATGACCCGATAAACAGACGCAGTCTAAGCAATGGAAGCGGCATTGCTAAGCGTCTGCGTCAGTGCGCCTCTGTCGAGTCAAGTTTAAAGATAAGATTTGAGGCAGACTGTCTCTTTATATGAGTATGTATCTGAATCGGTCCCTATGTGTACAAGTGTAGGTTCGGTGGGTTTTGTTTCAGTTCGTATTAGTTTGGTTATCTACGAAATCCGCTGGCAATGAGGCTTCCATTTCAGTGCTGAGCAGTGCAAACAAGCAAGTTTGCTTTTGGGGACCACAATTGTGGGGCAGCACAAGCGTTGCTTAATGCGATACATCACCTCGAGTTATCTACACACACTCTCACAAGCCGAACAACAGGTGAAATTATTTACTGATAAGCCGCTGATAAAAGTGAGCCCAGATAGGAACGGAGAAAAGGGGCAGCCGAGAATCGGAGTGGGAGCGGAGCTTCACCCTCTGCTACTTGGGGCGAAGATGGCTGGCTAACCAGTTTCAAGTTCTAATTGGCTTTGTTTGTCCGCTGATAACACTGCAAACCGCGCACTAGGTGCAACCTGTCTCCTCCCGCGCCTCCTTATCATTAAAAGCCCCTCCTGGACACCCTGGTTCCAAACGCACCTGCGTCCTATGATCGAAGAACCTGTGCCTCTAATGCTATGGGGTGCTATTCTTCTGCTTTTCCTCGTGACCAAGTGATGACTCTGGCCGCGAGGTTTCCTGGTAATCCGCATGTGTTTCTGCTTTCCGGCGGGGTGAGGGGTACGCATTTTCCCCGAGCGTTGTCAACCGCAGCGCTTGAGTTGACAACTTTTACTACTTCTGGCAGAGCAGCGGAATCGGTCAGCACTCAGCGACTCAACGGGTGTAATGTTCCCTCTATGTTTTTACTATATGTGTGTGTGAGCGTAGCAAAAGCGCTTGGAAATGCTGGCCAGCGTTGTGCAATCTGCAATCTCCAGATTCGAGCGACAAAAACGAAGGCAGAGTGCCACGACAAGCTAAGACCCACGATCGGAGTCTACATCAGATTAAAGATCCCAATCGTCTCCAGGTAAACGCTAAATTTTATAGCACTTTATAATCCACGAAACTTGGGCAACTTAACAGTATTATTCCAAAAGTTAGATCTATACCCCACACTTACCTGGATTTATAGCCCGCTCAAATTTAAAATTTATTTCCTTCGTAGCCGCTGATCCTCGGCCCTCCCTCCTTTATCTTTTTTCCTTTCTCCTATGTTTTTTCCCTTTGCTTCTCTATTATGGATTTCTTAAAGCTGAATTTTTGCGATTGAAAAAAACGCACGGCTTGCTGTTTTTGCCTTCGGTTCACGAGACGTATGCGCAATATTTTCAACTAGTTGTCCAACGTCGCTGACCGCCAGCTGTCTATATCCCGCTCGCTCCCGACCCGTCTCTATCCCTCTCTCCGCTCTCTCTCGAAGACTAGAAGAATCGAAGACGTTGCCTTTGGTTTTCGGTTTGCGGCTCTTTGTTTTTGATATCGTTTATAGCTAAACGTTCGTTCTGTTTTCACTGCTCACAGTTGTTGTTTTAAACCTTGGACTAAAATTAAAAATACATAGAGAAGTGAATTTGTTAATACGAAATTACGCCAAAACGTAAACATCAGCGTAAGGAAAGCGGCGGGGAAAAGTGCTAACACATTCGGGTACACACACCAAAAAGAAATACAAGTAGTTTTCTAGACTTGAGTTTTGCCTGGCAATCATGATCGCACGAGTTCAGCCGTTCTATTTAGCCAGATCAGAGAAGAAAATGAGAGGGATAGGAAAACCCCTGGTTAGGTCTCTTTGAAACCGTAGTGAAACTAATATCTAATCTAGCTGTATTGCCACCAGCCACTATCTTATCGCCTTAAGGTGGGCTTGCGGCTCCACGAGAACTTGGAAGTCTTGGGTCTTGGGTGACTCACTAAACATCGCGAGCCAACGACTACCCACCTGATCCCTTAGAGCGATAGGCTAAAGCTAATAATGGTCCTGTGTTTATAGGTCAAATAATAGTAAAATATAATGTTGTATTTTTGTTGCTCCCCCAGGATTAATATTAACTGAAAAATGAAAAATGAAACAATCAATATTTATTTCCAAAGATCATCAGAAAGATTTCTCGATCGTTATCGTTTTCATGTCGATACAATAAACAACTTTATTTTCCTACCTACTAAATATATATTTGAGGACATATAGAAGATCTGTTAAACCTTAAACTGATGGTAACGAAATTCAAAAAAACAAGAAAACTAATAGTTTAAATCTAACACATCCTAGGATAAACAAGTCCGAGGTAATAAGGTACTTAGGATCTAAAAAAACAAAGCCACCTTTGAGGAATCTTTGATCTCCTATCCAAAGATGCAACACTATTGAAAATCTCTGACAATGAGAGACGCAGTTATACGCTTTGTATATAGACATTTATAGCTTTGGGGATATATGCTTATGACGAATCAAGAATTCGAGGGATGAAAAAGACGCAAATCTGTGCTCGATACAATTGCAAACAAACAACAGCGAAAACTGAAGAAAAGCAGAGGCATTCGGAGCTGGCCCTGTTCGTATGCTTCTCTTCGCTTCCGCTAGCCCACACGCTTTGGTATGAGAAACACACCACCCCCTAATGCCCCCTGGTACTCCCTATCGAAATCAACGCGAAACGAAAAACAAAAGTGGAAATCAAAGTGCAGAGGCGAGAGCGTGCCTTACCCGATACCCGTTCCCGGATAACCGCAGCCAACCGCTTACCGTTCCGAACTGGCCCGATTCGGGATTCGAATGCTCTGCTCTGATGTTGCTCTGTTATTTGGCCGCACTCAAAGAGCAGCCGCCGCAGTCTAATTTGATACTGAAAGCGAATTCGGAATTCAGCCACAGAGTACCGAGACTCTAGAGGTCCGAGCAGCCGGAGCAGCCGTCGCAGCCTGTTGGCCGCGTCTCCGAAGGTGCACGCCCCCCCGTTCCCTCTATTAGCCAGGCACCTTCCCCCATGTTTCTGTCTATTGGGGTCGAGCTGATCACATCGAAAAGCGCCATGAGGGGTTGGCAAATTTCCAACCGAAAGTTCTGCTCTGTCGCCGCGAATCTGTGCCCGCTTCCGTCTACAAGTATCTGTATCTGTGGCTGCGTGTCTGCCCAAGAGAAAGAAAAAGAGCGGAGCTTCAGCAAAAAGATTTCACATTGCGCATAGCCACTGCAAGATGCAAGTAAAAAGCAGCGCTAGCAAATCCCTAGACCATTGGGAAAATCATAGAAAATCTAGCCTGAAATGGTTTTGCCTACCTTTTAGAGTGGTGAATGGTATACTAATTTTAAGACGATTAATTTTTAAAATACCATCCAAACACAAGTTTATATAACAAAAATTATCGCTTGATTTAAATTTGGAAAATATAGGTTAATACTGTGAGGACTTTTCAAAGCCTTGTACTAAAGAAAAGAATTCGACTTCAACAAGCCTGATATTATTATAAGACATTTTTAAATTCTTTTTGATGTTCGTTCTTTTTCAAGGCATAATTTAAAAAGTCCTTTTAACTTTTCTTTGAACAGTTCTCTACCAAATATTTCCCTTATAAAATAATTTTAATGCTAGCTTATTCCTTATAGCGATTACAACGGAATTTCTGGTTAAACAATAAAGAAAGTCTAGGAGCATATACACATTTGGTAAACACAGAAAAAAAGTATAGGGATACAAACTATCATCTTTAAGGAACTTTTACCTTAGATTCCGTACCCGTGCAGTTTCTGGTTAATTCAATCCGACCTGTTTTGATCTTGTTTAATCGCTCGAGTACGCAACTGTACTTGGCATCTCGCAACTTGGCAGTTGAAAAGTATTTTCGACTTTAAAAATAGCTGCCCAAAGTCTCACCGAGGGAGAAGAAGAAAGACATGAGGCGGAGGTAACGAGAGTCGAGAGAGGGATCGGTTTGGATCGCATTGGTTTGGTTTTTGGCTAGAAGCTGTGGGCGGAACGGGCGGTGGGAGCAATATTCGGGCTGCAGATGCCTGCGTATACAAATAGCCGCTGTTTAAGCTCTCTCGTCGATGATGAAAATTAATGAGTCCGTACAAAAAACCATATTCCATTTTCGATTTTCCGTTTCGGCTTTTCCCCATTTTCTCAGGCCTCGTGTGTCGGAAGGCTTTTTGTGCGTTCACATTTGGAAACTCGAAACTAATGAGGTCGGCTACGTAGGCTCCCCGTCTCTTGATTTTCCCCGTACAGACTCCTTTGAGTTTTGGGGCCCTCTCTCCCTCTCTTTTTCGTGGCCCGACATAGCCAAACCATACTTAAGCTGGTCAACATATTCGTTATGGGAAAACTGGAAAGCAACATATATTTCTTAAAAATATTGTAAAACAGTATTTATAATATTTTTAAATTGTGACGAAATAAAGCCAATAAAGAGCAAAAAAAAATATTTTAATAAGATGCAAACCAAAATAAACTCCTACATACATGTATGTGTATCACATACATTGTTTCTAGAATTGAACATATATTCCCTTTATGTGTCTGATACTGGCCGTTGCCAGTATTGATACATAAGACTTATTCTTCAATGGCCCAGGCCCAAAGAGATCGACATGGGCCGGTCTTTGGAGGCGAATTCGTTGCGTTGGTTTTCCATGGCAGCCGTTTTCCTCACCTCTGCCGCCTGACGTTACGATATGAGTTCAAATTTATTTTTGGCAGCAATGCCAGAGCACTGCCCCCGCCCCTTTTCCCACTTTTTCAGTTTTTCCGGGGCTCAAGGGGCCGTGAGAAGAGAAGGAGTGGGTACCGGGATCGGGATCGGAATTGGAACTAGAGGCCCGATCGCTTTGCCCTGCTCTATGTCTCTGTTTGTGTTGCTTTATCTAATTTTATGGCGTGAGTTCGTGCCTACGTTTAATATAGGCTTCCGCCCCTCTCCTGCATTGTTTGTGTAATCCATTTAAAGGTAATTGAACTTCCCGTTCCACCTTTTGCAGACATCCCAACAAACTAAGCCGATGTCCAAGACGGAGCTCTATATATAGCTGGATCAGAAATAAAAGAGTGCAGGCTTTGTGGCCGATGGCATGGCATGGGGCTGGAAATGGAAATCGGGAAAACGAAGCCAGCAGTAAAAATAACAGAGGGTACTGGGCGGAAAAAAAAACCTGCTTAGGACGAGCCCAAATTTAGATTCGAAGGGAGCTATTTTGAGTGCTACAATAGCGATCTGGGTTCAAATCACATCGGATCAGTGATCGCAATCGGAAGTTGCAGAATTCGTTGTGCAACAGATTCGGATAAATCAGACGTTTGATGGGCGCCGGAATCATTACCAAGACAGTCCTCAATCCCTGAAAATTGAGGCTTAAGATCAAATTTTCCTCCTATTTTGTACTTCCTAATATGGCCATCGATAACAGATAATCGTTGGCAAGTCGAGGACAAAACAAAAAGCAATAACACGCGCTCCTAAATTTCAACAAAAACAACAAATGCAAGACTTTTCTGTAAGCACGAATCAAAAAAGAGCTTTTGTCTAGGAATAAAGCTTTGGTCTAAGTATGTGTGCGGTGAAAGCGTGTGTTGATGTCATAAATCGCACGTAAAAAGGACGGGACACGAGACAAACAGCTGTGCCCGTGTCCTCCAAAAAACCGAGAAAACGAAATCCTAAAACTGAAACACGTTTTAGCCCTGGGAGGGTGTCACACAAACCCAACAACAAGACCGCGTTTGAGATTTTTCTATTGGAAATTTCAAGCGCGCTCCTGGGGTGGAAAACGCACACTCATACACATATCGCTCACACACACATAGACAGAGCTTGAAACTTCAACTTTAATCCTAAGTAGAGCTATTTAATGTTAAAATTAATTTTAAAAGCTACATTTACTTACGGCTACTCCTGCTTCCTCTTCCTCAGCTGAAGTGCAACAATTTCTGCTTTTCGTGATGTTTCTTTTTTAGCTTATGCAGCACTTTTTCCCGCACACATATGCTCTGAGCTCGACTTTCAACTTATGGCCTTGTGTGGGGTGCAGTTGCAGGACACTACCGCTCTTTGTAACCATAACCAAAAAAAAAAGCAGAAAAAAAGAAGTAGTACCCCGCACCGTCGAAAAAAATATAATAACAGCAAGACAAACAACAAATGCAACAATACTCTGCTGTCAGCGGCAGCGCGGGCGAAACGGGCGAAGACGCGACGTCAAATGCCAGATTTTGTTGTTGCGAGCAGCTAAATTCCTGTGGCAATGAGAAAGAGAAAAAGAGGAAGGGGTGAGGAGGGCGCCAAATTTAAAACGGTAAACAAAAATGGAAGACTGAAAAGCTAATTTTTCTGAAGTCGTAATAAAACATGTATTTTTTCAAAGTTATGACATAACTACATGAAACATGCACACGAACAAATGCTTAGAATAACATATATTAAAATATTAAAACTTTAATTTTTTACGTACCTTAGTTAAATGCAAAACTATGAAATCACATTTTACTTATGTATACAGCAACTCCTAGCTAAAATAAAAGAACTTATCCATATTTCAGGAATGGTTTATACATGTTTTTTGCCTCATTTTTTTCTGTTTTTCTGTTTTAGCTAGTTTTACTTCAGTGTTATTTAGAGCTAAGTGGCAACGCCAAGCAGTATCAGTGTTGTACAGTATTTATACACAGTTTATAAACAAACATTGAACGCATTCAGTACACACGAAAGAGACAAGTTAAACGCCCATCTCAACAATAAAATATTTACCATAATCCCCTTATTCTGCATCTAGCCCCGTACTAAATTCCAATCCGAAATGTTAAAGATCGCCGCCGACGGAATCGGACACCGTCTGGCCTGTTGCGTCATGGGCGCAACTAGTGCACATACCACTTGCCAAAGGATTGCACCGCAGGCCGCAAAACTCACCCAAAAGTACCTATCACAATCGCAACACCTCCTTAAAAAGTTGGTTATCAAGGATCATTACGAGTTTGATCAAAAGGTGAGTCAGAAATAAGCGATGGGAATGGGGCGGAATACATGACCTTGCTACGCTGACGTACGTGACTGTGTTTCTGAAGAAAACAGAAGGAGGAGGAATCCACCTAATGACACACCTGCCCATGGACCCGTGTAAACATACATGGATGTGCGCACACTCGCCCCTTTGTATGTGTAAGGCCTTTGGGTCGTGTATGCAAATAAGCCGCATACATTGGATACTGGTTTGAACTATATAGAAGATATCGATTAAGTAAGCTATACAAAATCTGACTGCCCTATTTTTGTGATCAAAAATACATTACCAATCAAATATAATACGTAGCTCAGGAGCTTTCTCTAAATGATTTGAAAAGTAGATATAGTTATCGGAAATAAAATGTTATGGTATAGTAAATAAGCAATACAATTAAGGTACGAATTTAATTATCATGCCAAGAATTAGTTATGACGTTATACACATATTTACCATTTTATTTCTACATCATTATGCCCATAACAAAACTCGACTAGCATAGATGTATGACGTTAACTATACGATAGGAAATACTAAAACTTTGGACAAATTCAGATTTTCATATTTTCCTTATCTTATCTTATTGTTTCTGATCATCCTAATCTTTTTAACTCCGCAGGTGATCAACAGCGACAACCCAGTGATTGTGAACTTCCACGCCGAATGGTGCGATCCTTGCAAAATACTTACGCCCAAGATGCTGGAGCTGCTAGAGAACTCGAACGAGATCGACCTGGCTGTCATCGATGTGGAAACGAACCTGGATCTTGTAGAGACTTTCGAGGTAAAGGCCGTGCCCGCAGTGTTGGCCTTCAGGAACGGCGTCGTGGTTGACAAGTTCATTGGCCTTGTGGACGCCAACAGTATCGAAACGCTGATCGACAAACTGAAGCGCAAACAGCGAAAGGCATGAAGGATACACGGATTTGATCGGGGAGGTCATGATTTTACACACGAAACGGGAGACTGTAACTGCGATATATTTCTCCATGCCGAGGCAGAAATTGCAATCATCGATGCTTAAAAAATGTGCACAAAACACTTAAATATGCAATAAAACTATTAGTAACTATGGCTATTTTTAACCCGTACTTTAATTTGATTTGTTTATGAAAGGTCTTGGTATCGATTTAGAATATTAATGGATCGCTTTATTTTTTGGTTTACATAGATACATAAAACTCACTCGCCCAAATCTGGTTGTAATATAACAAAATCCCCAGACGAGGTTCATATTATAGAAATACAAGTACACATACGGTTTCGGGTAAAATAATAACTCAACATATATATATAAACAGAAATCGAAATATAAACAGAACATAAGCAGACCGACCCGCCGACCGCGCGGCGAAGTGCGGGGCGGAACCTACAAACTTATACTAACCGGAAGCGGAAGGATACGGCAAAACGGGTTACGGTAGCAAAGCGGTAACAGCTGGCGGTCGTCCGAATTTAAACTCTATTTAGATTACACAGCCACACAAAGGGAAGCTGATGTCAGAGTATAAAAGTTTGTTGGTCGATCCTATTTCAGTTAAGGTGGTTAAGGTAGGCTTGCAATAGCATAATTTTAAAGAAATTTAAGTTCTACTTTCCGAGCGGCCACAGGATGCTAACTTATTGTTCATGCAACAGTTGCATCTATTAAAAAAAGCATACTCGGATATTACATCGATATTGAAAAACATGTTTCAATTTCGATTCCGACTGAAATCAATAGTGGTTGTTTCGATTTTAATAACTTTAGTCCGAACTCCATGCCTATGTAGCTTTCCTCTGTGAGACTGTGTTTTCTGAGTAATGGGTAATCCTCAGGGTGGACCGAGGACAGATCACCATCTGAGAAGATCCCATCGAATCCGCTGCGACCAACGGCGGTCACTTCTTTATCAGCGCGCGAGCTGGATAATTAAGGCCGCGCACATCTCGAAGAACTCCATGGTGTGATGCCCGGTTGGCTGAAGCGGCATTACCCCTGATACGCTAAGTGGCGGTGGGGTAAGACTCTCCATTATGACGTCGTCACCCTGCTCAACCTCGTCGTTAGTCAGCGACTTGAAATCGAGCAGATAGCTCTTCGCGTCTACCTGGTAGAGCTGTAGCGACATCTTCGAGAACTTGCCCGTCTTCACATTCTGTCGCCGCACACGGACGTGGTACGGATTGATAATTTTCCACTCGTAGCTAAGGGCCTTCATTGCCCGGTACACCTCCAGCATTATGTCGTTCGGCTTGCTCTGTGACCTGATGCCTAAATGCCATTTGGCGCGCTTGATGGGTGTACCTCCTCGTGCTGTTTTCTCCGGGAATGCTCCGCCACCTGATGTCTGAACGGACATGGCCAACTGACGGTCCCGCATTGGCGCAATCCGCTCTGGATGAGGTCGAATGGTGTTACTAGGCGTGCCGCCAGAACAGAGAGGAACGGGCGTAGCCGTCCCCGAGCTGGCAGCAGTGCCTCCGCCTACTGTAACGGTAGCCAGAGGGGCCTGGTGGTCCATCGTCGACTGCGGGACTGGCAGGGGAGGCGGTGGTGGAGGCGAACCGGCCACAAAGAAATTGTTAATCTCGTTTATTTGATTAGCCGCATCATCGGCAAAGCGCTTGTTGTCGATAATTAGATGGTAGGCGATAGCTAACTGGTCATGCGGATCCCCACTGAGCAGCGAATTGTGCACTTCGGTCTCTTTGACGCCGAACTTGGTGCACACCTCGGCCACCGCATAAGTGTCGATCACATTGGAGTCCTGCTCTATCGACGAGGGGAAAAGATAAGCCGGAAGGTCCTTCTGGAACCACTCGTGCTTTTTAATCTCCTCAATGTTGGCCCGTTTGAGCGGGTCCACCTGTAGCATCTGGCACACGAGGTTCACCACCTGTTTGTTAAGGTACTCGGGTATCGGAAAGATGCCCGACTTGATCTTGCGAAACAGAGTGGGTACATGCTCATCGTCGAAGGGCAGCGTCCCGCACAGCAGGGCATAAAGGATAACGCCACACGACCAGATGTCCACCTCGGGTCCTGCGTAAAGCTTACCGGAGATCACCTCGGGAGCCGCGTAGTTAGGAGATCCACAGGAGGTGCGCAAAAACTCTCCATCAAGCATCATGTTCGAGAGCCCGAAGTCGGCGATCTTCACGTGCATGTTGTGGTCAAGCAGCAGGTTCTCGGGTTTTAAGTCCCGGTGCACGATCATATGCCGATGACAGTAGTCCACACCAGAGATAATTTGCTGGAAGAAGCGACGAGCCTGGTGCTCCTGAAGCTTGCCATGCTTTACGATGTAGTCGAATAGCTCGCCACCGCTTACGTATTCCATTATCATAAAGATGTCCGAAGGCGTGGATATGACCTTTGAAGAGTTACAGAATAAGTTATATTCTCAGTGGATTGTACAAAAACATACCAGCGTGGTAACAGCATACCAGCATACTAGCGCTAAAAAAAATAGCTTCGACTTCTAATTTCATAATAAAACTTCTACTCAGGTTCGTCCTTGAAACTTAATCCCTACCTTCATCGTGGTACCAGCATACCAGCGTTAAGGAAATATCTTCGGCTTCTAATTACACAATAAAACTTCTATATCATGTTCGTCCTTCAAAGTTATTCCCTACCTCCCTACTCCCCTACCCCAAAAAGAAGCCAATTTTCCTTATTTTGTTTATTTATATCATGTTTATTGTCTTAAGCTCGCCAGTGGCACACCATTGCCCCAGTTTCTTGGGTAACGTCAGAGAGGCTCTATTGTTTTTGTCTTCGGTTACTAATAGTGTTTTTTGTTTACAGTCGGTTTTGTGGCTGCCTGACCCAAATAAACACCCTTTCCGCTTAAAACGATGTACTCACCTGGTACAACTTGATTATGTGAGGATGGCGAAAAAGCTTCAGATTCTGGATCTCACGCCGGATCTTGCCCACGACGTCCAGGCTTTTAATCTTCTGCCGGTTGAGTATCTTCACGGCCACCTTAACACGGGTGATTTGGTGCTCGCCGATCTTAACCTTGCCGAAAGTTCCGGTGCCCAGTGTAGCGCCTAGTTGATAGTGCCCGATCTTAACCAGCGGCTGTCCATTGGTGCTGCCGCCGGCCACCGCCTCAGCGGCCGCTGCCCTCATCTGGGGCATCTCCACCTGGAAGCTCCGCTGGACTTTTGAGTGTTTTTCGCTGCAGGGAGGGGAGAAGGTCATTAACGTTTATTGCGTAGTGTAGTCTACTGAATAAACAGAACGAAACACACGTTACGTTTTTCGTTCCTGCTGTGCCACCTCTTCCGTATGCGTATTTGCTAAAGAAGCAGTATTATTCTTACTGATTTCCTGGTTTTATATTCGTCCGCGGCAACGAGCCTTTCCTTTCCGAATCGCTTTTCTTCGCGTTTTGCTTATTTAATTGTTGGAAGGCGATGAGGCTTCCAATAGTCGTTCCAGCAGCTAATTTACAATCTCTCTTTCTTGTTTTCCAATGTTTATCGATAGTTGACAGACAGGGTTGCCAGGTGCTATGAAAAACGAGCGCGCAGTTCAAAATGTGCATTGCACTTTGGCTAAAATTAAAAAACTCTTTATATCGCTCAAAATGTTTGATATGATTGAAATATGCATTGGCCAACTTGCCTATTTCATAACTGTTAAATCTGCAATAAAAGGAGAAACATGACCAAATTGCGATAAAAACACATATTTATTAAACCAACTTCGATTTGGCTGGACATTGATTATACATACATAAAATCACCGAGCAAGTTTTACTATATACATCAACCACTCTACGCTCATTAAAGTACTAGCAGGTTGTCTCTGTTTATGTGTTTAGTGTACATTAAACATCCAAATATCTATAAAGTTGGGCTAAAAATTGCCAAGGTTTTGTCCTAAAATTCAGCTTGTTCACAAATATGTTTAACATATAATAATTTGTATTTTTTTAATGTTTCCACAGCTTTTTGATTTCACCTGTCGAATAGGCCCGCTTAAGGACTAGTAAGTAAAATTTGTGTAAACACGTATCAATACAATTTAGCTAGTCGATGATACTAACATTTTGATGGTTTATCCTAACTTCAAACATATCAACTGTAAGCTCCGTTCCGCACTTTTATATGTGCTCTCTCGCTCTATTTCGTTTACGCTGTCATCATGAATTTAAGAATTCGATTTCTTTGTTTATTATCAGTTAACTTTAGAATTTAAAGTTTAAATACATGTATTTTAGATTTTTATCGCTTGTTAAGTTTAGTCTGAAAAAAAGGTTAGCTTAACTATGATAATGCTACGAGACTAGGTTTTACGTTTAGAGATTATAAATATAAAAAAAAAAAGGGGCTTCTGGGCCCCACGGGTATGCTGGTTGTAAAATTTCAAGTTTATTTCATATTCAGCGATCTTTCTTGTCGAGTTTTGGTTGGAGGTTTACGGCAAATTGAGTGTTTATACATTCATATATATTATCTAATATATGCTTGTTGGTTTAGTGTAGTGTTCCGCGTTTGTATCGTTGGTTATACAGCAATAATTTATTTATTTCGTTGCAAAGAGCATGTGCCTCGAACGAACCCTTACTTTTATTGTAGTTTTCTTAAAACTCTACAAGTTATCTATTCAAAACAAGCCGTCATCTGTCCTCTAAAAGTGTTGCACTATTCGGACATAAATTACGACGAACTCTAGATCTAGGTGTAAGTTAAGTGTTCGTTCTTCTGTCGGTTTGAATTACTGCCCTCTTGGATTTGGGGTTTTTGTATGCTTCTCATACAAATTAATTGGAATTGTTTCTTACTTGCGCATCGTAGTTCATATAATTTATCTTTATCGCAAAATCATCAAATTATTAAAGATTCGACTCCGACCGTCTTTATGTGTGTGGTTGGGGATTGTGTGGGCTTGTGTACTTTGGAACATTATTTCTTACATGTTATTACACGTTATGCATCAACTTTTCTCAGCAAATCTGTGATAGTGTTCATTCGGTTCTGCTTATACCTGCCGTATATAGTTTGGAGGCAATCATGCTATTATTTTACATTGGTTTTCCGTTTTTGTTGTCCTATTTTTTTCAGATTTCTCATATTTGTTTATATTTGTAGCTGTCATGGCCTGCCGCAACCGTTAATTTCGCCACGTTCATCCGTTCATGCTGTCTCCATGAGCCATGCACTGCTTATTTGGGTCATTTTAGAGTCGTTTCTTTTCTGATCTGGCATAGTAGGCTCATGAGAGCCTGTTTTAAATTGTTCCTATGTCGTTGATCGTCAGGCCAGGTCCTTCCTTATGGAAGGCAACCACCACTCATTTTCACTTTAAAACTGACTTCGTTTGTGTCGTTACAGAGAGAGAAAAGGTAACTGAATTGAGGGGATAAAGTTAAGCGGAAAAAGGCTATGGACCTTCAGGAAGTGTTGTCGAACACTGCTTTAGGAAACGGGAAAGGACTCGGCCAACATATTTGGATAGGCCGACAAAAAGAAATAGAAGGTAGAGCAGCACTAGGTAGTCCGAGATGGCTCATGATATATTACTGAATATGGGGTGTCCTGCGTGTGGTGGTTCTTACTGAACTGCCGCAGTTGCTCTTGCTGATTTTATTGGTGCAAAGACAATTGCCATTGACTATACGATGCGGCTGGCTGGCATATCGGCTTCAAATCCGCAATGGCAGCATGAACACTTCACCTGTGAGATTGCAGCTAATATCGTGTAAAGAAATTAATGGCGTTTAAATAAATTTCTGGGCATGGTTATACGGATGCGGTTTTTGAGATCGTGTCGTTCTATTAGATCTACCTCTGTGCGCCATATGGTGAAAGCCACCACCGCCTCCACCGCCGCCAGCACCATTACCGGTGCCACCTCCGTGGATGGGCATGCCCATGCTCATGCCCATTCCCATGTTCACGCCCATGCCCATGTTCATGTTCATTGAATGCATTTGCTGCAAGTGGTGCGGATGGGGACCACCCATGTTGTGGTGGTTGTTGTTGTTATGATGACTGTTATTGTGGTGATTGTTGTTATGGTTATTGGGATGGTGGTGTTGCATATGGTGCAATGGCGGATGGTGGTGCGGATGTTGGTGTGGATGCTGTTGCTGGTGATGATGTAGTTGCATATGCGGATTATGGTGGTTGTTGTGATGGTGATTGTTGTGGTGATGCGGCGGTTGCATTGGTCCACCGGGACCCATGTGCGGTGGGCCACCAACTCCACCACCGTTGCCCCCACCGATCTGCGACATAAACTGCGCCGCCTTGGCCTTGCCGTGTTCCTCTGCAAGACGTACCCAGATTGGCTGGGATCCGCCCTCTGGCACTGTGTTGTTCAAGGCCTTGATCGCCTCTTGGGCTTCCTCTCGCTTGTTGTAACTGCAAATGAGAAAGTGCTGGTTTTAAAACAGGAAAACATTCGGGTAAGCTAAATTAATTGATTTATCTTATGACGGACATTTATAAGGTCTAAAGGTTTTAAGCACATATTAAAATTGTAAACGCTAACACTTTTCTAAAGCAGCTTGACAGTGTGCTAAAGAATGTAAATTTTATTTTTATAAAAAGAAATCTTACAAAATTTTTAGCGCAAAAACATTACTACACAATTAGATTTTAGTTTGAGTTCTAATATAGTTCTAAAATAAAATAAATATTGATCAACGTTGACTTCGATATTCATACTTTTTAGGCATTAAGCCTATATTGTTAATATAAACAAATAATTATATTCAATTAAAATATCCGGCTGCTAGATGCGAATAGGAAACTTTGATTATATTCGCGTACTTACCGAACAAAAGCGACGCCGCGCGGCCTCCCGGTAAGCTTGTCCCTCAAGATATTGCGCTGCACAATCAGGCCGAATGGAGAAAATATCCGGTCGAGCATGTCGTCATTGATATTGCGCGATAAGTTGATCACGTACAGATTGGTATCCTTTATAGATTGGCCACCAGGTCGGGCATAAGAAACCTATAGGTATAAAAATGAAAAGTGTGACAAGGAGATCCGAGTGGAAATATAAACGAACCTTTAATCGCTTGTTGCGCACATAGAAGCCGTTTAGCTTTTGGATAGCGTCCTCCGAGTCCATCTCTGTTTTGTAATCCACGAAGCCGTAGCCGAAGCTATATCCCGTCTATTCCATTTGCAGGCATATAAAGGAGAAAGGATGAAATCAGTTTGTGTGTATGCAACGTGCGACAGGGATGGCACCTGTGACGTGCAGCTCATCAGGTTTCCTAGGCCACCCACCAACTGTCAAAACGACAATCGAGCTTACCTTGAAGTCACGCATTATCTTGCATGTGTTAATGGGCCCGCAGCCGCTAAATAGGTTGTATAGCTCGCGGTCGGTCATATCCTGCGGCAAGTAGTTAATGATCAGGTTTGTTGCGCTGGTGCGGTCGATTTGCTGTTGCTGTTGCAGCTGCCCGGAGCCGTTGTTGACCTCGTTACCTTGACTGTTGTTCTCCTCCTCATCTCCAGACTGTTCTTGGACGTCACCATCATTATCCCCATCCCTATCCTCTTGCTGCATATTGCCGTTGCTATCTTCGTCCTCATCGGTGCCTTCATCATGGCCGACGTTGTTTGCGGACTCCTGCACCGGAGGAAAACGAAAAACACATGAAAATGGGTTTGTTTGATGTCCGAAAACGGACCTCTATGTCGGAAGACTGCTCATCGTCGTGCTCCTGGCCCTGCATCTTCTCCGAATTGGACATGTCCTTCAATTTCAAGCTTTGATTGCTCTTGTTTATTGCGCTTTTGCGCCGCAGCTTGTGCCAAAAGCTGCAAGGATATAAAGAGAGAACAAATCAATTTACTGGCAGCTAGAGGAGTCCGATTTGCCTTCAGAGTTGAAGTCTTTGCGAGCGGACGTCCTAGTTGCGCGACTGCAGGATGCGGATTGAGCGTAGCTCTGAAATCGGGACTCCAGAATTGCAGCACCTATCGGAAAAATGAAAATCCGAATATGTGTGTGTACATCTCAGCAGCCGAGCAAACGAGGAGCGAGTGAGACAGCGAAAGATTGCTCGGAAGACGTATTTGGTAGCCCCAAATCCCTCGGACACGGCTTACTTGCCGGGTTTTTGGAGATCCGGACCGGGGAAAACAAAGGGTAAGCCAAGCCCTCTCCACAATAACAAACAAATTAAGTTGGAAAAACAATATACAAAACGAAGTGCACTAACACTCGCGCTCATGTAGACAGTAATGCGTCTGTGTTAGTGAGCTTGGGACACCATGCAGGCGCTAAAAAGCAACACGGAAAATGTGTCGTACTCATTTCAAACCATCGACGGACAGCGAAAACGACCGGGGAGAACTTCGGACGCATAATACTCACTTTTCAGAAAACGGCTTTACTAAGTACAACGAAAAACAACAGTTTTTGTGCAGTTTTCCTGGCGAAACGTTAATGCGGCAGAGGTGGAGAATCAGCGATGAGCCAGCCGATGCGATAATTTATCTTCGCTGCAAACTATCGATAGTTTACTGTAACAACCGATGTTCGGTAGATCCGTCCAAATACACTTCGAAAAAAAAATATGAGATAACTATGGGAAATAATGTAATGTGTTTTTTGATTCTACATATCAATTTAATTCAATTTTAAGCTTTGATTGCTTTTGTTTTTCTTGCTGCAAGTATGGAAAGCGACTAAATCAATTAACTGGCAACCGATAAGTCAGATTCGCATTTAGAGTTGAAATCTTTGCCCATGTTGCCCGGCGGCAGGAAGCGGATTGAGCCAAGCTCTGGAATCTGGAAAACTGCTTTCCTTAGTACGGAAAATAACGGTTTTTGTGCATTTTTCCTGTCGCGGCGATAATGGCGCAGAGCTGGAGAATCAGTGATGAGCCTGTCGGTGCTCGCAGCGACTATTGATGTTCGGCAAGCCCAGTAAAATAAATACACTGATAAAAATTGTGAGATAATATTTAGAATAGGTTTGTTCTATTTTCTACCAAATATTGCTCCCACTTTTTATGTGTAAAAATAAGTGGTTTTTACCAACATTTAAGCTTTATTCCAGGAAAAAATATATTTTACTTTATAAAACATTAGTATTATTTTGAATCGGAATAAGACATTATTTAGCGGTCATCCCTTTAGGTTTGAGTTTAAAACGAAATAAGATGATAAGGAATATATTTACAAGTAGGATAATAAAATACCCATTAATTTTTATTCTAAATTCTAGTAGAACGCTTTATTAATACAAGAAAATTAACATAAAGGTCAACGAAAATCCTATATCCAAATCCTACTCGTGTTGCGAGTAGTGCTCCAAGTGATGCACCGGCTCCTCATAGTGTCCGTGCTCGTGGACATGTGACTCACTATGGTTCTCCAGCACCAGCCCGTGGTTATGGTTGTGCTCGCTCTTCGGATGCAGGATCTTCAGCTTCTGCTTGGTACCACCAATTTCGATGGGTTTTTTTACCAAGTGTTGGTCCTCCTTCTTGATGTATACGGGCACTGCGTGGTAGTGATGGAACTTCACGCTCTGGTGTGATGTGGCGTGCTTGTGATCTACTTCATGGTGCAGCTCCGTCTCCTCGTGCTCTGGCTCGTACTTGACATGGTGCTCCGGCTCGTGGTGTTCATACTCCGCGTGACCCTGGTGGTAGTCGTGAATCTTTAAAGCTCTACTCACGGACAAAAGGGCCAAGCAAGGAAGCTACAAGAAAATAATAATAATGAAGTTGTGTTTTAGTCAACAATTAAATGATCAATATTTGTTCATGATCAATATTTGTTGAATTTTCGTGTAATACTTGTTAAAAAAAAATATATTTAATTTATATGTCCCACTTAAGAATATGCTTTTTTGGATCTTCAAAAATGAAGAATCTTTTACACAATAAAAAAATATACGTTCCCAATATAACTAATGTTTACTAGGTGTTTTCATGATGTGCTTAAATTCCAACTCTTACAATAAATTTCAGCATGGTTTTCTGGATATTTTTGTATCACACACAAAATCACAATCAAAAAATATTCGGTAAACCGTTACGCGAAGTGCTTTCCTTGGCAGTGGCAGACTGAATGTTGCTCTGCGTTCGGGACCAGATTCGATTTATACCCGGCTCAAGCCAAAACTTGCCAACCTGTGGCAAGTGGAATGTGAAACGTGCAACAGCAAAAGAAACACAACGGCAACGAACTTGAGTCTGTTGTTGTAATTTATGACCGATGCTTGCCACAATTGTTTGGAAAAGTCGAAAAAATAGGTGCGTGTGATAGTGGTTCAATTAAAGCGGATTACGTATACGGCATGTGGACTTTGCGTTGACTGTGGCCAGTTTCCTGCGCAGGAGGAACCGAAACCAGTTTCAAATCAACGGGTTAATAACCACCCAACTAGAAAACCAGTCCTGGCTCAATGATGCTATACCAGTGCAAAAATAGATAAAAACAAAAGAAAAGGCCATTTTAATCAATGTCATCAAGATGTTGTTACCTAAAAAATAAACAAAAGTTGAGCATCCAAAAAGTACTAATTACTATCTTTATAAGCTATGATATCTAGATCATCACTGCCTTTTAGATTTTCTTGGTTGAGCAACGTTGTAATTCTATTAAGGTATCTTCCTAATTGTTATCCAAATTCTGACAATAGTCGCCTAAAGACAGCTTCCGCGTTGCTTTCGAAACATTTGCGGAAATTTTAGCCTCTTGGTGGGCCAATCCCTGATTACGAACGATGGATTGAGATGAAGTGACAGGCTTTTCACAATCTCCATGAGCTGCAAACTGCAAGTGCGTTTCTCTCGATGGACGGGAGGTGTGTCAAGTGAAAGGGTCGTATAATCTGAGCAACAATTGCAATACATCTCATGCGATCTTAAAAACTAAGCGCACTAATATTAAATAATGGCTTGTCGTAAGGCACCTAAAAAATGCAGCTGATTTATTGGGTTAGTGTGCTCTGGGCGCATACGAAAAGGTATTTGTGTGCACATATAATCGATTTGAAAAGTAAAAGTAAACTGCTTTCCCAGCACTACAATTTGCATAACAGCTACCACGCCAGTCTGCATGTCCGACATGAACCCAACATTTCGAGCTTTGTCTCACCAGCAGAGCAGTTTTAATTATCAATCTGGCTGTAAATCGCATTATATTATATAACATCTAAATAGTCAGGAAGCGCTCACTTTCCATATTGTGAAAATTAAAAAACACAAAGACAAAAAGAAGAAAAACCCATGTTCTTTATGTCTTACAGTCTAATTAGCAACGGAAGTACATATGTATGTACATCCATACATATGAAAATATTTGTATTTTGGTCCTACGACAGTTCTGATTTTCCGTCATCAAGAACCGTAGCAAAGTCAGAAATGGTTGCAATTCTTTGATGATTTATTTCTAATTCCTAATCGATCTGCATTCAAACCTGGAAAAGAACATATGTATGTATTCATTTTCTTTGGGTCATAAGCAAAGGTTCGCCTCAATAGCCTTTAGCACAACTTTTCTAAGTATAACCTTCAGTTTACTTATTAATTCTAGAAAACATTTCCACAGTTTTTTCCAAAAGCGAAGGTGAAGTAGGTAAGCTTGGGGACCTCAATTTCTTACGAGACATTTAAAAAATCTTAGAAATTAAAAGAGAAAACAAATATATACACAGTTAAATGCAAAAGCATCGCTAACTGTAAAGTTGCTCTTGAAGAGCAAAACAGAATCGAAGAATTCGAGTGTGTAAACAGTTCGGTATGCATTTTTATATTGGGAAGAAAATAAAATTGGACGCGAAATTTTAACTGTGTACTGAAGGTTTCTCGGAATAGGTTCTTTATACTTTGCACGACATGAATCTTGGAGACTGCAAGTTACGAGCGATACGAGTTCTGGGACAGGGAACCTTTGGCCGAGTGTTTCTTTGTCAGCAATACGAGGGACGCGGAGAGGCAGACAGGATGGTTTGCGTCAAACGGATCATTATCCGGAACCCCAAGACCGAGCTAGGTCTAATCAAAGAGGAAGTGTACATAATCTCCCAGCTTCGACACCCACATATTGTTGAATTTCTGCGCTCTTTTACCCATGCGGGCACAGTAAACATTGTTATGGAATACGTGCCCAACGGAACCTTAAGGGACGTTATCCAACAGCTGCCCCCCGGAACTGGTGGAATTCACCAGGAGCGCCTGCTTCGCTACTTCCGCGACATGGTAGTGGGCCTGGAGTACCTTCACATTCGCTGCGTCATTCATCGTGATATAAAGCCAGAGAACATGCTCCTCGACTCCACTGACCGTGTAAAAATTGCCGACTTTGGAATCTCTAACGTCCATGCACCCTGTACTCAGCAGCAGGCCGGCATAGGCACGCCCTTGTACATGGCGCCGGAGGCGATGTCCAGTCAGGGCAAGGTGGACTTTAAGTCAGATGTGTGGTCGCTTGGGCTGGTCCTTTACGAGCTATGCCTTGGCCGCAGTCCCTTTGCCGCATTACTAGAAAAGAACGCATCTCCTACCCAACTGCACTCCGTGGTTCAGGCAATGGTCCGACCCCGACTTGATTGCCAGCTTATCCGTCGACTCTATGACTCCGTGTGGGCGCATATCTGCGAATTAATGATCGTTTACGAACAGGAGCGTCGCATCTGCTTGCCGGATCTCTTTCTCCTTGATGGTGGAGTTACTACGACGCTATATAAGCAGTACTTCAGCTACAGCTACTAGCGGAGGCTAATAATAGGGATGTGTAAAGCCAGTGATTTCCTAGTGATGTATGGGAAAACCTCTAAAATTGTCATGATTGCACTTATAGAATTAGGCTAAGTTAAGCAATAAATTAATTAATAAATTAATAAATTAAGCAATAAAGAACATGATGGATATAAAACAACCAATTTAAACTCTCGATATGTACATGTGCTTTACTACTTTACCCAAAACAGTTTTAGCAAATGTCAACAATTTATACAGTAATTCAGTAATTTATGATTGTTTTCTATAGTATACACTAGTCCTCTAAAGCCTTTGGCCCTGCTGTTGCTGGTGAATTTTGCGCTTCAGACTTTTGATCAACGCGTTTTGCTCCAGCTGTTGCTTGCTTCGCTTGGGGGCCACCGAGTGATCCCCATCCACATCCTCGTTAGTAGTGTCACCGTCGACCTGCTCCTTCCTGCGCTTTTGTTTCTCACCGATGATCTGCTGCATACCCTTGGTTGCCTTATAATACGGGTGGGTGGGATCGATGTTGAATTCGTGGGACTTGTAGACGGCCTTGAAGCGTATATCGTTTGTGTCCACCTCGAAGTCATCGTCCAGCTTTTCCGACTCTTGTGCCTTTTTCTTTGATTTCTTTAACTGCTGCCGACGTTTTCGTTTTGACCCACCTTCCTTCTCTTCATTCCGGAGGATTTTGGTCAAGCTAAAATGCTGCTTTTCTTCGCGCCCGTCGCCGTCGTCCAGCAGTAATTCCAACTCCTTCTCCTGCTGTTTCGCCTCGGCATCCTCTCCACTATCAACCTCTCCTCTCTGTTTTTTCTTTTTCTTGTTTTGCTTCGTCTTTGGGGGCGCATAGTCACCATTTGCGAACTCCTCCGCGAAGTAAGCGTCGTTCAAATCGACACCATCTGGAACTATGGAGGCATCACTGTCGTCACCGGTATCTCCTCCTCTGGCCGCGATCTGCCGCTGGCGACGACTTTCTTTACGCTGCTTGTTTTTCTCGGTGCGTTTCTGAATAACCTTCTCGATTGGTGTGAGCTTGGCTTGGCTTAACTTAACTGACTTTTCTTCTTCCTGCTGGGGTTCTGTGTTCCAGGACATTTCCATCTCGTATTTCTGCTCCTTTTCCTGCTGAAGGATGTCGGCAAGCAGGTTCTTGTAGGTGGCAATACGTTCTTTTTTCGAGGGAATCTTAGGATTATCTTCTCTTCTCTTCTCTGGATCTGCCTGATCCGGTTGGAGAGCCTCCTCCTCGGATTCATCCTCCTCACTGCTGTACGCAACGATTTTACGTAGCTCCTTGTCTGTGAGCTTGTCCACCTGGCCGCTGGAGAGCTTGTTGCCTAATTCACGCCGGTCTAAGGCAGTCTCGTCCCAGGTAAGATCCACCTTAGCTTGCTGGAGTGCCGTCGTGGTGAACTGACGCGGCATATAGCTGCTGGCATCAGGGAGCTCGTAGCATTCATCGGACGGTGTATCTTCTTCAAAAGAGGTGTCGTCCGGAATAAAGCGAAGGTCCACGCGGGTGGCAGAACTTTCGTACTCGATACCATCGCACTCCTGGTACACCTTGTCCGCCGTGGAAATGCTGTTGCACTCTACAACGGCGTAGTAGTAACGCAGGCGGTTCAGTTGGTACTGACGTAGCTTTTCCATGTGGTAGTCCTGGCCCTCCTCCGCATCGCTGTCCTGCTGGCGCACCAGCTTCTCATCGCAATCATCTTCTGACTCGTCGTTGCGCTCCACCAGCTCTTTTGGACCATGAACTTCTTCCTCGGCCATGCGCGCCTTTCCGAATTCCGATGGGTAGATTTTTACGCTAAGAATGCTGCCGCCGGGCGGTAGGAATGAGCTTAGCATGACCATTAGGTCTTCCGCGCGGATGCGGTCCCAGTCCATGTTGCATACGGCCAGGCGCCGGGTGCTGTCCTCGGTGTGCTCTGCGTCGTTATCCAGCTCGCCCCACACATGGTCTATTTTTAGTTCCGGCCCCTCTTCTTCGTCCTCCTCGCTGTCTTCCTCTGAGGAAGAGTCCGTAAAGAGGCGGCCCTCACCGCGGGCGTAGTCTATGTCCGGATTGGTAAGACGCTCGCGCAGATTTTGATGCACTTCTGAGCTATCGCTGTCTAGGGGATCGTTACCCAAGACTAAATCCTGGTCTTCCAGGTTGGCGATGGCCAGCTCCTCGGCCCGCCGCTCCTGCTGCTCTACGTGCACTTCGTCGCTGTCACTCTCAATCTCGTCCTGCTCGTAGAACTTTTTCAGATCTTCGGCATTGCTGGTGCTTACTGGGCGGCCGTATTTGTCCACAGTGTATTTCACCTTAAATTTCTCGTCCGTAAACATAGCCTGAAAACGCTTGTCGATCTGGACCTTGCGTTGCACCTTAGGAACTCCTTTAAACCGAGGATCGGCCAGAAGGTGCTGAAACCGCGCATCACGCCAGATTCCACCTTTTGGATCGGTTTCGGCAGATGTGGTTCCGTTTCCTTTTCCAGCCTGGGTCGATGTCGAGATCGAGTCGTCCCCCTTCGACACCTTAGTTAGTTTTCCGGTCTTGTCTTTCTTTTTAGCCATATTCAAACTAATTTACTGGCCAACAAAAATGTAAACACGTGCGACACGACGGTCGAGTTATCGATAGTCGATATTAAGAAACAAAAATCGAATACCTTATTGAAATAACATATCGAGATGTTTCCTACCGCAGCCCACCGAAAAGTCATCGATGACGACTTCTTGTAGTTTACCAATAAGTGACTGTTTTTATTTAACTTTTTGCGAGTTCAGCGAATCAAGTTACACAAGTTCAATCACGACGATGCCCTCTGATTCCAGCTCCTACCGTCAGTGAGCCCCAATTCCCCAGGGGATTCTCCGCAATCTGCGTACGTGGATGTGCTTGGACTTGGATGTTTGGGTGCAGAAGTGGAAGCGCAACGCTAAGAAACCAATAGCAATACGAATCAGTTAATTGCCGCGATTACGCCTAAATAGTCGCCTGATAGCCCGCGTCGTCATCACTAAGAAAGCACATATCGCTCTACAGCAGCAAGAAACAACAACGACGAGTGCGGGAAAAAAGACCGAAGATGACTAATAGTTCGGAAGGTAACGGAATCGGGGGCCGGCGCAACGTCGACTGGCAGAGATTCGGACTCGGTGGCGATGAGGATGGCGAAGTTGCTGTGGCCAATTTCCGTCAGCGGACAAACAACAACAGCGGCGGATTTGTAGATCTGGGCAATGAGTATACTTACGCGGCTGGAGGCCACCACGCATCCGGAGCTAATGAGATATTTGCAGGAGAGCAGGGCGACAAGCCCTGGTAAGTAAATCAGGAAATTTTTGGTCAGGATCTCTAGCTGTATCCTCAACAGGTGGCGTTCAAACTTCTTCATCTCGCAGCCCGTGCTATTTGGAACCTGGGACGGAGTGTTTACCTCCTGTCTCATTAACGTGTTCGGCGTAATCGTGTTCCTGCGATCCGGATGGATCGTGGCTCAAGCGGGCATCTTGAACGCTGTTTTAATCATCTTTTGCACGGTGGTCATTGCTCTTGTTAGCGTGCTGTCAGCAATTGGTATTTGTGAGCGGTGTCGCGTGGAGAGTGGTGGCGTGTACTTCCTTATAGCCCACACACTAGGTTCCCGCTTCGGAGGAGCATTGGGTTTACTCTACTGCTTCGGCCAAGCGGTGGGATGTGCCCTTAACGTGATGGGGTTCGGCGAGTCTATGGCTGGACTTGTGGGACTAGAGGGTAACAAGTGGGCCATAAGGGGCTTCGCCACAGCAGCAGTACTCTTGCTAGGCTGCATAAACGTGGCAGGAGTGAAATGGGTTATCAAATTGCAATTTATCCTTCTTATGATACTACTTATCTCGGCACTAGACTTCATGGTGGGCAGCTTCATCAGTGAGGCGGGTGAGTACAGTAGATTTGCTAATAAAATCAACTCTTCATATATTTATCCTTATGATACACAGTTACTACTTTTTTCTGTATATGTATCTTTTTGAACCGTATCTTCCATTTGTCTTCATAAGTTTAAATTAATAAGCCTGTCGTACTTCATCTGGTTTCCTTTCCCTTTACAGGCGGTGGATTCGATGGTTGGGTAAGTGGCAACTTTGGAGAAAATCTATGGCCTAAGTATGACGATGGCTATTCGTGGTTTCGGGTATTTGGCGTCTTCTTCCCTACTGTCACCGGTGTGCTTTCGGGCATAAACATGAGCGGCGACCTGCGCGCCCCCTCCACTGATATCCCCAACGGCACTCTGGCTGCTTTCGGCACATCGTAAGGCTTTAACACCATTGGAAAACTTTTAGATATTTATGTTTCATTATCTTGTAGCACATTTCTTTACTTAGTCTTCGTGCTGTTTCTAGGAGCTACTTGCCAGCGGAATATACTGTATACAGACTACATGATCTCTGTCAAGGTGTCCGCTGCAGACTTCCTGCTACTGGCTGGTATCTACGTATCCAGCATGTCTTCCTGCCTAGGTGCAATGTACGGCACCCCTCGCGTTCTACAGAGTATCGCTAAGGAGAACGTAATTCCAGGCATCGATATCCTGGGAAAAGGGGTGAGGATCAACCGGTTAGGCGAAATTAAAAGGCACAGAAAACAAAAAAAATTAACCATTTGTTTTATATTTTTTTTTTTAGCGTGGTCCTAACAAAGTGCCTTTATACGCCATGGCCATCGTTGCCCTGGTCACCGTTACATTCATCATCGTGGGGGACATAAACTTTCTTGCGCCTATCGTGACCATGCCCTTTCTACTGACTTATGCCTGTATCGATTACGCCTACTTTGCGTTAGCCCAGACCTTTGATATCCAAGAGCAGCGTGAGGAGCGCTTCCGCATTCAGGCATCCAGTCCAAGCTACGAAACTCGTCGTTATGGTAGCGTATCGGACGCAGGAAACGACCTGGACCTACTATTTCCCGATCGTGTGCGCCACAAAAACTTGCAGAGTCCTCAAAACTCCCCGCTTCACCAGTCCGTTCCTCTGGATTTTGACACCGAAGGGCCCAGCACCTCCAATGAGGCGCAGATCTCAAATACCTCAGAGCCTAGGATGGGTAACGAGACTGCGGATACTACGCTAGTCGCGGAACAAGCGGCTGAGCCGATTGCCCCAATCCGTCCACCGATCCACTCTAAGACGAAAAACTGGTATTCTGGTTACTGCAATCGCTGGGCCTCGCTACTGGGGGTGAGTCTGCTTTAACGAAAGTTTTTGGTAAGCTCACTTATTTGTATCTTCTAACTTTGCAGGCCTTCACTAAGTTGCTAGTCATGTTGCTAGTGAACTGGTACTACGCCCTAACATGCTTCTTAGTGGTGTTTGTTGTGTGGTTCTACGTGGGCACGGCCAATCCGGCAGTGAAGCCGGGCCTTACTGCCGAATTTAACTTCTTCGCCTGGCTCAAGAGCGTTATATTCAGGTGCTTCGGGTAAGTTCAGCGATTTAAATTTCCAGTATTCTAAATTCCATCTCGCTCTTTTTGGTGCCTAGCAAACGAATCAATGAGTATGAACAGATCGTTGTGACACCATCGTGTCCAGGAGTGGATCTCTCGCCCACGCAACTCAACGAGGAAAATGAGGACTTTCGCCCGCGGCCTAACTACCATCACTCATCCGTCATCGAGGGCCGTCTAATCGATGACATTTAGACCCCTTCCACGGATACGGCGAATAAGGGTTTATGTTAACCTATATAGGAGGTGGGCGAATGGTGCAGGCGGCGTAGCTGAGAAAAGTAATATTCAAGTGCATTTCTATAAAGTTGAACAGTACTAAACTAAGCTAAAGGTTAACTACATACATATGATGGTATGTTGGTAAATCTGTAAGGATGTGTTTGAATTATTGCTAATGATAACGACAGCTGCGATCTAAATCTCGGTTTTATTCTGTTTTTCTTGCTTTAAACATTTTGTGACACTATTTTCTCGAGCCCCTCTACATTGGTGAAGCACGGAAAATGTTGAGTTTTTATAGAAATTAAAAACATTACAGATTAGATAGGGACATTTAATATATCGATATTTCTGGTAATTATCACATTTTGAAAGTATTATTAGAGCTGTAAATTATAAATATCAAATCGAGTTATTTTGGCGACTTTTCTTGCGACCAAAATCGCTTAATCCAGTGCTTACCATCGCGCCGCCCACACGCACACACCCTTCATTGCACATGCAAAAGCTCAGAGCATTTAACTAATTATTTAATTGTAATATTAGGTTTTGCAGTGCTTGCGTAGTTCTTTTATAATTACTTTTTGATAGTGATCGTATAAATTGCTGCTATATAGATATGTTTCCGGAGAAAAAAGTAAATCGCATTTTGAGGAGACATATGTGATACTGAGATAATAAGTGAACCAGAAATCAAACGCGATGATTTGGCGCCTTGCATTTAAGATGAGCACATAAAAAGCACAGTGACATTGATACAGAACACAAAAACATGCCACCCATAACATTTAACTTCTTACTTTAGCTGTAACCTGTACTAGAAACTCCATGAACAATAACAGTCCTCTTTGATAATAGTTCTCGTACTCCATGTACTCACTTGGCATAAGAATCAGCAATAACTGCACACTATATACACCAAATAAATGTATATATATTACACAACATATATCCTATATATACACCACACAATTAAATGTAACCAAACCGGGATCGTTAAGATGACGTATATTTTAAAAATATACCCAATCGTATCTCCTTTTTGTACGTGTTTAGTCTAATTAACCCTAGTTAAACGAAAAAGTGAATCACACGAAGAACCCACATGTAATAACAATAACTGTGACGTGAATTAAATATTTTGATAAATCTCAAGCTGTTTTTAAGAAATTTGAATGTCGCTCCAAAAGGTGCAATCGATAAATTTTCAGGGCTGTGTGAAAAATATTTTCGGGGGTCGTCGTTGACGAACTGTCCACAATTATGGGGTTCTCATGAGTGAAGGAGCAGGTAGATTATGCTTTAAATACTCAAACTATTTGTTTTTCAATTATACTCGTATTTTTACTAGGGCTGCACATCTGTAATTTGTGATCGATAACTTAATTAACTTAACCTCAAAGGTAGTATGCACAAATATTCGGTTAATTTTTAGATATCATCCATATGAAGACGGTCTAGGACTTAATTAGCCTGCCACTCGCACTTGCCATGAACAGCTTAGTGCGTCGCAGTAATCAGCTGAGCCTTAGGCGCAAATATTGCGGGAAATACTGTGGACCGGAGGCGACCGGCCGGAATGGTAAGTTCTTTCTGGTGGAGGTCAGCAATGTATGTAAGCGCTATAGAGATGTCCATGTCTGTCCACAGGAAAACACAACTACGAAGAATTCATTCGCCGTCACCAGCGGCAGGCCCGTTGCAGCATTGTGGTTCAAGTGAGTTCCGAGAAGTCTTACACAGAGTTGTATAATTACTGCAGCCGCTTCGGCTCGATCCTGAGCGCCCATCACTATTGCGTACGTCAAGACGAGGCTCTGCATTATGTTTTGATGGAGTACTCTACTCCTGAGGAGTCGGCGGCTGCCATTGATGCTGGAGTTACCATTGGGGAGCCAAAGAGTGCGCCCGTGCGGTCCCCCTTTCTTTGGTTTCGGGCGGCGGGCGGAGGAAGACGAAGCTCCAAGATGACCATTAGCTCGTTGCCCAAGCTGCACTCCCTAGATGGGACGCGGCAGGTTGAGCAGGCCCATCTCCAGGGGCTCCTGCGAGGTGCTACTGATATCGAGGAGCAGGTAAAATTGCTGCACGAGCAAACACGTTTGAACGAGATAGGCATCCGCATGCGTTTCCTGGCTGCCCTACAGGTAGAGAGGGCTATCGCGGGAATGTTCCCGGCCGCACAAGCGCAACCCTTTGGCTCCTCGGTCAACGGATTCGGCCGAATGGGCTGCGACCTAGACCTTATCCTGCGCTTCGACAAAGATATGGGAGCGAAAAGCATACTGGAAGCGGAAGAACCTTCCCGTTTGGTTTTCCACACCAAGGAGACCTTCAGCAACGGTCGCTCGCAGACACAACGACACATGGAGTGCTTTGGAGACATGCTGCATCTTTTCCTGCCTGGCGTCTGCCATGTAAGGCGCATCCTGCAGGCAAGGGTACCCATCATTAAGTACCACCATGAGCACCTGGATCTAGAGGTGGACCTGTCTATGAGCAACCTGTGAGTGCCTTATTTTTTATATACTTATCTGTTTGTTTGTTTTCCGATCATAGTTTGGGTTTTCTGTCCTCAACAAAAAGTTATATTGTAGGGTCGCAATCTTTATTGTACTTATTGTTCGAACTGGGTATGAATTCTTAAATCTATCGTAGGGTCACTTGTCGCTATTAACTAGGGTACTTTAACGGCGGTAGTTTCTGGCCTGCTCTTCCTCCTTCTTGACCGCCTGCACAAGAACGAAGCTCATTACTGCGCAGATGACGTTAAGCAGGCCGAGAGTCATAGCCAGAGCCACAATCCAACCGGTTTTGCCCTCAAAAAACCAAGTTAGCTCGTCCACGCAGCCGTTGAAGAATGCATTACCGCTGACTGTGTCGCGGCAAGAGCTGGGCAGAGGCTGACGTAGATCGAGGTAATCCCATGGCCCGGTGGCCCCACAGCAGCCAATGTTCTCCTGGATCATGGTTAGCACATAGTTTGAATATGTGTACTCTGAAGTGGCAACAAAGCCGCGCAGCGATACATTTAAAAGCGGCTGCAAGCTCGAGTTGATTGTGCTGAACTGCATTAGTACCGCCGACCCGGCCACAGTGGTTATGAACCCAAAGACCTGTGTGCCCACGAACACAAACAACGCCAGAGTATTCTCCATCAGCGCACTCAGGCAGCCGAGGAAACTGACTGCCATCATAACGATGCTAATGCCGATGAGCACATACACACCGATATAGAAAGATTGTGCTTCCAATATGCGCAGCCAGTCGTTAAATCCTGGCTCAGCCCTTAGCCAGACCGTTAGAGCAAACAGCGACGTCGCTATCATCCAAGCCACTATGTTAAAGCAGAAAAGAGTGTACTTCACGCAGCCGATCTGCTTTTCCAGCTGCTCGTCGGAGGTTCCATAACCGATACCCATAATTGGGGAAACTAGAGAAACAAAATAGGTTAATTTTTGGTATGCAAAGAAAATTAAATTTTTAATGGCCTTATTTGTTTTTAATGTTAGTTTCTCTATTGATATTCATTAAAGTCTATATTATCTGTATAATGATTCATGTCATACAATTTTACAGCTTTAACAACACTTAAGAGTGCGGTTATATCAAATTATACCATGATGTGGAATATATGATTTAAAATGACACAGATACTAAAAATAAAATTTGATAGGAGACAAAATACGCAAACGAAAAAAGTCAAATTACTCATATGTAATTTACTTGGGATTACAGTTACAGTCCTGTCTTGAGTCACATAGCGAAAGGTCTCCCTAGTTGCGCTTATTAATCACGATGTTGCCTGATAGTTTTGTTGATTCTCTCCAACTCTCTTGTATCTTTTTATTCTACTGTTGGCCTTATCGGGTAGCCACGGATGAGTGTTATCAGCCACACTCTATATGATTAATACGAACAATTGAAATCGGAAAAGGGCCGAATTCTGAGGTACGGGGTTTTCCCAGCATTATTTATGGACTATCAAATGTTTAATGTAACACATTTATCGAAACATATTGAAATCTGATTCTGAATGTTCCAGACAAACAAACTAAGCAGCAGCTAAATTCCTCGTTAAAAACGTTTTTATGTATCACATTGGAAACTAGGAGATGCTTATTGAAATATAACTTTTGGGCGTGGTATATATTTATAGAAAATTTAAATCTCTTTTAATATCACTTTAAATTATAGGTTTTCTTATAAAAAACTTTGGGGAGAAATGTGATATAGATGCACTATAGTTCACCTTGTTTTGGTTTATCGTGGGCTTTCTTAAGAATAGGTTGCCCAGCAGCAGGACCAGATATAGATGCGTTGGGTTCGTTCGTTTAAAACGTTTTGATCAAACTTGCTGTTTGGCTATGATACGCGATGGTGACAACATCCAGACTAGTTGGGGCGTACAGTCAAACAGGGAGAGCGGCCTTAGATAAGAAAGCTTCGTCAGCTCGATAAGATTAGATAACTACAGGTGACGATTGCCAAATGCCGTGTAAATACTTTTCTGCTCTCACGGCAAAGCAGGTGAATCAGTTCATTCTCACGGTGATTCATTGTTCACCCCGCTGCACTTATCGGGCCAATTCTCCGGGTTCTCTCTGGGTTTGCTCAATAAACGAAACCACGCCCTTTCTTTGCCCACCCATTTTGAAGGGCTAACTATTAACGTGAAATATATGTTTTTTAAAATGGAATCCCTCTTTCAGCACTGGTTTCTACATGTCGGAATTGCTTTACATATTTGGTGAAATGGATAACCGTGTGCGTCCGCTAACCTTTTGCATACGCCGCTGGGCGCAGACTTGCGGACTTACAAACCCTTCGCCTGGACGTTGGATCAGCAACTTCTCGCTCACCTGCCTGGTCATGTTCTTTTTGCAACAGCTGCGTCAGCCCATTCTGCCTACCATTGGAGCACTGGTAAAGGCGGCGGAACCAGGGGATTTGCGATTCACCGAAGACGGGATTAACTGCACCTTTGCCCGGGATGTTGAGAGACTAGGTTTTAAAAGTCGCAACCAGAGCTCGCTGAGCGAACTGTTACTGCAGTTCTTCGAGTTCTACTCTCAGTTCGACTTTCATAACCGAGCGATCTCCCTGAACGAGGGAAGGCCTCTGTCTAAGCCCGACCACTCGGCCATGTACATCCTGAATCCACTCGAGCAGCTGCTCAACGTGAGCAAGAATGTGAGCCTAGAGGAGTGCGAGCGGTTGCGCATCGAGGTGCGAAATGCGGCTTGGGTTTTGGAGTCAGAGGTGGAGAATGCATCTCTTTCCGAAGAAGAAGGCGAACGAAAGGAGCTTTCCTGGGGCCTGCTGAATCTTTTTAAGCACCCCGAGAAGGCCGTCGTCCGGCCGAATATGTTTTTCAAGCCGCGCATGGTCGAGGTCAGCGATCTCTTCGAGCAAAAGGAAACATGCCAAACCTCCAACTCCAATGTTCCCACTCCAGCTATCACATACAAGAGCGCTTCTGTACGGCATCAGGTGCAGTGCATTAAAGCATCTACTCGCTCTGAACAGAAGCAAATTCGCGGATCAGCGAGCTCAGTTCCGGCAAATAGTTCCAAGAATCGGCGAAGCCACAGGTGATGCTTTTGAGACCGTGTATGTACATACTTAGTATAGCAAAGAACTCCACATCCAGAAATGGGTCGCTTAAAATTGTTTTTTACGTTAAACCTGCTGTTAAATAAGTGTAAGTTTAGGATCGAACCAATGTTGAGTATTTTAAATGTTTTTTTTAATTACAATTTTGTCAAGCTAGAAATTGATTTGCGAGACAAATCGGAAAAAATCTTCTAGAGAAGCCCTAATTTGATTTTATAACCGGAAGTTATCCCTTAGAGATAATTTTCTTTGTAGAGTAATAATAATTATATTTTTATTATAATAATAAAAAACAAATATTACGCAATGCTATTCGACATTTAGTTAATTGTAAGAAAATGTGTACAATTTTCCAAAGTTTAGCTATACCAAGAAACATAAGTAACAATTTTCGTATTTATTAAAGATTTTATTGCATTCTTTTAATTTTACTCGGAATCCACCACATCCTCGTCCTTATCGCTACGTGAACCTGTACCTGTGTCCTGATTGCAGGCAATAACAACACTGGAGAGAACAGAGAAGTTATAGAAGACCAGATAGCGAGTTGATATATCCGCATGGATCGTTATTCTATGTAGGTGTGTATATGTACGTACATATATAACGCTACTGTTGGCTAGATGTGTCGCTGTTGTGTTTCTGTTGTGTTCCAATTCGAATTATTTTGATATACATTTTTAGTGTTTCGTACGACTTTGTTTGAGGAATTCTCGCTTACAATCTTTTTCTTTAAATTTGATTCAATGTTTATTACTTTGTAAATGTGTGTGGATGAGTGTGCTGCACTGCTGTTTAATGTTGTTGTTGTCTATTCTCTAAATTGATTTCGTAAGGACTGTTTAATGTACATAACTTATTGATTGCTTACGATTTAAATGTTTATTTTTATGCATGTAAATCACGTATTGCATACAAAAGTGCGTTCTGCAAAAATATAAAGATTGGGTCCATTGTGATCTGCTCCTGGTAAACTGATTTGATCTGCAGATATACTTTTGCTGCTACATAATAGAATAATTTACAAATGAAAGAGAGACAAGGAGCGGGGTAAGTTGGGCCTGCGAAAAACTGATATTACGATGCTTCCTAGGTAAATAGATACAAAAAAGAGTGCGCCGAAACAAGCTGCCAGCTGGTTAGGACGAGCGGACCGCTCTGTTCTTTCGCAGAGGAGATCTCGACATCTTCGGCGGCTACTTAGACAACAATTTCAACGGCAGCCGCCGGATCCACTCATCTGAACCAAAGCTTCAGCCTTAGCGCGTCTACTCCATTAAGATAGTAGCGGAACAGCCGCTTATCACGCACAAAGCCCAAATTCTCGTAGAGCCGCAAAGCCGGCTGGTTCCGCATCTCCGTTTCCAGCACTACCTCATCGGCATTGTCTGCTAGCATTGCCTGAAAAAAGGGGAAATAATTTAGTATTTAAGAGCTTCAAAATGAACTGTGTTTAACAGATGACTTTAAATAGATTCATACAGCTTCTGTAATATATAAACCTAAATAATAATATTAATTTTTCTCGGCTTAGGGTAAAATTGAGAGCCATTATAAAGGCTAAGTTTAAATAGAACTTTAACAAATTGTGTAACAATATACTTCTTTGCATAATTTTTCATAATTTCAAATTTCTTTACTACTTTCAATCATTGCTTAAGAAGCCTTACCTCTATGGCCTTAGTGACCAGTGTAGTGCCGATCTTAAGCTTGCGATATTCCTTGCGCACTGCCAACATGGCGATGTACCCGCGCCGCACGTTCATGTGCATGTCCAGCTTGCACACAATAGCGCCTACATATTGATTGTCGTGCGATGCAAGAAAACAGAGTTTTGGCCAGTTGTAGATGAAGTAGCGGTACGTGTATATTGAGTAGGGTTCGGATAGTTCCGCCTGAATCAGTCGCATTATGTCCTGCATGTATCGAGGGATTAGTATAAAACAGAGCTTGATTTTAGGGATTATACTTACATGCATTTGGTGCTCAGCCTCGTATTCTTTGTATACGATCTGACTGGCTGAAATGGCAGGTTCTAACAGCTGGGGCTCTGATGTAATGGTTGGCGTAGCTTCCTCTGTGGAAGAGGAGGAGATCTGCCTCTCCTCATTGGTAATGGGACACACTGTCACAACTTGTAAATCCTTTTCGACAGCCACCTCTTCCGATGCTGTTGCTTTTGTGGCCGTCGCTGTGGTTGTTTGTGTGTTGGCAGTGGCTTTGTTGGTAGCTCTTATGAGTTTTTCTGCTGAATTGGAGGCATCTGAATCTGATCCTCCTCGTCCTTCTCTCCGATACTTGCGGTTGTTGTTGCTGTTGTCCACGCTGTTGTTGTTGTGACTGCTTTTGTTATTGCTGCCGCTAGTGTTTCGTATGTGATTGTTGTTACTGTGGCCATGTGTATAGCCAATAAGGACCTCCACTGGTACATCCACCAGTCTAAAATCCTGTTCCGAGGCGCCATGGCCATTGCAGAGGTCAAGCTCCTTTAGCCGGACCCTAAGCCCCTTTTCCGGCTCCCGACTCTCTGTCGCCTCATTCGTCTGATGCTGGACATGCCCATTGCTTGGTGCCTGTGGCTCAACCTGGCCACTAGGATTGGGATTCTTTTCCACCGAATTCTTCTTGTTCTTGTACTTCTTCTTTCCAGCCGCAGCTGCCTGGGTATCCGCCATCCTAGTCTGAACCTGAACGCGATAAAGCGACTGGATCGGGTCTTACAGAAGCGTGTGTTGCTCCTTGTGGGATAATCTGGGAGGACTGAGAGCCCTCGCGTGCAACAGAGCACCTCGGATTTATTTTTGGTTATATTTTCTCAGTTGCTTGTTTCATTTATACACCAACATACACACACACCCCCACGCACGCGGAGCACCCGTCGCCTTTATTCTTGTTCTAATATCCGGAGTTGGGGAAATAGATCCGACCCGATCTTGATCTATGGCGCTAGGTGTGTACGGGCATGCCCTTATGTAAAATCCTATATCCCCGAAACGGCCAATTTTCCTTTAGCTATGAATAAATCCGCACCCACACATATGCGCGAACAGCTGGCTAGAGCTGTACATAAATCGATGGTTATCCGAACTATCGATGTTTTCAAAAGTATGGCAACCTCTTTTGTGATTTCCCTCCAAACACTGTTTAGCTTATTGTAACTTTCGTAAAATAATTTTGCCAAATTTCGCACTAACAAGAACTAACAAGTAATTAAATGTTTGTTTTTCGTTAGTGAATAATGTTTTATTACATTTTTGGTTAATTTGTTTGCGCTCAGAGAATATTGGATTAAAACTGTTTTGTTATGTTATTATAATATAAAATTATTCACGAAACAATGTTTGCAATAGTAAAATAACGGAAAACCAATCGCTTATTGTGCATATGTACATACATATATATTTATGTTTTAAATCGGTAAAGTCCAAAGCCCAGTTTTCCCGCTTGCGATGGGTGTGTATAAATAAAAATGTAGACATGTACACGTATGTATGTATGTGTTTATACATATGTATTTAGGCACCGTTAAGATTATCGGTATTTTTTTTAAAGTGAACTTGTGTGATTTTAAGAATATTAAAAATTGTTCCAGATACTAAAGAGAAAATTTAAAAAAAGTAACTACAACATCACAACGGATATATACGAACATATTTATTCAAAACACACAGGTTAGTAGTTAGTTGTAGTGTTAAAAATCTTAAATAAAAATATTGTTTAAGACAACCTTCAAAAACACTGATCAGTGACTAAGTCTTAATCCGGAATTTTATCCTATTAGGAACCCATTATGGTCAACATTATTTCTAATACGTACTTGCATATACATATGTACATATAAACATAGTCTTATAGATAAACATCTTCCAGGTACAATTTTTTTTTATGATTTAAATTGATTAAGACTTGAACTTTAAAAAAGATCAAAGTTTTCTTATTTGGCATAGCATTCATCATACATATATGTACATACATACATATGTATGTTTGTATGTATATAAAAATACTTGCAGCCCGGTCTGAAGTGCATACTTTACATGCATTTTTATCTTTCGGAATTGGTCTGGTTTTCATTTGATTTGGATTGACAGAGATTGGATAATCTTAGCCACGCGATTGGATAATTTCTTGGAATTTTGCATATGAATTTTCTGCGGCAACAGTGTAAGCAGAAGCAGTGTTTTGCGTCCGTTTTGCTGGTTGGCTGTTTCACTTTTCGCTTTTTTTTTTTGCTGAGACGAAGGCAAATCCAAAATTAGCAAAGTAAACATCACACGGAGAAAGTGAATGGCCGAATAAAGTAAAAGAGAAGGGGCGGAACACTGTGATCTGAAATAGTTCCATACGGATAAAAGATAATATCTAAGTTGCCGCTGATTCTGGCATGATAAATAAGTATGTAACATAAATTTTTAAATATTGTCAATAGTCAATAATTTTCTCATCCATTGCAAAAAAGCCATTTAAATGCATAGCGATGCTCCAAAGTTGAAGTTCCATAGTTTTTAAAGGCCCACTCCATTCTTCTCCAGCATATTGGTCTTGTCATGTCAAGAGTGATGGGTTTTGTCAATTTTCTGTTTGAGTTTTTGTATACCTTGTTTTTACGTTTTTTCCTCTTTTGGTTTTTTATGTTGCAATTTGAGTGTGTACAAAAGACAAAGTTTAAGCGCAAACGCCCCAAATATAAAGCACTTGAGCAAACCTTACCCCCAGTCCCACATACTTTACCCCTTTCAAAACAACTTAGGTGAGGCACACATCTCAGACGAAGCTGTAGTCCAATTTTTCGCGCCAGCGTTAAATTTTTGTAAATTTTGTCACACACAAAAGGCACCGTGTGTGTAAATGGCATATGATATAAAAAAGCAAAAATAGTTTTAAGTATTTCAAGCAAGTCGTTTCAAGCGCATAGTAAAATGTGGAGTTGGTACGTCAAAAAACTGAGCTGACCTAAGCACTCAAAAACAAAGCAATTTCAATGAGAGTGGTATGTACTTAAAGAGATATTAATTAGGAATATAAATGTTCGCTATAAAGTTATTCGCCATTCGTTTCTGCTGGTTAATCGCTTCCGAACAAAACCTTTAATGTTTTCCTTTCGTACGATTTAATGTACACTTACCAAAATGCTCTTCGGTAATATGGCTCACAAGGGCGTGGATAACGTTCAACGTACTCTAATGTGAATCTATGAATACTGAGTTCGGTAAAGTTTATAGATGCTCAGTGGTCGACAGACTTCACCTAGCCTCTCTCTTGTGCGTAAGTTTTATTATGTAACCGGGCCAGCGTAGAGATAGCATTGCATTATATTAAAAGCCAAATCAATATTGAACGTCGCAGTTCGAAGCGGAGCAAAATGAGAAAAAAAAGCGATCAGATTTCTTTCTGTATTGGGGAAGAAAGCGAAGAAGTGTATAGCTCTGGCCAAAGTGAAATGTGCGGCTGTTTGCAGAAACTTGTCTACCTTCCGTGGCAAAATGCTGTTCACCTGTTCACCTTCCCCACTAAACTCCACCTTTTCGCCCCCCATAGTGTACTTGGTCAAGGCAAGCAAGCCTTTTGGCCGGCAATCGATCGAACGTTCAGCGCGGAGCTGCGCTCTGGTGACAGGTCATGCCTTGGGCTCGGAATCTCTTATTATTATTATGTCACGCTAAATTGGGAATAATAAAGTACCTAGATAAAAGCAAAGGAAATTATTTGAACCTCGAAAAATATTATTCGGTTATATAATAGAATTTACAGTAATTTAAAGATAGTTAAGAATAACAGGCCTTTAAATACTTCATTGTGATTTTATTTATTTAAATGCTAACCAAATTTACGCAATGACTTGAAGTAAGACTAGTAGATTATATAAGATTAACAAGTTGGCAATCCGAATCAAGGCTAAGAAAATATTAGATAGTGCGATGCAATTTAAGTGCGATTTAAGAAGATCCGACGGTGCTAACGCTTAAACTCTATTGATGCGCTGAGTGTCGAGCATTTTCTGGCTTCTGAAAAGCCAGGTCGAAGCTGCAAAAGCAGCAGCGGCGACTGCGGAGTTGGCCAAGACGACTGTCGAGCGAGCTCAGTACGCTGCGAACGCTCATTGAAAATGGTCTGCAGGCCGCGCATGCGCTTGAGCTCAAAAACAAACCAAAACCGACTGCGATACTTAAACCGATACCGATACACAAGTCAAGCGACTGTCGCGTTTTCGCGTTTTGCTTCCATTTAATTTCGTATTTTCTTTGATTTTTTTTTATTGTGTGGTGCACATTGAAAGTTTGACGCCTCTGAGTGTTGTGAAAAAACGATTCGACTTTAAATTTGGATTTTTTGGAGAGCGCAGCGAACGAGAGCGGCCAACAATTGAAAATGTAATTGAAAATGGTTGGATATTTAAATCCACTGGCGACAGGTTGTTGTTACTGCTGTTAGTGGTTGCAATGGCAGTCAGCAAACAAAAGACTTAGGCAACAAACTCATGAATCGAATTGGTTGCACCACTGCAACGACCTTGATAGAAGGGCGTTGCAGTATGGAATTTAATTGAATATGTAATGATCGGCTTAATAGGATATAAAAGGGGACTTAAAGATCTTCCTTCTCTTCGTTTTTGAAAAATAGAAATAATGCTCACAAGATCATTAGAGTCAGAAAAGTTTATAACAGTGGATTTTAAAGCTGCTGTCATTTATTAATCATATTTTATTACTACATTTAAAATTAACAATTTCATGGAACTCATTTAGAAAGCTATTTACTCTTGCTTAATCAAAGATCCAATTAAATAGTACACTTTAAATTCAGCATGGTAATGACTACCAAACAAATGTCAAACTTAATTAAGTAACATAACATTGTAATCACTGAAATAATCGCAATAACGAAAACAACATAATTCCGGCGACACTTTTTATAACTATTATAGCAGCGGACAAAAAAAAACGAAATAAACAGAAAGCAAAAGAAGAAAGAAGCAATTTAAAGCAAAGGCATTTAATGTGTCCGCTGGTGAAAGTGTCCATAAAAAGGGAAACAACAGGCCAACGAGCCAAACAACTTGACAAACAAAGTGAAGAGGGGCAGCGAACAAAATTAAAAACAATAATTAAGCCCAGGCAAGAAATCAATAGACTGAGTAAAAGTGCCAATAAACAAGTCAAACAGATCCAAATAGGTACAAGCCGAATGCCGAAACCAAATCCAAAGTCCGAGTTAAGCCAAAGCCAGTTAACCAAGTTAGTCGGCTCGCCAGCGACTTGGTTCAGTTTTGGGGCTAGCCAACAGTTACTGGCTTTTCCTGGCCGCCCAAAACAACATTCACTTGTCATATGCAGTTGGTTTTAATAGAATACACTGGACCGACTGGCGAAACGGGGAAATTGCCCATAGAGTGCATGGTCGCAGAGTAAAAGTGGTGTGGAGGATGCGGATGATTGAGCTATGACGAATTTTACGCTAGATTTGTTATCACCTTACTAATAGTTCGGTTTCGAGTGAGAGCAGCACTTTTTCATTGTCTATTTCTATTCATAGCCAGAGCCGTAGCTGCTGGCCAAGAATATAAGCAATCTTGTTGGTCTTTAAACCTACAAAATAGAAGTCTGGCACAGTTTCGAGATCTTTTTCTCAGATTACGGTTCTATTTAAAGACATCTAAAGATTTGGCCCAACATCCATTGAGTTAACTATACCTAGATATGTAACTAGTTAATCAACCTGACCTTTGTTGGCCAGCAAGCTAAGCATAAGGCTAACTGCTCTTTGGTCTTAATTAATCCAATCTAATGAAGCACCCGTTTGGGCTGATGACAATTGTCTTTTGTTTTTATGGAGCCCACTGTTCACTCTTTTTCCGCTTGTTACTATGAATTGCTGCGTGATTGCTGACCAAAGAGTAGAAATGAAGGGTGTGTAAGAGCCGCAAAAGTTCACGGTTAAAGGTATTCGAGCCAAGGCCTTGGGGCAAAATGTAGGAGCATCGGCAACATTTTAGTAAATGGTCAGGTTTCGTCCAAAGTTTTATCAAGCTTTGATGATGAAAATATTTTGTTTTGGTTGACGATAGTTCGAATTTAACAGATTTTTAATTAACTGACTCACTTTTTCTGTTGTTTATTATCTTCTAAAAAACAATTTTCGGTTAAAGCAATTAATGGTTTTAAAAATCATTATATTAAATGTACAACTTATAGATTTATATTGCCGTGGATTCACCAGATGCCAAATAGTCATCAGACAAGTTAAAGCATTTGACACTCTCTCCATACGAGCATTAATTGCCATGCCAGAAGTCAAGTTTCATTAGCCGCTGGACTAACCATTATTCAACACTTCCTATGTCTGCTATTCCATCCCGGATCAAAGCCTCTAACGTGGACTTATACAAGCTTCCGTCTTAGGGGACGAGGTATCAGGTTTAACAACAATTATATTGCAGAAAGAAATGTCAAGAAATTGGGAAGTGGGAAACAAAAAATGCTAATAAAAAATCTTTTAAAAAGGAGCTATCAGCTCAATTGCCTCGATAGATGTCTCAGGGACTAGGTTATTGTGCAGGTTATAACACTAATAGGCGCATGGAATTACCTTATCCACTTTTACATGTTACCACACATTCAGACCGCAGTTGGTCTGGGCTTAATACGCTTCAGTTATCACCAGCATTGTCTTGGCTTGGTTATAGTAGTTATTTTTACTGGATTGGAAATGCACTCACCCAAGATTGGCTCATATTTTGTGTGATTGCCATCGCAATGGAAAAAAGTCACGCACTCAAAACAAAGTGTATTATGAAATTTAGATGCAATATTCCCCTCTTTGAGGTTTAACTGCTCTATGCAAAACGAAATTCCGTGTGCGTCAGTAGAGTAATACCTATTAATTCCCACTGCTCCAAAAGAAGGATTGCAATAAATCAGTCGAGATATTAAAACGTAAATATTTCAAATACATGTTGTGGTATTTTTAATATTTTCTGTTGTATGTAATTGTCACAATGTGTAATACCTAATGGGCAGAGATTGCTTCTCGTTATATCAGCTTCTTTGATGTTGTTATCAATCCGCGTTGTTGTTATAATCCCGTTGCGCAACGATGAGAGACCCGTTACCCTGCCAACCAATTGAGAGTAACGCAATACATACGCACAGTTAAATACATCGTTGATCCTATTCGATAGTACTCAGACCAATCCTGACTGCAGTTGGCCTCATTTAGAATTCCGGGCACGTAGTCGCAGTTAAGTTAGAGCGGCATAGCTTGTCCATTACTGGCTTCCCTCGTCTCTCCTCCGTTGTTTTCGATCAGATTATCTAACAGTTCATTTCGCTAACGGCTTCGCTGCTGGACAACCCCGCCAACCTCTTTTTAATTGTTTTCTACGGCTTACATTTATTTTAGGATTGAGCTGCTGCATTAAATTAAAATTAAACGCTCCAGTAGGTTCGATAGACATAGTGCTGAAATACCGCAACTCCTTGTTCAAACGCAAAAACAGTGAAGGAAATGTCCACATTCTTATAAGCTCTTCATTGCAGGCTACAACTACATTTGTCCATCCACTTCCAACTTGCCGTCGGTTCTGCGCCACTCATCCTGATTTGGAAATCTGGCCCCTATCCTCCGGTTACGTAATCCTCTTTTCAACAAGTGTTTTATAGCTGTGAATTACGGCTTGATGATAGACATGCACACATGAGCTTGTATTTGTCGCACTCGTTGGGTACTTTTGTACTATTTTTGCCGCTTTCGTCGTTGCTGTCGGCTTTTTAAAAACATTATCATGCATTTCATTTTCTTTGCGAGTCAGTCTTTCTTTCTGCAATTCTCCTTTTCCTGGGCGGAAACTTTGTCTCGGGGAGCCGCGATCTGTAATTCGAAATTGTGAAAACACAATCATATGGGCGCCCGATAGTTATTATCGGTAAGACGTTGATTCGGTAGCTAAGCTACCGAACTGGAAGAGGTCGGCTGGTGGCAAATGAGGGGTTAGTATGCTTGAATGGTCCGTGGGGTCAGTAAGTCGCGAGTCAAAGGCGAGAGAGAAAGAGTAAGTTATACAAACGGAAACGAAAGGTATCATACGGTCCAACCGAGTTGCTTTTAAAGTATTTAAAATTGGATACTTTGACTGAAGATTAAGTGACAGACAATTACAGAACTGAAGTCCATACTTAGATAATCATTATGAGTTCAGTTATGTCAGTTGTACTAATGACTAATAATATATACAAAATTTAATTTATTTAATACCCGTTTTCCTTTAAGATACTAGACATATGCTCATTTCCTCTGGTGTTTGTCCTTGAAGTCTTTGACTTGTTTTACCAGGATGCTCTCTGAGTGCCTGGCGCTGATCGTCCTCCTTCAGCTGGGGGGTGTATCGCGGGCCCTGCCTACCATCCAGGGCGGAAATGCGCGTCAGCAACTGGACAAGAGCTTCTTTCAGCCGCCGGAGATTGAGCAAACGATTGACGAAGTGCAGAAAATTTTGGCCAACGATCCGGCCTTGCCTAGACTAACGCGGTGAGTGGCATGTGAGGCCTCGGCTGGCCAAGGATACTATTTTAATGCCCCAAATCTTTGCAGTGGCGAGATCGAGGAGCTCTACGAGAAGGTGACCCGCGAAGAGTACGAGAAAAGCCTGGAGGCAGGCGATATGAGCCGGGCGGACAGCATGCGCGCTCTTATGCTCGTCCTTCCCTTCAACACGGACAACAATACGGAAGAGAATCTCCAGGAGCTGTACACTCGGGCTCCGGTGACCCGCGTCATTGATGCCTACACGCCACCAGATCCCGTAAAGTTTCTCACGGCAGATCCCAGTGCTCTGCCGAGGAGTACAGTGCCTGGCGGAAATCCTGCGGTATCTGCCACAACTTACAAGCCAGCCTATAGCTTGCTTAGTGGACAGGCTAATCTTCTTCACAACCAGTTTAGGCCTATGCCGCAAGCCACCACTTACCATCCGCCAGCTCCACCGCCGGTGGTTTATCAGGACTTTAAGCCCATTAATGCAGCTACGTCGTCTACAGCTAATCCCGCTGCTGCACCACCAGCAGCTCGATTTAGCTCCCATTACAATGCCAAGAACGCACAGTTCCTAAGAAAGCCCAAGCCCTCTGGAGGAGGTACTTCCTCCAGCACGGTAAAACCCGTGGCAGACATTCTCGAGAGCCTGGGTATTGTTTCGGGTGGTAAAAGCGATTCTGCCCACAAGCGGTATGCGATAGACGACTACTATCCTTCAGAGAGTGCTCCTCAGCCATCTGTGGTGGCAGTAGCCGATCTACGGGGTCTCCAAGGCGCTCGAATTCGCCCAGAGGCCTACTCAAATTTTAAGCCGTTAAATATTGGCGAAGAGTTGCGCGTAAAGCCCGAAGTCGAGGGCTATCTGACACGGTTTGGGATAGTGAAGAAGGCTTCAAAGGCGCTTAAGAAAGAGGCACAAGGACTGGGAAATACCACTGATGAGCCAACCGGTGCGCACACGGAACTGTCCACTGCGACGGCTCGGCTGCCGCCTAAGGGAAACTCAGATTTGGCCAAGTTGCTAGAAAATCTGCAAGAATTAGAACGACTTCAATCGCAGCCTACGAAAAAGATTGCCGCAAGCACCACTAGTACAACAAGCACTACTACCACTCCTGCCCCAGTTCCACTCATCACCCATGGCGAACCCCTGCTCATTGAGGCCAAAAAGCCCCGAAGAAGAATTGATCCAAATATAGACCTTAACTTCGCCAACGCTGGAAACCACCAGAGTACGTCCACAAGCACAGATGAGTTGTCCAAACTTTTGCAAAATCTTCAGGAATTGGAAAAGTTGAAGATTAACCCGGAGAACGTTATTAGGGCAGCCGGTCCAAGTGTCCAATCCTTGAGTAACCGATTTTCTACGACCAGCACCACGAGCACAACTACCAGCACGACCACAACTCCCTCGCCGTCCCAAAGCGATGCTCGTGATTTGCAGCGGATCCTCAAGCAGCTGCAGCAGTTGGAGAACTCCAGCAGATCTACAACTAGCACCACTGTCAAACCTTCGAGGAATAAGGACTTCGGACTGGGCCTGGCATTGGGCCAAGGCAACTCTCTGGGTGCTGCCGATCTCCTCCAGCTGCAGCGTCTATTGAGTGATGATCGAGAATTGGAGAAGCTTTACGAGCAAGCGAGGAACACCAAAAAGAAGCAGCAGCCCAAGGCGACAACTAGCACCACCTCGACCTCCTCCACCACTTCAACAACGACTACAACCACCACGCCCCGACCTACTTCTTCAGTGGATCATGCACAGTTCGAGGCTTTGATTACCCGTGTTCAGCAGCTGGAGCAACTGCAGCAGCCCACTACATCGCCCAATTTCCTCACAAGAAATGTTGTAGGTTCCAGCCCGGGGCTCACCGTGCCCAGTAACGATTTTGCTCACCTACAAAATCTTTCGCCGACCTCAAGCTCAATCGTTCCAGGGGTCGGAGCAGTGGAGATCTCAACTGCCGCATCTACATCTAAGCAAAGGCCACTAAGCCACTTTGAGCGGAGCAATGGCCTGCTTCAGAACGATGTTCATCCACAAGACTACGTGCAATTGCAGAAGCTGTTAAGTAAAGTGCAGGAACTGGAGAGAGTGCAACTCCGAACAGATCAAATGACTGAGCCGCAGTCCCAACTAGTCACCGCTGCCTCGGTGCGCAGTGCCAATATTAAGACCGTTAATGGAGCTCACATAGTTTATGCTCAGTCAGCCAAGGAGCAGGAGGTGGTGCCGGAACTCGAGCACAAGCTGGATTTGCCTGTTTACCAGAAGCCACCGACGTTGTCTGCGCCTTCTCAAACTTCCAGTGAGGAGCTCCGAGAACTTGCCATGAGTCAGCCGGCCCATCCGCAGCGCGGCTCCTGGTCAGAATTTGGCCAGTTACAACAATTCTTTGGCAGCTTGGAGGACACCGGGGAGCGCCAAAGCTACCAGCACATGAAGCCTATTTACAAGACGGTGCAAACTCAGTCGTCGACCACGCCAGCAGCTCCTCGTTTTGTACCTGCGAGGAAACCTCCAACTACGCCTAGCCCCGAGCCAAGGAAGGCGAATGTCGAGGAGTTGCAGAAGCTGCTGTACAACACCCAACAGCTTCAGAAACTAGGCGTGGCGTTACCCCACGAACTGTCGCAGCAGCTCGAGAGTCAGCTGCAGGCCACATCGCCCTCCACATCTTCGACCAGCACTACGACTACTCCTGCCCCCACTCAAGTGCATGACACCTCCTCACCGGCAGTCTTTTCGCTGACTACCAGTCGTCCTAGGGTGCGTCCCATTCAGGAACCAAAACCCACCACAGAGAGTAGTCTCCAGCTGCCCATTTTTAGTGCTACCAAAATTATCGAGGCGGCCATAAAGCGGGCTGCCAATAGGATAGGTGTGAGCACTGAACTGACGCCCAAGCAGGGGTTGCCAATTGGATTGGTCAACGGATTGGGCGTAGGCAGTGGCTTTAGGCGGCGCAGCGATGAGGGCGACTTGGAGGACCTAAACGCCGATGAAGACAAGGCGGGCGAGCTTGACGGCGACCTCATGGCGGAGTTTACCGAGCTCAATTACCAGTTAGCCAAACCGGAACCCGAAACGACCAAGGTAAAGAGGAATGACTCCAAAAGCAATACCAGCGAGCTTCAGCGTCTAATTAGCAATCTTCAGGAGCTGCAGAATCTCAACGTAAGCTTAGACACTGTTAATATGTCACCATCCAATACGACGGCCAATTCAGACGCCGCCTATCTGCAGTCGTTACAAAATGGTCAAGATGAGACCCTTAAGGCGCGGCGACAGAGTGATGGCATTAGTACCACAGAGAGTGGCAAGGAGAAGGAGGAGGAGGACCCGACTAAGATCAGCCTGAGTTTGGGTCTAGACGACACCGACGTAAACACTAAATTACCAGTTGAAGAGGGAACGAGTACCACTAGTACCACCACTACTACAGAGGAACCCCGTAACGGATCTCTCGACGACTTGGCCGACTCATTCGGACCCGATCCCGTCAGCGAGGAGCCACCGCCACCGAAAAAAAAGAATGGATTCTACTTCCTAGCTGACTGGAACTCGTTTCTAGAAGTTGGGGACGGCGACGACCAGGTGGTGGTTCGACTGAGTCCCAAGATTGGAGATCCGCGACTATTTCTACCAGTCAAAATTCCCTCTTAGGAGGGGTTCCCCGGAACTAAAAGTTGTACATATGTTTCCCCTCACTTCCTTGTCTTCTCCCTACGTTTGTTATCATAATTTGTGTGTATTTATTTTAGTCACTGTCCTGTCCATCTGGTTTTCAGTCGGATGAGGGGGTTCGGGATGCCCAGTCCGGGGACATGTAGCCGTAAGTCGGGTCTAGGCTGTAAGAGTCAATCACCGAAATCAAGGACTACATAGAGACGTGGTTAATGCTATGTATATGTGTACCTAAAACTCTCGAAATAAATATATATCTATATAGTTAGAGGGTACCAAGTGTGGTTTTTTAAGTTGCTAGAAAATTTAAACCGCTACAACGTTGTTTTAATTTAAGTATTATTCCAATTCATACAATATTTTTCAATATTAACAATTTTATTTACAAACAAGAAACAATTTGAATATAATATGTGAAATAAAATATTATATTCGAATTAAAGTATTAACAGCTTAACAGATAACACAGATCGGACTAAAGAACTTCCACTAACGATTAGGAACAAAATTGTTTGATCTAGATGAGAAGAATAGAGTTTCTTCTTAGATTCTATTTCAAGAAGTCTGGGCATTTCAGCCACGGTTCTAATAAACCGGTTATTACAAATTTGTAGAAAGTAATGTGTCGGGAATGAACCACAGCCAAGGAGTACATGGCTCCGGGTGGCCGATTCAGAGGCAAACGTAAGAATAGCAATTGCAGTACCTCTTCATTTCCATCGGCTGCTCGGGAAGAGCGAAAATGGGCGAAGTTCACAAACCCCCGTACTCCACGGTAGATAAGTACCCGTAACCTGCAGCATCCGTCCATGAACGCCAGCAGCGTCTCATCTCGTATCCGCAAAGCGGTTAAATGTTGTGCTCCACGCTCTGCAGCCAGCGATTGAAAGATTGATCCGTTCACATGATACACCTGGATGTGGGCGAGTGGGGCAGTGGAGGGCGGAATAGGGTCATCTGTTGCTGTGAGCACGGTCAGGCGTGCGAGAAGAAACCAGGTACGGTTTGTAGGCCCCACAATCAGCTGTATTGTTTGGCCGGCTTCCCAGTCGAATTTTGAAATTGGCACCAATTGCTTACCCTTGTCTGAAGAGGATTCTGCACGTTCTTCTTGGGCGTTTTCTTGCTGATGAAGTACCTCCTTTAGGTTCCTTAATCTCTGAATAACAGCATGCAGCTTTGCATCATCCCCAGGTCTATTATTATCGTTGGCCATAGCTAGCACATCCGTTATCGTTTCCTCAAGAGCTAGCTCCTGGAACCCAGTGTCGTTTCCACTCGAAATTTTTCGCAGATCTTGCAGTGTGGCCCAGATGAGCTGGGCGCTCCGTGTGGCGAGAACTCTAGCCGGAGTGTCCGGCAGTGGAAGAGCTTCTGTATTTAGACGACGACCTAAACTGCGCAACTGCTGCAAAAGCTCAAGAAAATCTTCTACCAAGTGCTCGTCGAAAAGATCGCTTTCTGGAATACTCAACTGGGTGATGTTTACCTCCGCTTGCAACCGAAACTGCAATGTGTCTAACAGACGTCTTCGCATTCTGGCCAGGTCCAAACGATTCAGCTCTTGCTTTTGCTCTTGCCACTTTGAACCCAGCTGAGATCCGACAATGGTATCCTTGAGATACTTAATGGCCTGCTCGTAACTGGCATTCGACAGTTGCTGATTCTTAAACTGCTCGTCGAATTTTCGGTCATTTTCTGTATTTATCTGTTCAGTATTATTTGCTTTTTTCAATTGCGAGGTTATGAAAATCGGTTTAATTCCGCTACAATTCCAGCTGTCCCCGTTCTTATAATCCGTCAATTTGTAGCTGGTCATAAAGACGAACTTTTGGCTTGAGCTCTTGTTTCCCACTCTTAATGCAGTCACCTCATCAACAGGTCCGCTACGCAAGCCTTCGGATCGATCGAACGAAGTTCCATTCCAGCGATGGACGCGAGTCCAGCAACCGTTTTCATTAATCAAAAGGTAACTAGTTTGTTCCGTTGCCTCCAAAACAAATATGCGCCGAATATTCTCCTGATCTTTCTCTTGCTTTAAAGAGAAGCTCTTCCGCAATTTTACAATTTTATAAGGGAATCGAGTCCTGGACAAGTCGTCGCACATATCTTGGTAGTTTTCTCTAGCAGTTTGTCGGCGTGGTCGCAGCTCATCTGGCTGCTTCACCGTCAGTTTTTTAACCCGCCAGCTGCCGCTGATCTCTTGCTGCTCCCTACCCCGCGCCCATAAACTCCTTTCGTACCAATCCTTAAAATCAAATCCGTTCAGGTTTTGATCCGCCTTTAAATAAGGAGCTTGGAGTGTGGCAAAATATAACGGTGACTGCAGGTGCACTGGATCTTCACCCAACATGGCAATATCGCTCAGATTAAGACCATTAACGGGAGATGTAACCTGCAGGAAACCGCTGACAATAATTTTGGACACGAATAAAGGCGTCTTCACGCGCTGCTCTTTAATAGCGTGATTCTGTGAAGTAACGTAAGCACTCTGGATTAGTTCGAAACTATATCGGACTATATAACTTACCATTAAAGTATTGGAATACTCCTCGGATAGATTCTGTGAATTGACGTTGGCCCGGGCCATCAGTTGCCCATCTAGGTATAAATCGTCTGCTTTCAGGAAACCATCAAGGTATTGCTCCGTGTTCCGGGTGACAACTCGCGACAAATGCAAATGGTTAAGCTCCTCCACTTCAAAGACATTTCCGTCGAGCGAACCCTTTGCAAAGGCAACTAAAATATGATACGAGCATATGTTTTGTTATAATTATATTGACCCAAATTGTTGCTACTTACCATTTGGTTCACGTATGTCGCGATCCACACGAATCGTGTCTCGTAGCCACTGACTTACATTGCATCCATTAAGCAGCTCCCCCGAGAGCACTAGGCGATCGGCCTGGAGATTATTCATTTTAAATGCAGCTGCAAAGCGAACAGGAGTTTTTATTGTAACCTCTTCTTGCAAGTTGTTAAAGATTATCATTTTTAACAGCTGCTCCAAATCAAGGCCATTGAGGTTGTCGATGAATGCCCCATTTTCAATGCGAACACGTCCTTGAAAAGTTTTGTGGCCTTGCAAATGAATCCCTAACTGCTTCTTAAAGATCACCTGGTCGAAAAGTTCCTGGAGGGGTTCAAAGTTGTAGTTCTCCAAATGCCCTTCCACTACGAGATTTCTCAGCACCTTTCCTGAGAGGTCAACGATCCCCCGATGCATGAGGCGTTTAGTGGTTGGATCCCAGCGGAGAAGTTCCTCAAGTTGAGTAATAAATTCCGTGTTCCCGTTAACGTGACCATTTAACTGAAGATCCTTTGCAAAGAGACGTCCGTCAATACGGACATTTCCAGTTAGGTTAAACGGATTCACTTTGCTAACAATGCGCTCAAAGGGAACCCCATTAAGAGCAACTAATTGAAGTTCTCCTACATAAACGGGAGATAAAAAGCTCTTGGTTCCCTCAATAGGAATCTCTTTCCCGTCGGAGCGCAAAACGATGTCATCTAATAACTCAGGGAGAAGGCGTTCGTTAAAGCTGCCCAGAACTTGGAGGTTTTTCTGGAACTGGGGAGGGTGCCTTAGATTCCAACGAGTTCTTAGTTCGCTAGGTCTATCCAACCATACCACCTGCCTCTGAAGTTCGTGAAAGTCTTGCTTGTTCAAGGATTTCGTCACTTGGACGGATCCGCTGACAGCAATGCGCTCAACTTGTAGGCGACCCTGGAGAATCAGAAGCGGAAGTTCGTCCAACTGTTGCAAGAAATCCAGTAAAAATGTGTCTTTTATACCCTGCAGTTGATTTGTTTGCACTCCCTGAGGGAGAAAAAGCTCCTGAACGTGCACTTCACCCGACCAAGTATAAGGATGAGCTTTTAGTAGGTTGCCCAAATCTTTCCCGTTAAGGATTCCCTTTCCAACTACATTATGATTCAGCTGAGCTCGCCCGGCTTTCAGGCGGCTGAAATTGGCTCTGCTTAGATAAAGCGCACCATGAAGCAGCTGGTATCCACTTAACAGCACCACTTCGTTCAAACTGGAATCCACATGCAGGTGGGTGTAACTAGGAGAGTTTGCAACAAATCGAAGCTGTGTTAGGGGGGAAATTAAGGGAGATGACACATCCAATCGCAGATTTTCCGACAGAAGTTCATCTATGTGAACTCCATCGTAAGAAGAGCTTTTTGCAATGTCCAAGCGGTGAAAGTACACATATCCACCCAGCTGAGTCGTATTCCAAAACGATTGCGCTGCGTGCTTAGTCACAAAGTCATTTAAGGGAATCCGACTCAGTTGATTATCTCTGACATAGGCATCTACTGGCAGAAGTAGCTGATTAACCCGCTTGGTCCCGCTTATCTGCAATTCCTGGCCGGAGTCTGACGTACGCTGGACGAGATCTCCTAGCAGTGATTCAAAGCTTTCGTTGTCCAACTTTTCAAACAGTCGTAAGGATCCGCGCACAAAAAGCTGGTCGAAATGACAGGCGGCATTAATTGCATGGGCCTCCATAAGAGTTGGATTCAAAGGCGCCTCTTCAAAATGGCGCCCCTGTGCGTTTTGATTTAGATGCTAGATTGAGTGGTATTATTTATAAGAACAGGTGGGAAACTAGCCATTTACCTACCTCCAATTCCTCAGAAACCTCTAGATGCGAGAAAGTCACCCACCCCGGACAGTCTTGAGAATCATTGAGGGTGATGACATTCTGCGGGTTAACCCCGTTAATGGAACCTGAAGTGTCCACGGCATTGGCAGCTGTCACAATAATATGTATATTATGAATAAAAGTTAAGCTTTCTGCTTGAATTACTTACAGAGCGTTTGAGTAAATTCCTTGGGCGCCTTGACAACACTCGTTTCATTGCCCTGCGACCAAAGAAAATCGCCTGGAAAACTTAGATCGTTTAATAAACTCACATGCAGGATATCCTCGAAGATAACAGGCTGTAAGAAGTGAAACAAACATTAAGCATATAAATAAGTAAATGAAAGATCCACATACGCCATTTATAATCAATTGTGAAAGTTTTAAAGGCTGATGACGCCATACTAGTGCTTCATACATCTTATCCCACTCAATTCCATTAATAAAGTTGGAGTCCAAGTCCCCAGCACGCTGCAGAGCACCCTGGCATTTTGAGCCCTCGATTGAAACGACCTCCGACTTTGTAGGTTTCAGTTGTTCCAAATATTTAACATTAAGGGTTACCAATGGCGATTCCAGGGACGCATTTTGAATATAGAAAGGCGCATGGTTTAGCCGCTCCAATATGAGATCCTCACAAACAATGGCTTCCACCTCCAGCTCCACGTAAAGAAAGTTAAAAAGCTCCTCTGGCTGGCGTTTCGATCGCTTGGAAATAAGTTTCTCGTGTAATTGGACAATATGATGGAGCATCTTGTGCATATCCAGAGAAGCATCCGCTCCCGTCCAGCGGTCTTCGTTCACAAAGAGTTCCTCTACGGTCCCACCTTGGCTGACAACCAAAGGAGTAAATACCTCTTCATGGTAATAGAAATCATGTTCCTCCTCCATCACGAGCTCCTCACCTAGTTTGATGAGCTCCTCCTGCTCGTGCACCCAATTCTGCATGAACTGTTTGATCTCCAGCACGTCTTGTGCCTCGGAATTCCTCGCCAGCAATTGGGTTTCTAGTTGAAATATTCCCGATGGTGCGTTATTCTTCGGCACCAGCAATATAGGTGGCTTATCAATTCTGCGGAGCAGGGCAGCTCCTGAAATACCAGTCGCACGATCCTGATCTAGCATGCAGCCTACCCCGTAGGTGGTACCACAAGGTGGCGGCAAACCGGGTTCGAAGGACTCTCCGTTCCATATTAAAACTTCTAAGACGATTAGCGAGTGTGGATTAAAGACAACTCGATGTTGAACGAGTAGTAGCAGGTTATCTCGGTAACTGCGAATGGGAATGGGTAGGAAGAGCTCTACAAAGCCAAAATTTTGTCCGAGAATGGTGCGCGGCACAAATTGTCCCTGCATATACACCAAGATTTGAGGCAATATCCCACCTAGTGTTAAATAACTGCGTCCGCCCATCTGGAAGGCTGTGATGCCAATCACTTCGGGTGCCCCTACTTTCTGGCGCAAGTGCAGCGGGTCTCCCCTAGAATTCCAGGAGTATATTAGGACTTCATCCCACTGACCCACTGCCAAGAATAGCTCTCTACCGGTATCAAGGATGGCCAACTCGGAGATTATCTCTGGCAACCGCACACGCTGTGCAATCCAGAACTCTTCTGTTTCTAGAACGTAAGCGTAGATGCTTAGTGTGCGGTTATCGACAACGGCAAGGAAATCCCGTCCCTCCAAGCTGAAGGCGCTTAATTTGGTTAAACTCGAGCTGAGGGGCCAGTGCCAGAAGGCCGTAAGTTTGGGTTTCAAATTTAGCCAAATGAGCTGGTCTTGGGAAGCCACAACCAGCAAGCCCTCCTGTACATGCATCTTGCTGTTCCACCGATCTAATCCGATCAGAGCGGTGACGGGAAAAGGATGAACGTAGGTTTCTAAGAGCACTAAGTTGTCTGTTAGCACCACGAAGCCCTTAGGCTGTTGGCCAACTAAGTAAACGCTTCCATTGGCCTGCATGGTCAGCCAGCGATCCACATTAGCAGGCAAGCTGAAGTTTAGGAGCTCCTCGATGCGACCTAGGATAAGCATGTCCCGAGTGCGCCTCTTGGACAGTTCCAGCCGCTGTAGTTGTTCTAGATCGATATCCTGTGATGACGAGTGCGACTCCACCACATTGGCTTCTAGTTGGCGATTGCCTTCGTGACTTACTGCCCCTAAAAAATCCCGATGGGGATTAGTATTCACCACCTGCGCTGGGCTATCCTTGGTGCTGCCTCTGGCCTTCAGCTGGGCCTCCAACTGCAGAACTTTCTCGTTTTGTCCTTGACGAGCCACGGCACTCTGAATCTCCTGCCGAATGGCAGCGGCGCTGCTTAGCGAGGAGTGATTAATTATCACTTTGGTGGACTTTCCAGCGGGCGGATGATCAGTTTGCTGGGTCCATCCAGGTGCCACCACCACACCTTCCTGAGATTATCGAAGGTAGTTCTTTAAATAATTGAATGTGGTCCAAAATTGTATTTACTCACAGGTGCTCCTTCATTTTCCTCAAGAGCTTTTTCTAATTCGCCACGTAACTTGGTCACCTCGGCTTTTTGGGCGGCGGAAGGTGGCGAAGGGCCACTTGCTATTATTGTTGGCCAGAGCAGCAGGTGCAATATCAGCATTTTGCGTAAAGAAAATTAACAAAAACCAAACACGTGAATCAAAAAAAAAATTTAAACCATTTACCGTTTTAAAAAGGAGCTGCCAGATGTTTGAAAGACGTACCCTGGACACACACCCGCCGAAACTCTTAGGCAGCGTAATATATACGCTACGATTTCGTTATGTGTTGTTATGTTAAGCTCCTTTTGCTAAATAGAATTTCATATATCAATCGATATAAAAAGAAATTGTTTATTATGTGTAAGATTTTCGTATAAAATACACCGTTTACTATCGAAGCTGATACCTCGATAGCCTTCCGTAATCCATTTTTGACATATCGATACTATCGTGAGTGGTTGACCCAGCTCTAATTCATTTGTGTTTTGAATACTCAGTGAGCAGACGCGATTTTGAATTGAAGCGGTTCGCGATCCGCGCGTTTATCAAAAAATGTAAGTGCCACAATGAAATGCATTAAAATGATCGTTTGATTTATTGTTTGCGAAAGGAAACGGGTTGTGCTAATTGTGAAACTACGTCAAAAAACAGTGAGTCCCTAAAAATAACGGTAGTTGCACCCTCCCTTTTTTCATAGCCGCTGTTGTGCTTGCAAGTTTATGAATATGTTGCGGGTCGTTTTTGTTGCTATACATGGCCCTTTGATTCGAAGTTGAAGGAGAGAGAGAGCGAACGAGAGTCTGCGAGACAGCTTGTGTTTGGTGGGGTGTAAAGAATACACTTTTTTTTGTTTCATTTGAGTTGGAATTAACCCTTTGTGCTCGCTGTTTTGCTATTATCACCGTTATCTCAGCAAAGTTCCTATTTGCGGTTACTGTGTGCGTGAAAAATCAATAAAATTCACATGTGCGTGCTTCTGTACAGTGTATGTATGTGTGTGTGTGCGCGCAGCAGCCGACTGCTTATGCTCTCTGTCTCTATCTGTCACTCGGCCCCCTCTTTTTCTTTCTGCACGCCGTAGTTGCTATTATTTTTTCTAAAAATTCAAAATTAAGCGAGGGCTGTGATTAAATTGTTTGCTAATGCTAATAAAACGAAGTAAGTTCGTTGCTCTTTGTTTTGCAACCACCACCTCAATTAAGAACAATAACAACATAATACCCCATAACTATTTGACGGCGAGGCCCTAAACAAAATCTGCGATTAAAAATAAAAACAAACCCTGTGAAGCTGTGTGAGAAAGAAAAACGAAAGAACCTTTCTTTAGTATAATATGGATTCCTTTTCTTAATTTTTCTTCTCAATTTTTATGAGGGATTAAAGAGCTTCAGACAATGACTCACGTTTTTTAAGTGTCGTAAGCGTGACCCACGACCATGACCCCGTGCAAATGTCCCTGCAGCTCCAAGAACCACCCACTGTTTTAAGTGCGTCTTTTACAAATATGAAACGGCTCATGAGTGGAAACTTAACATGCAAGGCAGAGGGAGAGAGCAGAAAACAAGATAGGAAGAGGACAGGAAACCAGCGACTACAACTCCTTTTTTTTGGCACCTACATATGCCGTCATTTTGGGGTGTGGCCAGTGGCTTTGGAATGAGCTCAAACAGCAACAACAAACTGTTTTGTCGTGAGAATTCCCAAGAGGGATGTATTATGGTTACAGTTATCATATTGGTGTTTTTAAATTGGATATCATCAATAAACCTAAAAGAATTCATCATGTAAGTCATTTTTTATAAGTAGAGGAGAGAAAAATAATTTGTATTCTTAACAGATTTAAACTGTTATCCATTAATCTACGGAAGTTTTAAGGGCTACAATTGTTCTACGTAGTCTTCAGGACATGCAATAGGAATTTAAGGAGGCTGTGTAGCATTTTGGCATCCAAATGTCCGTGCTCTTAGTTTTCCTTTTCCATCGTCAGCGCATGCGTGGCGTTATGTTATGTTGTTCGAAAGATTTTTTTTGGCTGAGGCATGAATGCAATGTACAAAAATCAATGTACAAAATCAAGTTTAACTCTTACTTATGTAAACTTTTTGCTTTGAAAGGAGAGAGTTATAGGATTCCCGCTTATTGGTGTTTGATTATGGACTACTTGAAATCGCGAAAACATTCTTATGTCAGATTGGTGGGGCTTCCAGCGAAATCGGAGCTGAAATCGGATGAGACTTATACCAAAACCAGACACCATAACAAACCATTCTGTCTAATTCTGTTCCCTTTTTTTTGCTTAGTTTGCAAATAGTAAGAATACATTGGAAACTGAAGAAACGAACAGATGGTTGGAATAAATAATTAATAGTTTTAGCTTGTTCCACTATTGTTCACGTGTCGAACCTTCTCTTTTTTATGACCATCTTCGTGATCGGTTTTTGGTAACTCTTTATCTTTTGTCTACCTGACAAGATTCTTTTAACTTTTCGAGCCAGAGGTCCAAAACTATTAGTGCGGCAACGTCAATTAAGCTCATCCATTTTAACGGCTTAATAATCCGCTGTTGCCTTGATTAATAATTCTTGCTTCAAATATGTGTTTAAATCTCTAGAATTCGGACACTTTATTATATCAATTGTCTGTCGTTGAATACATAATTACAATTTGACGAGTTCAAGTTGCTTCTCTTATATGACACATCAATTGATTTATGCATTATTCAGAAAAAAGTAAAATTCAAAACATGGGCAATAAGCCATATAAAAAAATACCTATGCATAGAATTAAAAAACTAACAGCAAATGCAAACATTTTCTTATGCCGTTCTAAATAGATCTTTGGCTTGATTTTAATTTTTGCCGAGGGGTTTTGAAAATGGAAAGAAAGTCGAAACTTAAAAATACCGTTGCCTAATTTTAGTTAGAAGCGCGCCGATGGCTTAAAAGAAATAGCGTTGAAAGTGAAAATTTAGAAAATTGGAGCTGTTGTTGTAGATTCTACAGTGTAGAATCTCTTAGTTTTAGCATGGTTATTTCCTGTTCCAAATACGAGACGAACTCTTTAAAATCTATTGCTTTGGTTATAATAAAATTATTTAATACGATTAAGTTCTTTTCAATTTCAATTTGAACCTTTGTGGTAATTGAGGTTATGGGCATGTAATATGAAAAGCTCTTTAGAGATTTTCTTTTGTTTTGTTCTACACAATGGAAAAGTTACAGTACTTCTTACAGAATAAGTAATAATTTCTTTTGATATTTAATATTAAAGTCAGTATCACGGGATATAAGAGTGCAATCGATCCAATTTAATGACGTCTCTCTGGTGCTACCCATTGATCGTTCCCCCCGTTTCCAAGTTTCTTATCTCAAGTTGCAGAGGCAGGGAGTGAACTAAATATAAATCGAAGCTATGACCAGACCTACCATATGTGGATTGTGCGACGATCGCAATAGGTAGGGCGGGGGCGAGTAATATCATCCCTATATGGGGAAGATGCTAGTTCTCCCAATTCTCCCCTTCGCATGATCAAAAGGCATCGTGACGAAGAACAACAAAGGAGGAAAAGTAGACGAAACCGGTGAGCTGAGTAGGATTTCCATTAAATTAATGCCACCATCCATTAGCAGACGAGGACAAGGGAGGATTGGATCGACATATGGCTAAAAATAGAAGACAACCAGGCAAACGCTCTCTTTCGGAATCATGATTTGTGTCTGGCCTTGAAGGGCCAAGTGCCAGGAAATTGCACAGAAAATCCATATAGACGCACCGAGAAACTCGGTCACATAAGTCAAAACTTAAGGATTTATATTTAGAAAAAATGGGGTTTTCGTTTGATCAGAAAATAAGTAATACATTACGTAACCCGGTAAGCATTCTACATGAGCAATTAAAAATTTCGAACCGACAAAGTTGAATTCAGATCGCATATAGTTTTTGTCAAACGTGTCTTATCTCAGTTTATTTCCGCATTGTGTTTTTTGTTCCTTCCGAATAAAGAAGAATTTCGCATCGAGCCAGTCTCATGAGTTATCAATAATTGATGTCGAAGGATATTATTAATATTATGACTAAAATAAACTCCACCGACATAAAGGAATTCCTCGAATTAATATGTTATCCGATCGTCTTTACCTTGGTCTTTATCGGATTGGCAAATATTTGCCCATTTGGGCAAGATGGGTGGGTAAGATTAGCAGTGAGGCAGCGGTGGGAAAAGGGTGGGACGCAATCTTATCGTTCGCAAATGTTTGAGCCGCCAATAGGCAGCCAAGTTTCCACATTTTTGCTTCGCGATTTTCATTTGCTTTTTGGTGCGCAGTTTGCTGCAGATTTCTTACCCCCCTCATGGGCTTGTGTGCCTTTGGCTTTAGTCTTAAAATTACGCTAGTGAGGGGCAAAGGATAAGGCGAAAAGTGGGCGAAACAGAGAGCGTGTCATTGCCACTGAGCAAACCATCAAGCATTATGATCTGGCCGTTGAACAAGCCCAATGACCTTTCCTCCGCCTAACGCACCACCATTAAAATTCTGTTCCGAAGGGTTCATTTGGAAGGTGAGGTGAAATGGGGTTGATTGCATTATATAGCTCTATCGATACAATCAATGGTAGTAAAACTCCTTTCTGGTCTAAAAATTTACCAAGAGCGATTCTCTAACAATTTATTAGAATAAAGTAAATGTATACAAATTGAGTATTCATTTAGATGATTGACAAAGACGCTGAACTCTTAAATTTCGTTGCCAATTGTTAACCTACAGCTAAATTGGCTCAGGCACGATGGCTACCGAGAGGATAGGCAAAAGGTTTCTGTGCCGTTTGTGATCAGATAGAGGGTGGACCACCAAAGTGCATGCCCAAAAGTATGCCTGAATTGTTTAATTTTTCAGTATTTCCGATGTATTTGTATTAAAGTAGCTAAGTTTCTGTTTCTGAAAAAAACGTGAAAATATGTGAATTAATTTAGCCTTTTCCAATTACAGATAGTCAACATTTCCTGCCACCATGCATGCCAAAGTTAATGGTTAACAGTAGAGACTGACATTGGACCACCCAAAGCCACAACGAAGGTAAGTTCTTCCGCCTCGGGCAGGAATACCAATAATGACGGAACACTCAGCGTTGACAGCAGATGA